CTGATCTTCCATTCGTGTACTAGTGAGATCCGAACAGCTTGTTGCCAATGCAGCGAGCCCGAACTTTTCATCGCAGACTGAGGCGGCTGGATCTTTCATTCCTTTCATGCAATCTCGGCTGAACAGCTTCATGAAAAGCCGATATTTCAGATCTCACTGTTATGATAGGATCACAACATAACTGTGGCTGTCTCGGATCCGATGCGAAGGCTTTCCTTGACGGCAGAGGGAGAATTACGTTGGTGCCCCAAGCTGCCCCTGTCACTTCGATTTTCCATTCCATATGCCAGCCCACAGCCTCACGTATGTAGCTCATATCCTGCTCGATAACTCATGACGTACATTTTTGTTGCAGATTGAATGGTTGTGATCAATTGAAATATCGATGCCACACCAGGACCTTCCGCACCCATTCCTACTTAAGTACCAATCCAACTCTCATTTGTTTTCCAGCCGCATTTCTTGTCTGCACTCTTGCCCTCCAAGAGTCTCCACTATGTCTTACCCAACATTTTCTGCTATCGATCGTCTTGGCTACAGCATAAACATGGCCCAAGTAACCGGAATAGACATTAACTCTGTACGTTTTCATAAATCAGTTGCTGGCCTGCTCTTGACTCTTCATAGGTTGATTCAGCTCTGAAGAAAGCAGATCGTTGGATCGTTGTTGACTTTGAGAAATTTCATACTGTAGAAATTGGTGTGTTCGCCGTGAAACCCCATAGACGGCGACTGACCATCATCCCCCGCTTAGATGACAAGCTGTACAATGTTCCCAACATGGTTTCCGTCGCTCAAGACATCCGACAAGTTGAAGGCCAATTTATTCACTATGTAAACGGCGACGTCGCGAATCATGCATTTAACAAAGACTCTACTCTGAGCGGCCGCTACTTCGCGCTTACGGGACCCGCGTCTGTGGCGGCAGCCTCGCACAAATCGTTTCTCAGTGACCATCAATATGCATTCTTCAATCTCTCAAAGATGAAGTATACTGTAACTCTCAAAGACTACTCGAGTAGTATCTATACAGCTGGGCTCCTTGAGAGAGTAAAGGATTTGCCGATCTTTAACGGGCAAGACTCCGCCATTGTCAAAAAGTACAACGACTTCTTCATATCACACGGATCCCATGTCGTCATGTCGGTCTCTTATGGCGCCCGCTACCCGCTGGTGCGTTCCTCACCCGTTCACAATATCAGTGTTCAGTGCTCATCGTTGTCATAGACAGTGTGGTGTTCAAACAAAGACCAATCAGTAAATTCGATGTTCCCCACAAATGTCGAAGCTGCCTTCTATGGCATTCCAAACGGCGGGCAGTTCGATGCCACAGTGAAGGACCAGACCCAATACAAGAAATTTGAAAACAGCTGCCAGCATCTCGTCTCGGCCTTTGGCGGCGATGAAGATATCGCCAATCGCCTTGCGAACAACAGCGCGTCCTTCGAGGAATATGAGAAATGGGTCGGGACCGCTCGGCAACACCCCTGCTCCTTGCTGAGCCTCAACGTTGTCGAGCTCTGGGAGTTGATGAAGCTGTCGAAGGATGCCATAGTCAAGAGTTATTCTGACCAACTTTCGGCCGCATTTGATCACATCATTACGCGCCCTAAGATTTTTAAGACGGCCGTCATACTTGACATCCAAGCTGGTGTGCCCTCCAGTGCTCATTCATGCCAGATACTTATTTATTTCTATCGTTGTAACAGATCTTGTCGAGTTCAATTTGCTGACCCCAAGCGCCTACCTTATTGCTGACCCCGCGAATCCTTTGGACCACAAAGCCTCGATGTCTAATACACGCCTCGTGTGGAACAATCGCCCTCTCACTGTTCACCTAACACTCCGGTACTTGTTTCTGCATCTGGGAGCTCATGGTTTAATGAAGTGTTGATCTATAGCTTCTTTGTGATCAACGATGGGTCCCCGATTGATTTCTCCACCAGTCATAGAAGTCGGACCGATAACTTTGTGAATGTCATCATGGAGGGTGTTAGTACCTTGATCTTCATGTACTTGCCATGATCTAACTCGACAATCCTTCTCGCACGCTTCAGAATCAGTACCTCAATGAGTACGAACCCAAGTGGACGGCCACGAAATGGTTTTGGGGGGCCAAGGTGAACCCTAACCCGGAGACGAAGGGTGTCAAGAAAATAGAAGAGCCAACCACTTGGGACAAAGTGCTGCATGACTACCTCAATGCAATTGGGGAGGACTCGGCGGAGCCCTCCGCTTGAGACCGCTTCGCTCCATTCATGAGTTATGAACGCGTCCATAATCTGAATAAAGCTATATTTCGCTCATTTTACAGTTGATCATGTATGATACGCAGGAGATGTGATGTATTTGTATTCCTATTGGCACTTGCATGCATTCGCAGTGCAAGACATAAATAAGTACTTCGAGCTCACTTCCGAATCATGTCACCACCCTTGCAGCTTGCTTGTGATAGTTCTTCAAAGCAATTAACCAACTCTGAAGCTGGTGTACTGACAATGTTGGTTGCATGGAAGCTTTCACTCAGTCACCACCGTCGGCGGCGGCTGTTTGGAACCAATATGCAAAAACAAAGCTCTCGTATACTCATTTGTGCCTATCCTCTTAGTTGGATTGGTAGTTCCCCCCGTATGTTGCCTGTTTGTCACAAAATAGCTGCCATGCAAAGTAGATGCAAAACAAAGACTTTACGACAATAATTTAAGGGAAGATGAGACATGACTAATGGTTGAATGGAATAAACAGTGGAAGAAAGGCACCCGTCAAACTCGTTACAATGGTCATTGACATCTGAATCCGTTCATGCGTCTCTCGCGATGGAAGAAATGACCCATGATGGCCATTGCGAAGCATATCGAGAAGGTTATCCAAGCGATCGTGGAACTAAGAGACACGCAGCATGTTCTGCGGTAATATGGATTGAACATGACAATACATGCAGTCAATAAGGGCAGGACATCTGTGCTCGCGAGAATTTCTGATTCAGAGCGAAGACACAATCCTACACCAGACGAATATACATATTGTGCTCACGTGGCGTTCCGAATTTCCCTTGCGCAGCTCTACTTCTCTCGCCCCCGCCTTATGTTGTCTCGCGTGTGCTGGGATATCCCATCCTGACGTCAGAGGACTGCAAGGTGTTGTACTGTCTTCTTGGGAGAAGAGATTTGAACGGGCAAGATGGTTAGAATTTTGAGTATGTATGAACAACCTGAACTCTGGAGCAAACCATAGATAGATGCGAGAAGCTGTGTTACTTAATGTCCACTGGGTTGCCTTGAGTATGCACCGAAGCATGGTTCATCATACTAGATTGATTGGAGTTGGGCGGAAGGGACCGTAGCCAAAATGATCAAACCAGCTAAATGCTGCATCGCGACATGAACCTAGGACAATTAGCATTATCTCGTGCAACCCATGTCTGCCACCTGCGGGACACAGAAACTCACCTGCCTTGACAGCTTGCCACAAAAAAACAAACAAACCAGTGAGTGTTGATCACCTTGTTCGCCCCATTTGATCACCAGTCGTGGCAGAGTCAGATTGATCCACCAGATTACGGTAACGAGCTATGACTTCTGAATCTTCTGCAAAGCCAATCCTCAAGGAAGCTTCAACCCCAGCGCAACCCAAAAAGATCAACTCAAAGCACAGGTTTAAATAACACAAGAATGTGATTGGGGATTTTGTCTTCTTGCACGACAGCATCCCCATTGTGAGCAGTTCTGAGGGCAGCACGATGCGGAAGTGGAACTACAGCCCAAGGTTTGTTGTCAGAGAGTCATGGAAAGGCAAGGGTGTGGGCATATATGCGCTGCCGCTTTCACCAGACGGGAAAATGGTTGTGTGTGGGATGAAGGACGGAAGCGTTCAGCAGTGGAATGCCGACGGGGAGATGATCGTTGGATGGGTCATAACAATGAGGCGTGGTCACTCTTGGTGTTTCCCAGCGGGGACCATATTATACAAGCGGGTCGAAGGATGGAACAATATTCTCATTCAAAACACAGAAAGCGGGAAAGTGAAGGTCGTCGGACAACATGAAACTTTATTCCGCATCCGACAAATCAATGAGCACGTGTTTTCAACAGGGCCTTATTTTCAACAGCAAATCAGGCAAATTGCTAATTTTCTTCAAGCACGACCATATTTTGTATTCTGTCGCATTTTCACCCAAACACAATGTATTACCCGAGAAGCTTGGCTATGGAGGTTCGGCATTCTACCTCTAGCAGTCTGGACCCCAGTGATCAGGCAGGTTAACCATCATCTTTAGCACTCGACCCCGGATAAAGCCTCTTGCACAACATGAAGATAGCTATTGTAGGTTATCGGGACAGATTTCGCCTCATGCTCTGATGCATCCCACACTGCCCTCGTCGAGCTATCTAGGCAGTTCATCTCAATCTGTCTCGTGTTGGGCAACTTTGTTTATGTGCCGCATCCATATTTATTGGTTTGATTGCGTCCGGGTGACACAGGTGAGCTCTTTTTTAGGAGACGGCAGTGGCGTGATCATTGTACCACATGGCATGATAACAGACTGCTAATCATGACCACCTGCAACTCACTCCTAAGAGACAGGTAATTTGGCACGAACAACAATGCGGGATCTGAAGACTGTTGCAAACCCTGTCAGGCCCGAGAAGCTATCTTGAACATTGAAGGTTAAGGTGTCTGGCTTCAGTTTATGCACCGAAATAAAACGATTCATCATGGTATTATGATTGGAATCAATATCGTGCTATAATGAGCATCGTTAGGAACATCGAACTACAGCCAAAATGCTGTAGCTGCAGAACCTGTGAATGGATGATTATCGCCGCCTGATGGGTCCATGCTTGCGAGACATATAAAAATTCGCCTAGCTTGATACTAGACGAGGGACAAGCAAGCAGATACACACGACCTGGTGAGTGCTGGTGAACTGTTGCACCCACAATTGATCACGAACCACGTCAGGTCAGACCACTACGCCAGACACCTTACAACAACAAGTTATGGCTGCTGCGGTCTTTTCGAGGCGGTCCCGCAAGGAAGCTTCAACCCCAGTGCAATGGGATAAACCAGTCTTGAAGTGCAGATTTGAGGGACACGAGGACACAATACCAAGTTTTGTCTTCTTGCACGATAACGTCCACATCGTGAGTGGTTCCTGGGATGGCACGATGCGGAAGTGGAACTGCGACACCGGACTTCTTGTCGGGGAACCATGGGAAGGCCAGGGTAAAAGCATATATGCACTGGCACTTTCGCCGGATGGGAAAGTGATTGCGTGCGGGAGGGTAGACGGAAGCGTTCAGCAGTGGAACACGGATGGGGAGATGATCGCAGGTGTTTGGGCGGGTGATGGGAAAGCGGTGCGGTCGCTTTCGTGGTCTCCCAGCGGGGACTATATCGCCAGCGGCTCCGACGATGGAAACATCCTAATTCGAAAGGCAGCCAGCGGGAAAGTCAAGGGGGGCCCAATCAAGACGGAGCAGAGCTATGTGTGGAGTCTGGCATATTCGCCTTCCGGAAACCGAATTGCATCAGGCGGGAGCAACAAAACAATTTGCATCTGGAGCACGAAGACCGGGGAGCTTGTTGTCGGCCCTATTCAAGGCCTGGGGATGGCTGTGACGTCGTTAGTGTGGTCGTCGGACAGCACAAAACTGTATTCCGCATCCGATGAATTTGCACGTGTTTTTTGCAGCAAATCAGGCGCACTACTCCATCAGCTCAAGCACGATAATTACCTGTATTCCGGTGCACTTTCACCCAAAGACAACGTGTTGGCATGTGTGGGCAACGACGGAGTTGCACAGCTATGGGATGCAGGGTCCCAACAGCCACTCAGCCTGCCGTTTCACCAGGATGATTGCAAATGGCTTAACTGCGTGTCATTCTCTCCAGACGGGAGATACATAGCATATAGCGGAGACGACAAAAAACTCACTCTCTGGATTGTCAGACACTGTGACATAGCTCCTCAGCTTACTGCAGTACCCATACTTGGACAAGATCACGGGGAACGTGAAGTTACGCAGCATGAAAATCGGCCCGAACCACAGCAGGAAACTCAACCACGGTCCTCATCGTCCTCTTTCCTTGATGTGAGTACTCTCATGTTGAACTCACTGCCTTCTTTACTCACAGCGCTGTTGCAGGCTGATGCTACCGGAGGTGATGGCATCATCAAAGAGGGACACGATGATCCATATGACAATTTTTTCAAGGTAGAACTCATTGTTCATGCAAAGCGCACCAGTACTGACACTAATCACTTGTTGTAGTCTTCCCAGTCGTCCTTTCCTGCCTCGATATTCGGTCCCCCTCAGCCTCCCAACCCTTCCCCAGCCCGTCACTTTTGGAATGCCATCTCTCGATATCGCCTGCCGCCCATTCCATTGCGAAATGTTTTCGTTCGTCGCGCTTGCTCAAATTCACCAACACTAGACCAGAGGGTTCGAGCTGGAGAAGATGAGGAAGGCGAAATGGATGATGATGTGAGTGCTGTTTCGATTACCACACTCTCATCCCAACACGACAGCCGTCAGCGATGTTCTGCGAATGATCCGCCAGTTGCCAGCAATGATGAGCCCAGTGATACACAGAGCCCAATGCTCGATGACTCCCCTCCTCCTGCCAAGCACGACGATGAAGACGATCGAAACATCTGGAACCGGCTAATACAGGCTCGATGGAAAGCTCCCACTGACCCCAATATGACTCTAGCAGTGAGACGCCCCAAGGTCGTTGAGGTATACGCTGTGCGGGGTTTCCAGGTAAGCTTCCATACTACACGCTTTTAGTCTTACTAGACTCGGAAAAACAGGGATATGTCGCACGGACACCGTCACGGAAGACGACATTACATGCGGTGACGTGTAGCGCTCCTCTCGCTGCAGCACACGTCAGTAGCTCATCACGGCCGCTATCGTCGCACGCTATGGTCAGCAACGGAGTTCGACATGTTCAACCCACTGGAGATCAATCATTGCACGTGTCCCCATCACACTTTGTCACCGACTATCACGCCACTCGTGACTCCGATTCACGTTCGAGCATCGAAGGCTCCTGCAACAGGTTCCTCGACAAAATATGTTTTCCATGTGGGCACTACCATGAGAATTCTTGATGTTGGCTGTGTTTTCATGCGAGTTGGTTTGCATCCTTCTTTCATATCGAAGATACATTGGTCATTTTACTAGGCGACGGCCGAGATTGAGAATACGTGCGGCGTACCAATCTGTTTGGATCCAGTGTGCTTATGAATACAACCCAACAGATTCGGCAGCCTTGAGCTTCATTAGCACGGACATTGTTCGTGGTGACGCCTCAATGTAGATGCTCACAATATAGGCAACAGACGGATAAAATCACTAACATTTGGTGAGTATGAACAGAAGGCAGCGAGGCTATTTCACTTTTTCGAAATTTGTGTCAGTGGGCGTCGTAAGCGGTGAAACATCCCGCAGTGTGATTATCAACCCTACAGGCAAAATCAGGATTGTATCAACTTGGCTTGTACGAGCACTCAGCGGATATGAAATTCCGCCCGTTGGGAACGGGAGCCACGGAAGCATGGTGCGAAGACTGTCCAGCGCTTCGAGTGTTGTCATACATCAGTCACAGATTTCGCGAAACAACCCGTGGTGGATATTTGAAATCCAGTGGGAGGGCAACGTTCCATACCTCGTTTGCGCTAGGAGCTACTACTAGGAGGTGGTTACTAATGCCACGTAGGATAATCGGGCGACTACCGCATGTCATGCAAGTACACAGCAACATGTAGAACGAATGTATGATTGTATGGTGACGCGCCAAAAAAACCCGAATATCAATAGCGCTAATCGCTCCACATATTTGTATATTATGTACTTTTGTGGGCTGCGGATAGGGCCCGGTAGGCCATTGAGCATCGAATTGCCCCAAGAGCTGACATTGATCCGAGTCTGAATCAGCAAGTCAGTGTAAATATTTGTCAGTGGGTTACAGTGTACATGGAGCGGAGTGACATCACCAGAGAATTGTTCACATCATTGCACAAGTGCGTTGAACGTTATTCCTCTGGACATATCTTGCCATCAGTAATTAAAATAGATGCACATGCGTTCGAATTTCCAGAACTCGGTCAGTATCACACCGGAGGACGTCGGCGATGTGAACAGAAGCCTTGGCACTTGAACGAACGCCCTATCAATCCCCTGGTGAAATGTATCTTCTGGTTGGCACACTGGTTAAGATCGAACTAGGAGAGATGGGTCAGCATATAGACGATAATATATTTGGTAGAAGGGAGTGGACAAAGGAAGAAAGCTACCCACATTTGCATTCGTTCGTGCTTCTTCCAGATTGGTTCATGGCTGCCGTTGATGATATGACCATTCCTGAGCATGGAACTGAGATATGTGTAAGCAATGTTCTGCAGAGTCTCGGCAAAAATGATACTGTCGGAGCCTGTGAGACAATACATGCAGGCAGTGACATCCATGTTTGTAACCACTCGTCGAAGGCACAGTCAAGCACAACAGTACAAACAGGAAGCGCAGTGTACTCACCTGGCGTGCCTTGTTCATCGTTATCTACCTCCACTGTCTAGGCTCGTTGCCTCACGTATGCGGAAATGTTTGGCGCCATTTCTGAGACCGGTCTATCCGTGCCTTGCGGGAGCAGACTCAGATCAGTGGATTCTATGAGTTCGGAGCTTGGAGGACAGGTAACGATTCGGACATGAACAGCTTCGACGTGAACTGGGCCGAAGCAAATCAGAAATGGGCGTAAGGTCACCGGTCACCGTGTCTACTATAATATGTACCAATGAAACATGGTTTTAAAACCTAGATTCGAATTGGCATAGTGGATCATCTAGACTTGTCTAGAGCGACTGACATTCTCGAGCGGGTGATTATGAATGGCAGTCTGGGTCTGAAACACGAAAATAATTGGAACCTGGGAATGTACTCGGGTCACGGAAGCACAGCCCCAACGCCCGATCATCATGGAATCTATCATGATGCCTGAAACACCATACTTAACAACACGCATTGTGACCATGCTATTCTAGCTTCCCGCAGGCGAGAAACCACAGACAACCTGAGTAGTAACTTTAGTAAGTACTGGTCAACTGTTCCCCCCATAATTGATCACGAACTAAATTGATACTCCAGGCGCCTTGCCGTTGCGGTAACAAAGCCATGGCTGCTAGATCCATTGCAAGGCAGATCCGCACGGAACTTCTTCCAACCACAACGCAAGCCAAAGGTCCACCTCCGAAGCACAACTTCGAGGGCCATCAGAGGGCCATTCGGGACTTCGTCTTCTTGCACGACAATACTCACATCGTGAGTGGCTCGGAGGACGGCACCATGCGCAAGTGGAACTACGACACAGGACATCTTATCGGGAAACCATGGGGCGGGGAGGGTGGGAGCATATATGCGCTGGCGCTATCACCGGACGGCAAGACGATTGCGTGCGGGAGGGCAGATGGAAGTGTTCAGCACTGGAATACGGATGGAAAGATGATGCTTGACGGTGCTTGGAGGGGTCATAGCGATTGGGTGCGATCGCTCTCTTGGTCTCCCAGCGGAGATCATATTGCCAGTGGATCTGATGACGGAACCATTCTCATTCGGAATGCGAAAAGCGGAGAAGTAGAGGTTGGTCCGATCAAGACGAAGCAGTACCGAGTGTGTGCTCTTGCGTATTCACCTTCTGGCAACAGAATAGCATCAGGCGGGTGGAATACAACAATTTGTATATGGGACAGCAAGACTGGCGAGCTTGCTCTTGGGCTCATTCAAGGCCTGGGTTACGAAGTGACATCGGTGGTGTGGTCGTCGGACGGCACAAAACTTTACTCCGCATCCGACAAATTAGCACGAGTCTTCGACAGCAACACAGGCGCATTACTCCATTGCTTCCAGCATGACGAACTCTTGTATTCCATCGCACTTTCGCCCACATATAATGTCCTGGTGTGCGTGGGCGATCAAGGTGTCACACAGCTATGGGACACCGAGTCTCATCAATTGCTTGGCCAGCAATTTAGCAAGAATAGCCAAATCCTCCGTTGTGCATCATTCTCTCAAGACGGGAGATACCTAGCATGTGGCGGACACAACAAGGCGCTCACTATGTGGATTGTCGACGACATAGCTCCTCACCTTGTAGCAACTTCAAAGCCATCATGGGGTGATCACATCACTGGCGAGGTGCAGGACGATCCATATGACTCATTTTTCTGGGTAAATTTCGTATATGCTATGCAAGAACACTAGTATTGACGATACGTAGTACCATTCCCAGAAATCTCTTCCGTCGCCATCATCTGGCCCCCATGTCCCCCACCTGTCCTTTATTCGTCGCTTCTGGAACGTCATCTCTCGACACCGCCTACCTACAGACGGATCTGTTCCACGAGAACGCCCCAAGCGTAGTTTCTTCGCTCGTAGTACTCACTCAAATTCGCCCCTGGAGCTTGCAAACATCATACCTAGCCAACCAATATCAGCATGGAAGGTCCAACTACGAGAAGATGACGAGGAAGATGAAATGGAGGATGTAAGTTGTTTCTCCTCTCTCGCACATTGTCATCTTAACGTTAGCATTCCCTGAATTAGCCGGGCGCCAGCAAACTAGAAAAGTGTGGAGGCAAACAATGGGAAGGATCCCTTGTTGACGTGCAGAGTCCACCTCCCTATCATCCTGCTCCCCATACTGAGCTCCACAGCGAAGAACATGTGAACTTCTGGAGACGGCTAATGCAGAGCCCACCTCCCTATGATCTCGCTCCCCCTGCCGAGCTCCACAGCGATGAAAATAGAAGTCTCTGGAGATGGCTAATGCACATTCAAGGGAAGTATCTCACTTCCAGAAGAACGGCTTCAACAATACCCGGCCCGATGTCGTTGAGGTATCCTGTGTGCACGAGTTCGAAGTCAGTTTCCGTTTCATCTTGACGCTCGCTCGCTCTGACTGGATGCAACAGGCCACGTTGACACGAAACCAGCAGATGAAGTCAACGTGCAGTGCTTCTGTTGCTGCAGCCTATCATCGACCATAATATCTGTGTTTCATCGTCGCGACCGGTCTCCATATGGGCAGGGCATCATCGAACACGTTCCCATCACACTTTGTCACCACCTACCATGCCAGTTCGGACTCAATATGTTTCACCTACGGACACAACTATTCTTGATATTGTCTTGGTTTTCATGTGGCTTTCTTTTTTTATTCCGCTGGATGTCAAACTCGTCATGCTTCATCACTATCTTTATTTTAGTATTCAACTTCGTAATTATATTTTATTCCGGTGTTCCTCATACAGCTGGGGTACCGCTTCTCCTATTCAGCATTACACATACACATCATACTACACCACGCTCACCTAGCCCTCATGAGCCACTATATTTGACACAGTCATCCGCACATATATTTGAATACTGTACGATTTGAAGGTGTGTATGATATATAGGGTTATGTATGTACGGGTTCATGAAAGGATTAAGGGGGAGACTGCATGATCGATCGAAAGGATTTAGAATTTGGGAGAATCGTCTCGGCGCCTGAGTTAAGCTTGCTCAAGTTACAAGTAGTGAACTCTCGTAGGCAGATCAATAAGCAGGAAGATCTACAGTTTATTTCTTCTACCAGGTTCAATGAGTGTACAAACATAATTTTGCTCGAGAAAAAAGGTGCCAAACTTGAAACGACAACGGTTGACCCGGCGCTAGGGGGCCGCCCGACCGCCAGCGCCAACCTAAACTTTTAAAGCGCTGCATGCTGGGCCCTGGCACGTGCTACAAGTTCGAACTACTTCAATCGATGTCTAACAGACACATCTACAGATACGGTCTCGTCTCCAGGCTACATACCACGGAAGAAACGCCCCGAAATCATCCTCAAGACTCAAACGTGAAGAAGTGCGGTGCCACGACAACGACAAGCCAAGATTGACTCGAGCTCACATCTGCAGTTCGTGCGAGAAAAAAAATGAACTTTTTCATCGCAATAACTGCAGCTGCATCAGCCGCGTGCGACGTGCGTTGCGGTGCTCGCAACGTTATTGCAGACCGTTGTAGCACCCAGGCGAAGAGGTGAAGTGTCAAAGTGTGTGTCATTTACTTTGTTCTTAAGGTTCTTCTTCCCACCAGGAGAACACAATCGGTCTCCGTGAGCTAACGCGACACTTGCCGTGAGAGGACAGTTGCAGGCGCGAGGAGATATACGGAACGGAGGATTTGGCATGTCAGATGAGTCCACTTTGTTTCTGGTTCGTTGCTAGAGATTCATATCATGTCCGCTGACTCATTAACCAGTAATAGTATAATTGGAGTCAGGTGAAGGGTCATACAAAGCATAATTACTAGTGAGTATCATAGTATGCCGACATCGAAGCAGCTGACATGGGAGAAAAGGTGGATGAGCCAATTCACTGATGTGACAGGCTCACAACAGACTCGCATAATAAACCTAATAAACCCGTTATGATTAGCGCTGCCTCTGGTGTGATCCATGTAACAGCTTGCCACCAGGCGAGACCAGCAGGCAACCGGTGAGCATGGTTCAACTGTTCGTCCCCATAATCGATCACAAACTGCATTGTCAGAAAGCATTGATTTACCAGACTCCTTACGGTAACGGGCTATGCCTTATAAATTCTCTGCAAAGTCAGCCCATGAGAAAGATGCAACCCCAGCGCAATCCAAAGGACTAACTCCAAAGTACGAATTTGAGGGCCACGAGGGCACTATATGGAGTTTCGGCTTCTTACACGACAACGTTCACATCGTGAGCGGTTCGCTGGACGGCACGATGCGGAAGTGGGACTGCCACACAGGACTTATTGTTGGAGAACCATGGAAAGGCGAGGGCGGCAGCATATATTCACTGATGTTGTCGCCGGACGGCAAGACAATTGCATGCGGGAGGAAGGACGGAAGTGTTCAGCGATGGACTACCGACGGTGAGATGATTAAAGGCGTTTGGGCGGGTCATAGCGACCGGGTGAGGTCGTTGTCGTGGTCTCCCAGCGGGGACCATCTTGCGAGCGGGTCCGGTGATGGGACAATCCTCATACGAAAGGCAGAAAGTGGAGAAATCGCAGTGAGCCCAATTAACACGGAGCAGATCGGTGTGTGGAGTCTTGCATATTCACCTTCTGGAGGGAGAATTGCATCAGGCGGGTGGAACAAAACAATTTGCATCTGGCACACGAAGACCGGCAAGCTTGTCGTCGGCCCCATCGAAGATGTGGGTAATAGTACTGTGACGTCGTTGACGTGGTCATCGGACAGCAGTAAACTTTACTCTGCATCCGACAAATTCTCCCGTGTTTTCGACAGCACATCAGGCCAACTGATTCATCGCTTCCAGCACGAGCATTCGCTGTATGACGTCGCACTATCACCCAAAAACAATGCACTGGCGTGTGTGGGCATCGAAGGCGTCGCACGGCTATGGGACACCGAATCCCATCAGTTACTCGGTCAACTATTTTATCAGGATCACGCAGACTTTTACTGCGTGTTGTTCTCTCGAGATGGGAGATACTTAGCATGCGGTGGACGCGACGGGACGATTGCTTTATGGATGGTAAAAGACATAGCTCCTGAGTTGGCAGAACCCATATTTCAAAAAGGTCACGGACGACCTACACAACAGGAAACTCAGGCTCGACCCAAGTCCCCATCATCATCTTGGCTCGATGTCAGTATTCACACTCGGCTATATATCTCGCCTTGCTCATGAGACCATCACAGGCTGATGCTACGGGGGGTGATGACATCCTCGAGGTGTGCGATGACCCATATCACAATTTTTTCGAGGTAAGATCGTATTTTGTCATGCACATGGTACTAGTCCTGATGAGAAGTACTTGTAGTCTTCCAAGACATCTCTTCCATCGCCGTCATCTGGCTCCCATCCCCCACACCTGCCCTCTATTCGCCGCTTCTGGAACGTCATCTCGCGCCACCGCCCACTGGCAGATGAACCCGTTCCACGAGAACGTCACAAGCGTGGTTTCTTCGGTCGTCGCGCTCGATCAAAGTCACCCCTGGGGCCTGCAACCGTCATACACAATCAACTACCACCAGATGGGAAGGTTCAAGTGGGAGACGAAGGTGAAGAAGATGCAAAGGATGATGTAAGAACTTCAAGTTTCCCGGCTCTTGTACATCGCCTCAACTGATGTGTCGTTATTTTTTCGCAAACCCTCAGCCTGAGCTCGACGCCAGCAAAGACATTCAACAAGAGGAATCTTTTGCCGACGCGCAGAGCCCACCACCTGCTGTTACCACTTCCCATTCCAAGCTTGACAGCGATGACCATAACCTATGGAAACGGCTCATGCGTACTCGGCGGAAGGATCCCACTTCCACCAAAATAGCTCCAGCATTGAAACGTCCTGAGGTCGTTGACGTATACGCTGTGCGAGGGTTCCAGGTAAACTTCAATTCGATCAGCTATATACTTTGTTTCTTACTAGAGATGGATTTGACAGAGATATGTCGCACAGACACCAAAACCCAAAACAAAGTCCTCGGTGGCAATGCACAGCGCTCCTCTTACTGCATCACACGCACGTGGCTCGTTACCAGGCGGTCCATCATCACACGTTAGTCCCGTCCAGCTGGGTATGTCGCTGCAAACCACGTCAAGACAGGGACGGCCATCACCCGTTATAGTTGGACACAGAACTCATTATTCGCAAGCTGTCGGAGGCCACGCATCCCCATCACATTTTGTTACTACATATCACGCCAGTCGTGACTCAGATTCTGACTCAATCCAAGGTTCTTGCAACAAGTTCCTTGACAAAATATGTTTCCCGTGTGGACACTACCACGAGGATTCTTAATGTCGGTTGGGGTTTCGTGTGTGCTCAGTCTGTATCCTTCCTTCATCTTCTCCGGTCCTCGTCAGAATTATGGTTGGCTGTAATTTTCAAAAAACAGGACGCATTTATGTGCACAAACAATGGAATAGAACAGTGCGGAGCCTGTAGCAGGTGACACGGAATGATGATGTCATTTATTTTTTCTTGAGCGTACAGGATGACGCCAATTAGGGGTTACACCAAACAGTTCGTCCTTGTCGTCATGCAATGCCGACCCTTGCGGGTATTTGCTGCGAGAGGCTCCATCTTGGAGCGGTCCGCATTGACAAGATTCCACGCCCGCTCCTCAATTGAACAACTACATGTCAACAACGCTAACGTCCTTCGTCATCACTACATCATCGATTCACCGTATATAAAGTCCCAGAAACGCACTATCTCTCATCTTCTTAACCACAACACACAATCAATAATGTCTTTCGATCAAGAAAACCAAGGTTCACGTCGTACGTTGTTTTAAATTGTTTACAAATCCTAGACAGACTTATCATCTTCATGCTGCAACAGGGAACTTCAACGACGACGCAAACTACGACTCCCCAAGCGGCGATCAACGCACCGTCCCCGGGGGTGACACCACACTCTCTGGTTCCCACGGAGGCAGCGGCAGCGGCCAAGCTGGTGGCTACACAGGAAGCGAACGCCGCGCTGGTAGGCAAGGCCAGCAGGGTTTAGATGAAGGCGATGAGTACTGCGACACGGACCCTGGAATGGCTGGTAATCGCGGCGCTCAGGACGTGAATATCCCTGGAGTTGGTGGCGAAAATGACAGTGCCTATGGCCAGAGCATTGGTGGCGATGGCCGTAGTCGCGGGTACGAGCGCGACACTGATGAATATGATGATTCTGGCATTGGGAGTGGTCAAGGTCAGGGCACCGGTCGTGGTCCAACGGGCAAATTGTCTTCCATGAGTTCCAAATTGATGGGTTGGTCTTTCTTCATCTGGATTCGCAATTATACTCATCTTAGTGTTCAGGCGGAATGGAGAAGATGGCTGGAAAACTTTCTCATGACCCCGAACGCGAGGCCAAGGGCGAGCAGCGCAAGGTACGTCGTGATTTATTGTTGTTCAGGATGGGATGGCTTATGATTTCGTAGACCGGCCTCTAGGCTACCCCAGATGGACATTGTACCTATATTTGTACCAGGAGCGTGTTTAATCGGGGGAAGGTTTGGATATATCATATCGTACCTATACATGGGTAGCAAAATCACAAAAAAAAACTTCTTGGGATACATCCTGCCTGCCTGTAAATAGTGATGTGTTATACTCTCGAGCTGAATCCCACTGGACTCTATTGTACCACAACAAATCTCCTCGTTGGCATGATCGATCCAGATACTTAAGGTCGTGCGTAGAAAGCGGCATCACAAGCGCTTGTGACTCAGTGGTTACCATTCCAAGCCACCTATTGCTTCCTGCACTTGCGCGGAGATCAGAGTATCGTCAAAACGACAAGTAAATACTCACTATCGCTCTGAAAGATATCCACATACCGTCCATCAGACAAATCATCGCAAATCAGCCGCCGGTGGTGTTCTGTCGCACGTGTTCAAATCAGTAGCCGCTTTCTTGCCCCGTATGCTTACCACTTTCAGTCCTGAGCCGGCGAGCCGCTATCGATGGACTCGAGCGTGCGGCGTAGCGCAGGTGGCCAAATATAGCACTTACAACAGAGCCAATACCTAGTGGGCCTGATAAGTTGATGATAACAATGAAATCGCTCACTCTATACGATATTCCCTCCCAATTGCCTGGAAGCTACTGGTCTCCAAATACATCGAAGCCCAGGTCAGCGTGCTTGTCTTGAGTGTAGACATGACTTCCCTACCTCTTGCGCCAGGTTCGTCTTAAGCTACAAGGAGCTACCTTTTGAAACTGTCTGGGTCGAGTACCCAGACATTGCGACTGTTCTGAAGGGTCTTGGCGTACCGCCTAAAAAGAGATCCGACGGTTCAGAAATGTATACCGTCCCTGTACTCAGCGACCCCAACACTGGCGCTCTGATCGACGAATCCCTCGAGATCGCAGCATATCTCGAGAAAACTTATCCCGCAAAGCCCGTCTTCCCGCACGGCTCCGAGATGCTCATTCGTGTATTCGACTCTTCATATCTCGACGATGCGCACCCCATCGTGAGGCTGATATTTGTGCGTGTTGCAGAGATTCTGAACCCCGTGAGCGCGGAGTTTTTCCGTCGGACGCGCTCAGAGAGGTTACAACTTCCGTGGGACGAGTTTTCACCTGAGGGTCCGAAACGCGATGGTGATTGGACATATTTGGAGCAGGGTTTCAATAAAGGAGAAGCGTTATGGGCGAAGAGTGGTCGGGAGTGGGTTATGGGAGGTACGTTCTCGTATGCGGACATCATCGTGGCAAGTCGGCTGTTTTGGTACAAGCGCGTCCTGAAAGAGGAAGAGTGGGCTCGGATCAGCTCTTGGAATGGTGGGAGGTGGGCAAAGGTGCTGGTTAAGGTTTCTCAGGAATGTCATCTCGCGTGATATACCGGTAACCTGAGATACCCACTTTGACTTTGAAGCTTTGTAATGACCGCCAAAGGTTTAAATACCAGAATCACATATTGATCACATACCAAGTGCAGCTAGGTGCAGCTGCTGACAATGCAGCCCATCATCCTATACGACATACCAAGCAAGCTTCCCAAGAAGAGATGGGCGCCCAACCCATCAAAGACGAGGTGCCGTGACATGATGTTGTAACGCCTGATGCCGCCGACTCACATACGGGTTAGATTCTGTCTGGGCCATAAAGGCCTTCCACATGAAATTATCTGGGTGGAGTCCCGTAATATTGCTGTGACCATGAAAGGCATTGGCGCATCTCCAACAGCTGGAGAAAGATACACCTTGCCAGTTATTAAAGACCCCAACACTGGCGCAGTGATCTCTGACTCCCACGCAATTGCCAAATACCTCGATGAGACCTACTCCGACAAGCCGCTGATACCTCGTGGGGCACACGTCCTCGTACAGACCTTCGAGACCCTGTTTATCAACACAGTCTTGGCACCGTTCTCAAGACTCCTTATGACCAGAACTCTCGAGATACAAAATGATGAGAGCCGTGAATTTTTCATCAAATCGCGGTTAAAGATGTTCAGAGAAACACGCTGGGAAGATGTGGCTCCCGCAGGAAAGACACAGCAAATGTGGGCTGGGTTCAAGAAGGGCCTTGATGTGGTGGATGGGTGGTATTTAAAGAGCGGAGGAAGGTGGATTATGGGAGATATATTCTCATTCGCAGACATTGTCGTGGTTTCTTGGGTAGCTTGGTGGGGCGCTGTTTTGAACGAACAAGAACACCGGGAGATCTATGCCTTGCATGGTGGAAGATGGGTACGTCGTTTGGCGGATGTAAATTCCGAGTGCAACACAGACCTAGGCTACTTTGGGGAACACAACCGTTCCTTCTTATGATTTTCATGGATTTGCTAGCTATAGCGCTTAGGAGGTAGTTGTGTCAAATGTCGATGTTGTTCAGAACTCCGAGTCCAGACGGCGAAGGCACAAACAAGGACAAGCTAATTATTACGCACGTGACCGCGTTGCCGCGCACTAAATCGAACGCGTCCCTGCTCTGAACCGTTGTATCTTCGGTACGAGCTGAGGCAAGAACCAACATAGGGGACTTATCATATTCTAGGCATCAAAGAATATTCCATACCTCTAGGCGCCCTTCAAAATATGGCAGCGAATGATACCGAGCTGCAACAAAGGGCCGCGGAAAAGGAAGCAGAGAAGGCGACAAATTGTGCTAGGTTCGTTAGTTATATGCTTGGATCGTGTCTTGTTTTCTGACATATTGCGCAGAATCTTGACCGAAAGTGAATATCCAGTTAAAGCCATAGTCTGGAGGTGAACTGACACAACCAATGATCAGCTTTTGGTCATGCAGGGTACAAGGGGAAGCAGAAGGAAATCGTCGAGGCAGCTATTTCTGGTGCGTTATGGCACAATCTTGCTGAAAATCTGCGCCAACATAATGGTTCACCACACAGGATTCGATGTTTTTGTATTAGCACCGACGGGAATGGGCAAGGTATTTGCCAATGAATACAATCAGATCGCCTATTACCTATCGCAACAATTTACAGAGCCTGTGCTTTCAGATTCCAGCAATCGCAGATAAGGTATGCTTTTGGCACCCTTGCTTGACAGGAGCTGATTTCATTGTAGTTTGGTATCTCCATCATAGTTTCACCACTATTGGGTCCGTCAAACGTGCCAATAAAGGTTGGTTTAATGAGCTGACCCATCAACCCAGCCCTGATGAAAAACCGTACGTTGGGTGCCCGTTCCTCTTTCCATCCGAGGCTGGACTGGATTTTGCAGAAGTATCGAGTCTGCGCCGCAAAGGACTCCCCGCGATTTCTTGGACATCGGACACACCACCGAGTGAACGAGATCAAGTACTATGACTGCTCTTCTACACTTTGAGTTTTCTGACACGCGGAGCATAGATCATCGAGGACCTCGAATCAGGGAAACCGAAAACCCGTCTTCTATATAGTGAGCTTGTTTTACGTGAGAAAGCATATGAAGCGAGCTAATCACAATTTCGAGCAGCCACACCTGAAAAACTTTGCACGCGTGAAATGACGCGTCTCCTTGAAGTTGTTTATGCCGAGGGCGAACTCAACAGGTTGGTTGTGGACGAGGTAAGAACTATCCGTGGAAAATGTGATATCTTCTCATTCATTGATAGGCGCACTGCATATCTGTGGGCATCGTATCGCTGCTCGCTTTCAGGACCTACTAACATCAACCACGTCCGTAGGAGTGGGGTCACGATTTCCGTGAAGAATATCGCAAGTTAGGTTCTTTCCGGGAACGATTCCATGGAGTGCCCATTATGGCACTCACAGCAACTGCTACTCCGAGGTATGTCCGTCATACTGCAGGCATCATTCCCTGCTTCATTATGACCTTTCTATCCGGTTCTTATGTTGTTATGGCTCCAGCGTTCAAGCAGACATTATACGCAACCTCAGGATGTCGGAAGAGAGACTATTTACCGCCTTGCATCCGTTTAATCGCGCTAACTTATTCTATGACATCAAATACACCGCGGCGCTAGACTCCCTATCTCGTATGTCAGCCGTACACGATTTCGTAATGACCCTACACCGTCGTCGGGCCCGACCGAGCTCCGGGATCATTTACTGTCGTGCCCGTCGGACGTGCGATGATCTGTCGGCCTTTCTGAGAGGAAAAGGAATCAGTGCCAGGCCATATCATCGCGGAATTAGGTGCGTTCCCTAGGCAAGTTATGAAACGACATTCTTGATGAGGTAACGGGGTAAAAGTTCACGTACACTGGATAAGACGTTGAACGAGTGGGAAGCAGGTGGAAACGGTGATGGTGGTGTTGACGTGGTGTGTGTTTTCCATATCCTTCAATGGTCCCTTCTAGTACGCTTACTTGATTTATAACTTAGGTATGCGCAACCATTGCTTTCGGGATGGGGATCGATAAAAGCGATGTCCGGTTAGCTTTCTTTTCTGGTGGAATTTGGGTTCTCTTTTGATGCTGACGCTGGCGACCAAGGTATATCATTCACTACGACCTTCCGAAGAGCTTTGAAGGTACGTATCTTTCATCAGCTATTGTGAAGAGCGACCTTTGACCAGCAACACGTATCATGTTCAGGGTATTATCAAGAGACAGGTACAATTATTTTCATTCGCCAGCGTAGTTCTGACTGGGTTTTCAAATAGGGCGAGCAGGCCGTGATGGCTGCGTGAGTTTGTCTCTTGTGTCACCTTCTCTTGCTTATTTCCATTTAGCCTTCCAAATGCGTCCTCTATTACTGTGAGTCGGCATGCATGCTAACGAACACAATTAGTGCTTGACGCAACTTACAGCTCGCGAAGACGCCTTTCGCCTCCGCAAATTAGTATCCGATAGCCATGCTAAGAGAGAACGCGCAGCAAATACCATGTACGGTCCTCAACCTAGCCAAAGGTCCATCGACAGTTTCAGTGCAGTCAGTGACTTTTCCTTGGCCCGCGTCAGAAAACTGACGCACTCCAGTTGATTGGATTTGCGGAAAATGCAACTATGTGCCGACACGTGGTCGGTCTCTTCCTGATCACTAGCTAGCTTGGTTTCATCTAATCTGAATCATTCCAAGTCCATCTGCAAGTACTTTGGTGAAAAAATAGACGCTAGCGACAGGGAGGTCGTCAAGAGCTACTGTGATAATATGTGTGATGTGCGTCTTCTCCGTTCACTTCTTCGTGCAAAATGTGATAAAGCGACCTCAGGTGTGCAAATACCCTGATAAAGCTCTACGCAAAAAACAGAATCTCTCCTCGGAGGACCGCGTTGCTGCACTGTCACACTCACGCTCCTTTAACACAGATGCATTCGAAGACGACGCCGGGGAATCATATCCAGCGCCTCAAATGCCTCCTCCCGGTCAGCGCAATGCTGGACAGACGGCCAACGGCGTGTTAAAAAGGGCCAATGCTGGTCCTGCAGGTCCTTCCACGAAGAAGGCAAAGCTACAGCCACTGCCACCTTTATTAAGTGAGCAATACGCGTTCCAATGTTAAGGAGTTCATCTGACACTGTGATAGTCACGAAGCCTTATAGTTCTGTCGATACCTTAAGGAAGCCATTCAAAACACCGTTCAAGGTGCTGTTCAAGCAGCCTCCACAAGAAGCGCGCATTATAGAGTCTTCGGATGCTCAGCAAACTATCCAAAAAGACGAAGACCAAACCCACGATAATGACGAGGTTGAAGTCGTCGACGTCAGCTTTGATTCAGCTTGGCAAGCTTCGCGTGAAGAGCTGCCCCAAGACGATGTTCTGGACGAGGAGCCTACAAACTTTTGGCAAGGTGGCAGTGATATCTCCGTCGATCATGGTATATCCAAACGCGAGCTGCTGATAAGAAGAAGCGCTAAAATTCAATATCTTTCAGATCCTCAAGTAGACCTACCCGAAATTGATATCGAACTGGAAGCAAGCATCTCCAAGAAGATACCCGTAAGTTTAAATCCTGCCTGCATAGCACAATACAATAATGATGTGCGATATTGGTTAGGAACCAGCAAGGATGGAGGTCTTCCGCACTATCAGACAAGCTTTACACAGAACCCTTCGCTGGGACGATAGTGATGATGGGCTATGGGTCCATTTGAGCAATGCTCCGTCCAACTCCGAAGCAAGGTACTCCTCAGATATTCACGAAGTGCCCGTTCTGACAATTATGCCTAGACATCTGATCCTAGCGGAAGCCTCTAAAGAGATAGAGTACTCTGTGCATGCAATGTCCGCCACCGAGTCAGGTTATGATCAGAGAGCAAAGGTAAAAATGCATGTGGTCAAGCTCATGGAACACAGAGAAAGTCTTTGGCCGATCGACGCGGCTCATTATGATGAGGACGAGGAGGAAGCGATCGAGATGATAGGATTGCTGAGGAATATATGCAGTCGCTGGAGAAAGCTTGGTAAAAGAAAAGCTACATGATCTTTGTCTCTTGCCTGTACGGATGTGGATATCGAACATGCTTATCGTGCTTCTATACTGCCATGTTTGCAGTCCAGACACTGACACCTTCCTCCCTTTGACCCATCATTTGCAGAAGTCGCGGTCGGCCGGACCCTCGGTGAAGGGACATGAGAACAGACGATCCTGCAAATCTATTCCCTGAACAAAAATGATTTACCCAAGCTGAAGCCACAAGCCTCTAACACACTCACCACCTTCATCTCCAAACCGGTTACAAACAACAACTAGCAGTTCGTTGGGAACTTTGCGTTCCCCTGGTTTCTCGTCGCTCTCATTTGATGCCTTCTGGATGGTCGCCCACAATGGGTTCAAACGCATCGCCCAGTATTTCATAACTTCCCAACTTGGCTCCATCTCATCTGTGTCTTGGTTATGCTCCGGCGTCGTGTGACCAGCAGAACCAGTCTCTGATTCTTCTCCATCTTCATCAGGATGCAACCACGCATTCAGGAGTATTAAAAGCCGCGTGCCCGATCTTATGCAGTGTCGCGCAAGTTCATATGGACCTTCCTCGAGCGACTCCCACACAGCAGGGTCCTGCACATTAAGGTCATTGCAGATCGCAAGCGTAGTTGGGCCCAGTGGATGCGGTAGCGTCATCGTCGAAAACCCAGATCCAGGAACAGCCCATGGGAGATCAAGTTTATAGAGGTTGGTCTTGCGATAGGCTCCAACGCGCTCCCCTGTGGGATTATACATGACCGCACTGTTTGCACCGATGCGTGGCTGCTGGAACGATAAGCTGGCGCTATCATCTCCGAGTGGAAGGGCATGTTCATGTGGTTCGAGCTTCTCAGGATACCCAGCGGCCACAAAACATTCAAGGGAGCGTGCTAGCTCCGCGCAAAAAGTGGATGTGGGCCCGGTATGCGGGTGTTCGAGATATGGGGTGATAGCAGCTGTATCCGGAAACACATAGCCTGGATGAGGGCCGCCGGTCGCGGATGTGCATGTTCAGAAACCCTCGGGCAGTAATAATGAAGTACAATGACCGACTCACCGGAGAAAATCATCTCTGGGAAGCACAGGAGATCGATAGATCTGGGCTTCAACCTAACAAAAGTCCGTGAGGTCACCCTCTTAGTTCTAACGTAGTGCGTGAGGTCGCATACCCCTTGCATAATTCTCGAGCCTTGGCGATGTTGGCTTGCACCTGGCCGAGCTTGTAATGATGTTATTCAATTATGGCTGCGGTATTTATCCCCGAGGAAATGGACACACTGACCTTCGGAGCGAACTGCACGACCGCCACACGCAGTTGCGCAGGCATCATGATTTCATGAGGCTGGTGGAGAAGGTGTTACTATCGTGACCCCTTCAGCGCTGCGATCAAACACAAATACCAAGTTGGTATCGGCGTCAAAATTCATATGGCAGGCAGTGCCAATATTAATCGCAAACGTACACAGTACGAAAGATAGGAGTAGGGAATAATATATGGTAACAATTTTTCTACTTTCGTTCAGCCACGACGTCCATGCACAGAATCTCAATTGAATATTGGCCCCACATACTACCCCATTGCCAGCACATTCCTCGCACGGCAGGAGTCCCCACAGGGGCCCGTAAATCGGTCTTCTAACCGCCAACCCGAGGGCTCGCAGTCAGGAAGCCGTGATTCCACTCTTACGTTGGCTTACTCTCGCCCGTCAGGGTCATCTAGTCAACGAGAATAAGCCTCATGTCATCCCAGAGACCCATCACCTTTTCCCCCAGAGCTAGGAGTCCACAAAGCGGGGAGCTCTGGAGGAGAGGCGGTGGGCTGTCAACGATCAAGAAGTCGACCACGCAAGCTGAATGTTACTTTTTGGTATCGGAGACGGAATATCTGCAAAAATGGGACCATCCAACAACAAAAAGTGAGAAATAGGATGCCAAGAAAACCACGATGATGCGAGAAGCGGGAAATCAATAACACAGCGTTCAACATAGAATAAAGCCAAAAGAAGTATAATATAATGGACTCCACTTGCATAGTAGATGTAGGCGAATAGATCACTAATCACGGGACCGCAATGAAGGACCACTGGCAGGGACCTCATCTCGGGATCCCGGACGCGAATGAGGCTCCTCTCTTGTGGCCGAGGGGGCGGGATACGCATTCATTATGCTTGCGAATGTTGCAGGGACAGGCAATGGGGCTGGCGCATTGGCACCGGCAAGATATGGTGACTGCTGTTGTTGTGGGGGAGGTGTTGCCTGGGAGGTGGGTGTCACGTTTGGTGGTGAAGGATTTGCGAGCTGACGGGTGTTATGTGAATGAGAGATGCTCTGCCGCCTGTCTTCGATATCTCTATGTGAAGGAGGGCGGTACTCGTGGATACTTAAAGTGTCGGCGGATTGAGGTGGGGGAAGGACGATGGTCGTGAAAGGCTGCGATTGTAGATGTGGGGGAGGGTGTGTGTATGAATGAATATCTTCAGCGTGACCATCGGCGACGCTAGATTGGTCTTCTGGAAGTGCAGGAACGACGGCCGCGTGTCTACCGCCTAAAGGTCTGTGTTATATCGTGTCACAATTCAGAAAGAAGGATGAGAGGAGAAAGAAAAAGAGCGGCCAGCATGCACGATAGTACAACCCGCGGTACCCGCTGGTCCGCCTCCCATTCCAACGATTGCAATTACTACACCGGCCATAGGAATGATGACTCACCCTCCCTCAACGAAGTTTTGCCATACATAATCGCGCAGGCGATCGGCATTTGGAAGCTCCTGGATCAAGTGCTTGATTGTGTTCTGTCCTAGCCCAAAGAAGTCGGGCCCCGAGACAGAATTCGAGTGCTGGCGATTGCGAATGGTATTGGCTTGCTTCACAATCGTAGACCATGCACCAGTGGCGGTGCCTGCGATTTGAGGACGATCTGGGACATCAGATGCGACGATCTTGAACTTGGGTCCATCCCCGCCATCGAGGATTGAGCAAGTGTATATAGCGTCTGTGGTTGGATCCATCGTCGAAGAATATTTTCTGGAAGGATAATGATTGAGAGCATTACTTTGATTCAGATGAGTGCTCACCGTGTCACTTCATACCCAACAGGGAAGATGTACCGCTCCGTGTGAAAATGTTCTCGCATGCACACCTCTCCAAGTTGGTTCACTGTCATGATGCCGACAGTGAGCGGCAGTAATGGACGTCCCTGTTTATCACGTGGAACAGTAGGGATGCTGTAGCTCTTTGTTGTGACAGTATGGGCTTTCAGACGTTTAGGCTTAGCGTGGCGCTGAACTTCGGTTGCACGAGACGATGGCGTGGGTGCAGGGGGAAGCCCCATGTGGGGAGGTAACGAAGGAGAGGGACCAACAAGTGGAGGCGTATTTCCAGGGACAGGAACTAAGGCAGGATGCTGTCCGCCACCGTTGGCACTAAAGCGCACCGGATCATAATGAGTAGGCTGCTCATCATGAGGAGATAACAATGGAGATAGTGATGATTGGGAGCGTGGCGCATTGCTTGAAGGGACAGGATCATTGGGTGAAGGGCGTACAGGAGGCTTAAGGCGAAGACGAGCCCCTTTGGCGGACACAAGAACAGGGGCTCCTCCTTCCAGGGGAGCAGGACCCACGCCCATAGCGGGCTGCCCAGGGGGCAGCTGGCCCATGGCCTCTTTGCCTTTGACAGCTGCGCGAGGTCGCTTTGGTTGGCGGCGGGCTTCACGAGCCTCCTCCTCAGCACGGTCTCGATGTTCATCTTCTGCGCGCTTGCGAGCCAACGGGCCGATATGCCGCGAGGTAAGTAGTGGATCAACCTCATGATCGTCGGTTTCTTCTTCTGCCACTGCCTGACGGAGGTTTGATCCAAAAAACGAACGAGCTTTCAGGGTTGAGAGGGAGCGAGGATAAGCACTGGATGGCGGATAAGGAACACCCGAGACGTTCGGCTCAGAGTGTGTTTCAAGCTCACGAATGCGGTCGAGCATCTTGCTGGAGTGGAGAGTCAGACCAATATATGAAATATCGATATTGCAGTTACACGCACTCCCGTTCTTCCCGAAGTTTCATATTACGTTCCCCAGAGAGCCTCAACTCGTGCTGCGACTCTTTATGTTTCTAAGGCGATTTTGTTAGTGAAATAGACGTAAACGATGATGAAGGATGCTCACGTCCTCCAACTCAAAATATTTCCGTTTCAGTTTTCGATATTTCTCGACGACTTCCTGATGATCTCTTGGAGGTGCTGGTGGTAACTGCTGGGAGACTGACAACGACGGTGGTGGTGGTGGACCCATGACGACATCAGCGGGCGGGCCCATCGTTGTGGACGATGAGCGACGGCGAGACATAGAATTTGTGTGAAAAGTAGAAGAGAGACCCGCACAAGAAGCGCGCAAAGGTAAAATCCAACCAAGCTCAAACACGACTACACAGCCTAGGACTTGGAACGTCAAAACTGTAGCAACATTGACGGCAGAATTGAGACTTCGAACTCTCTCCTTATCTCCGGTAGTTCCAACTGATTTTCAAGGGTCCACCCTATTTTCTTTTCCAGGTTTTGCGCTGAAAAATTGGGAGAGCACAACAGAATTTGGTGTTTTTTCTCTTGATACTTTGCCACGGCGAATCTGCCACGGCGTTGAGTCTGCCACATCATTTCACCATCCTATTGCTCCCGGAAACCTTGAGCCACGCCACTACCACCTTCCTTTTTTCTATTTCTGGTAGTCACTTTTTGGCTGAACCGAGCAGAACTAAGTGATGGACCGTCATAAACATGCCGTCCAGTATTAGCTTCGACTCTCACAGCAACGGCTTCTGTAGTCGTCACCGTCATCCAATCTTCAGCTTTTTCTCCTGCAAAATCCAAATTCAAAAGCCAAAATCATGGACGTCATGTGAGACGAGGTGAGACGTTGTGAGAGGGGGCGTAAAAATAGCACTCCTGCTCGAGCCCTGTGCCTGTGCCTACCACCACTGGAGACCAAGAGAGTTGCCTAAATTTATTTGAGATCACATAGGCCGTCCATATTTCAACCATCGGCAGGCAACCCGTAGTATTGATCATGATTCTGCACGGCCCCTGCTTAAAAAAGAAAACCAGTAAACGATACGATCAGGATTCTGTATTCCTGCGAACCTGATCTTCAGAATCCCTTCCACGCACGTGAATCATCAGCACTGATCTGGCCCAAAGTGAAGGCCGCACGGGACGCCGTTCAGGCGCTCTGTGAGCGCAAGATAAACGCCAGGAAGGCTGTGAATGACATATCCATATCACTCGGTTTCAAGCGTTAGAAGCGCTGCCAGCACATGTCCGTGTTACGGTATACAATGTACATACCTGCAATAAGAAATAGCGGGATTCAGGTATTTATGACAGCGAAGGCTCCGCGAGAATGAGTTATGAACTCCAAATTGGACCACACTAAAACGTATTCAAATGATACACCATGAGAGCAACGAACACAGCAAAGGTAAGTGAAAGCGTACTACAGAGGAATGAGAAGGGGAACATGGTATCGAGACAATGGTCAGACAATGGATACATGGTATAGGTTCTAAAATCATGCTTTTGAAGCTGGACGAAGTATCAGTAAAATTCCATCCGAGTGTCCAGAGAAAATAGCGTCAACGGGAATTTCCTGATCAAAGGTGGACGATGACGTTGAAGACGGTGGCCGTGAGCGGGAAGACGTCCCAGGCGACGACTGGGAGGCATAACGTGGGTTTGACGGCATTCGGCAGTTGATTCTTGCGTCTCCGAATCGGCGCCGTGATAGCGGCGTATCTTGCTCATTTTCACCCCTTGAATACAGTTTAATAAAATGAGAACGAGATACGGGCGGGAAAATCCGAGAAATACCTTGAATCTCTGCCAGCAAGTAACAGCGCGAATTTACCAAAACCGAAGCCGCCGTCGCTCGGTTGTCCTCGATCGTTGACGCCCCATGATTTAATGACATCGATCCAGCTGCGTACATTATGTTCTGTGCGACTAGTGACAAAGTCGAAGAAACTCCGACCCAAAATCTTCGTGGTTGAGAGGAGAAGATCGTTGGAACAGTAGAGCACCGTGCAATGAATTGAGAACCGGTCGAGGATGAGTGCTGATCTTGGGGACTGAGTGGGTAGGTGATTAAAACTGATTATTGCTGGTTTTTTGCTTCGGCTGCGGTCTGATGACGCATCACTAGTGTCCATATCTGTGGAAGGGCATGTAGCCGGTGACGAGAGGTCGGGTATATTACTGGACGACATCGGTGACGGGTCGCCCCACCGCTAGTCATTTTTAGACAAGCATTGGTGAATAAAGTATGATGCTTACCCTTAGTTCGAAGTTCTTCGCAGAAGGTGTGACGACCTCAACTTCTTGCGCAGTAGATGCATTTTGGAGCGCCTTTCCGCCTGGTGTGGCAAATGATACGCTGCCTACCACAACGTTGTGCACGACGGTCCGAGACTGAACCGAAATTATAAATCAAACTCGTCAGATGAAGGATCGAGACTACCACTCACAACCGCACAAAGAATGTATCCTTTGAAGGGATCTTTATGCTTTAATCGGAGGTATGCGAGAGCAGCGGCTTTGTCTTCGCGGACGGTATCACTAATCGATGCAAAATTTGGTCATCCATCGGCAAGCGAAATATTATCCGCGAACGTACTAGTGCATCTGCTTTACTTGAGGGAACTCGTCTGGATGTACAAGCTCCAAAGCAGGGCGGCCTATTAACTCGCGGGGTTCAAAGCCTACATCAACGTTAACGTCAGAAGAGCATTAAATGGGAATTGTCACACCTAGCAGGTCGGATACCGATTCAGTAAGGAACAGCCAGCGAGCCTAGACAAAAGGGCTTTGCTCGGGACCACCGACAAGAGCAGGGAATTAATTCACGTACATCCTCAGAGAAGTCTACGATGGAGACTTCGCATATCGTTGAGCTGGTGTCGTACGGTCTGAGGTAAAGAGGCACGTACTGAATGAAACGCGTGGCGTCTCTGATTCCATTGGTAGTTACGGTCGGTGGCAGGGTGCGAATTGAGTGGAGGAGTACGCTGATAGTTAAAGCAGCATAAAATACCGTCAGTTTTGACGGAGAAAAGTGAGGCTAGCGAGGGTCGGGGGTCAATAGTGCTTTTTATCTCTCTCTTTGAGAGAAGACTTAGGGTTGGAGAACCCGAGGACGCTTGAACAGAATTACCAGAGTCATAGTATTATTTTTTGGAGATTGGGGTGATTGGGTTGAGTATCATTATGTAGTGGTATTAGTTGAGTATTACTATCATTGATTCCAGAAAGGATATGCTTCCGTAATGAACTTGAAATACGCGATAGATCTGAGCAACATAAGGTAACATTACCCTCGTTCATCCGCCACCAGGTCGATTCAAACCGTGCAACGCCTGAACAACGCGGGGAGGTCCTAGTGGGAATCGGAGTCGCCCAGGACTAAGTAGAAGCGGAATCCAAGTCTAGTGCCCCCCTTGCTGTCAGTTTGTGCCTTGAGCATTTAATTTCATGATCGTGGGTTCACCAGATCTCTCACACAGGTAACAGCCCACTCAATCTCGACCCGGCCCAAGTTTGTAGTCACCTTGTCATTGGTTCAGAACTTCGGTTGTGCTCTTCTTCGTGAGCCAAAAATCTTAGATGTGGTCCACAGCTCGAGACGTCGCCGCAGGCGACCTCGTTATCATCTGGCAGGCACGTTGTTCACCCCTTGTGGTTTTGGGGTAGCTCACATGCCTGCAATTGATTTATGTCAGACTCGAGAACTCATTCAACCTTTACTCATCACTCCAGGGAAAGACCTTAACTCCAGGTTTGGATACTACCGGCATGCAGACCTAGTTGGAATTCCCTACGGGTCCAAAGTCGGATCTCGCAATGGTAAAGGATTCATCCATATCCTTCGACCCACTCCAGAGCTTTGGACGATGGCACTTCCCCATCGTACTCAGATCTTGTATCTTGCCGATATCGCGTTTATCACCTCATGGCTTGACATCAAACGCGGAAGCATTGTCATCGAAGCTGGTAAGCGTCAAAAATTGGACTTATAGCGGAAAACGCTGCTCTTTTGTTTGGCTATCATCCACGATGCTGCACCACTTTTTTAGGTTGGTCACAACGAAAAAAGACACGTGGATCATCGTTCTAGTCTTCATTCATCATTTGTGCACTACGCCGCGTTGATGTGGCCTCTCGCGATTGATGAGCAGATTAACAACGTGGCTCAGATTGAAACTCATTCTGCCTATCTCTTTTTATGATCATATCGCTTTCATTGCCTTTCCCTAAATGCCTGTGCCAATCGGAAAATTGACCTCCGTGGGGTGAACCCTTAATTCACTACGTACATCACACAGGTACAGGCTCGGGATCGTTCTCTCACTCCGTTGCAAGGTCGATAGGGTCGGTGGGACATCTTTGGTCATACGAGTTTCATGAGGCCCGTGCAAACAAGGCGAGGTATGCGGCCTTCTACTTTAAGCCATAGTAAAGAATTTAATCACATTCTAGGGAGGAGTTTTCGCTCCACGGAATGGCAGACATTGTCACCCTTACACACCGCAACGTGTGCAAGGACGGCTTCACAGTTGAAGACACGGTTGATGCAGGCATGTCTCTTCCTTATCATACAGATTTGATCGCCCGAGCTGGCTATCTATTTTTCTACAGTATTCCTGGACCTTCCGGCTCCGTGGGACGCTATCGAGCACGCCAAGAAGGCATTGAAGGTGCGCCCATTGTTCATTAGCAATCAGCGTGTTCAATTTACTCGGAAATGAAAAGAAAACCATCCCCACTCGTATATGCTGTTTTAGTCCATGCATGGAGCAAGTTCTTCGGACTGTAAGCGCCCTGAATGATTCGGGTTTCACGGGTACGTTTTATTCTATTGTTAAACGTTGCGTCCAAGTCTCACCCGTATGTTGTTAGACATCACGATGTTTGAGACGTTACTGAGGCCTCACGAGGTTCACCAAATATCACTACAGCCTTTAACCCAAGCGGTCGAGAAGCTCAAGAAATTAGAACAAAAACGTGAAGACAAACGCCAGCATCAGATCGCAAGGTCGAGTAAAAGAAAGCGGGACGATTTACCGGAAACAGACAATGACAATGTGGGAGGGAAAAGGCTCAGAACTCAAGAATCAGCGGAGGAGGATGTCGACATCCGCGATATCCCGGATGCTGTGGTGGACCCTGGCCAATCTTCCAACGGACTATCACCAATTAAAATGTCTGTTTCAAAAGTGTCTCCCGACGTTCGGGGCCACACATCGTATTTAACTTTTGCTCGGCTGGTCCCTACAGCTCCTACGAATTGAGAATAAAAATCGAATAAAATTGCTGCTAATAGATTGATGACAAAAACCATAAAGCTATAAAGTACGGAGAAGTCCCTGCCGACGGATCTACTCTGCTATCGCTCTTCTAAACGCTCGTTCTAACTCAGCTTCTTCACGCAATTTAGCAGTGTTCTTCTGCGGGCGAGGCCGTAGGACTCTGCCGGGCGTCGTGGCTGAGTTTCCCTTACTGGAATTCCCATCACGTGTAGAAGCCGCATTGTCGAATCTATGATCGTCCTCTGATGCGCTATCGGTGTCTTCTCTGATCCGCTTCTTTCCATTTTTCCGCTTTACAGACGAGTTGCGCTTAGAAGGGGTATTAGTACCACTCTTCATTAGCGCCTTCACTCGCCCGCCCTTCGTTGTCCTCTCAGCGGGAGTAGAACGCGACTGACGTTCAGGCTCATCAGAACTTGAAGGGGCGATCTCCGAGGCCCGTCTCCTCAGGTCGTCTTCGGCCAGCTCGCGCATGGACTTAGGCACTGCATTACTCCGCCGAGAAGGCACTTCAGCAGATACCTCTCCCATCTGCACATCTTCGGCGAAATGAAGCGGCGAACCACGGGGATGTGTATAAGACACCGCAACACCACTATGTTCGGGTACAGCCTCGTCGATTTCGGCGCCATCGTCACCGGTGGTTGAAGAGAGTAAAGACGAGGGCAAAACGGTGTGCTGATTTTTTGGGAGATGGAACGGCTTCACCACATCGTCCGCGGTGGTGAGGAACCCTCCTGGTTGCTGGGCAGAGATCAGGTTCACGTCCAAATCACAAGTATGAATGGAAATGAAACATACTTGCTCGCCTTCATGTGCCTCAGCATTCTGCGTGTCCAACCAATGCTGCGGCGTTGCATCATCCGTATTGGATGCGTATTGCTTGCGGAGACGATCTCGAATCCGAAGCCCTTGCACGAGACGTATCCAACGCTTGTGAACTTGATCCAAACGTTTGACACGCGCTTTCTCTTCTGCATCATTTTCGGCTTCCAAAAAGGCCTGCAGACAAGATTGAGTTTAGTAAACGCAGCAGAAGATCCGTGATGCAGCAAGTTCACCTCCACTATAATAGTTTCGTTCTCCTCGGCCACAACAATTCCCTCAATTATCGGGATAGCTCTCCGATTCCTGAATTCAAAACCGGTCTGGAGAGCATGTTAGCACGCGAGTAATCGTGCAAGTGAAAGACTCACCACTGCTTCTGCATAATCAAAGCCAAGCCTTTTGGCCACTTTGGCAACACCTTTGACTGAAAATGATCGGAATTAAGTTCTGCATAGCAGCTATCGCCGATTTCATCACGTACATGGAATATGAACGCTACCCTCAGGGAGCATCGACGGAACATACAGATCAATATTCCCAAAATCGTTCTTAGGGACTTTTCCCTGTGAACACGAAGATCAGACATCTGTCAGAAGTCATTAAAATTGGACATACGTCAACGACTGGCTTTGGCATGTAAAGCTCCGTCTGAGACCTTGCGTATAGACCTTGCATGTCCTCCTGACCATCTCCACCATGGGTATCTGTTCTTGCTTTCTCAAGTGCAAGCTCCATTTCCCGCTTGCGGCCAATAGTGACAGCACGTTGCTTCACCATCTTCATGGGCTGACAGCCTTCTCGAACCACGCGCCCTTGACGCATCCAGTTTTCCGCGGTCTTCAGAGATATGACCGAAGATCGAGGATACACAGGTTCGCCCCGGAACTTGCCCAACTCGACAGGAGGATCAATAACCTCTTCACGATTGAGGTGCCGTGAGAGGGCATATCTGGACTTTCAAATTAGGATGATGCATGGAGAAGGAGGTGACATTACGCTTGTACAAAGGATGACCTTTGAATCCGGCAACTGTGGTGGGCATGCCCTCGGTAAGCTGATGGTTGTACAGTTCTGCGTCCTCGGTCTCGTCGCGTTGCTACATGATCCGTGAGATTGCATTTACAAGCATCGAAGACATGACACACCAATCTATAGGGTCTGGTCACTAGCCGTACGAGACCATCCCACCATTCTTTTCGCCTGCCTATCCCAACTCTTTGCACCTTCGCCACTTTAGCAGTATAGTCTTTGGCATACCGTGCTGTCACGTCGCGGCCGAAACCATCCTCTTCTAGGGCAACCACGTAAACCATGCGATTCTCTTGCGGTACTCCATTCCTGAACGTGTTCTCAGCGGAGGGGTCAAATACATGGCGTTTGTTGACGAAACCGCGAATAGGATCGACAGGCAGCCACCGGCCGTCTGCACGTGAAAAGACCTCTGTCCAGAATATAGGAGGGGTAGTTGTAGGGTCAAGGGCAGCTATTCAAGCACAAACTATGACTTCTGTGTCGAAGGTTGAAATATCTAACATACCTCTGGGTCTAATGGGCGTGCCCGCTCGATTTTCAGAGTGGTTTTTGGGTTTTCTGAGATAGATGACCGGCCGCGCCTTCTCTTTTCCTTTTCCTTTTCCTTTTCCTTTGGCTTGAGTTGAAGTTTCCCCAGGAGACGAGTGGCCTAGATTTGTTTCTATTGCTGCTGGAGACTGGGGATTAGTTGCCTTCGCGTCTTCGAATTCGCTGTCTTGCGATAAAACATCAGTGTCTCCGGCTCTCTGCTTCCCCTTCTGTCCAGATGGTGGACGGTTTTTGTTGGCAGGTTTGAGTTTGGGTTTTCCGACACCAGACTGCCATGGAATGCTCTGGAGACTAGTAACCAATCTAGCGGGGATGTCCAATGCTCGACACAATGCTGTGAACAACTGCGCACTTGTATCACGAGAGCCACTTTGCATCAAGGCGTGTTTCATAAGACTGTTCGGACTCCGAATACGTTCTCCGTCATCGCTTTCCTCGTCTTCAAAAATCGCGTTTCCACGTAAGGCAAGCTCACGCTCGTTCTCGTCGAAAGTCCTGTTCCTGATGTGTCCTGTAGGAAGAACGCAGAAAAATGTGCCCGTCCACCATTCCACCAAGCGGGTAACGGTGGTCTCGAATAACCGGCCTCGCTTATTCTGGTCGGGTACGCGAGATTTGTGTATTAGGGCAAAACTATTCTGAAGATGAAGCGGTGTTAAGGAGAGCAATCGAGCCTGAAAAATATCGACGATTGATTCGAGAATTTCGAGTGGGAAGAATAATCCACGCACATGAAGAAGCTCATCATTCAGCCACTTATTCCGCACTCTTGCATTTGCAAGAAGACAGACAGTGTGGACCTTGTGGGTTCCAGTCCTCAGGATGCGTTGGGCTCGTGCTGCCGCTGCCGCCGCCTTCCTGGATGGTCCGGTTATCAGCTCACAGACAAGGAAATAAAAAGAATACGAAGCAACTTAGAATCATCCTTCTTCTTCGTCCCAGAGTGTAAAGTGATTTCAATGTTCGCGCGTGGTGCTGGTCCTTCCAACTGGAGTTCTAACTCTGGGTTGGTTTCATGAATTTGCTGAGGAACGTCAACCTCCTCCCACTCAAAGTCTTCGTCACTGCTATCTCCTGATACGTCTAGCATCATGGCAAAACTTGGTTGGTGGACAAGAGCCAAACGGCATCTTCTTCCGCGAGTCACGATTAATTGGTGGTCACGGCCCCGCGTCCATCACGTGGTGAATGTGACGACCCGCTTACGTAGTCACAAACTCCGCGGCGGCTAGAGGTATTACAAAGTAGGTACAAAGTGCTCTAGCAGAGATTAGTATCGAACAGGTATGTGGCCCAATCTGCCGCCTGGCATGCCTTTCGGCACGCGCTTCAACGAGGTTAATTTCGAGGTGAGCGCACTCCACGACAGTCAATAAGTCGATATCTTACGCTGGTCATGCAAGAACCTCATCGCAGATGCGACGCAAGGATCCGTTCAAGCAATCGCGCAACTAGCAACCCTTGCATCAGATCATGCTTGCCTCCCGAGCCAATATGAGCGCATGATGAAAGCAGCCTACCTCTTGCTCGACTCTATGCATATTCCATATGGCGAGGATCCATCAGTCGATGATGTAGGCGCTCCATGCGCCGCCCTCACTTTTATAGGTTCCACGTTTTTCATCTGGATATCAGACGATAAGATGGTGGGTGGCCTCATCGCAGACCTGCTGAGTCACTGGAGCGATATTCGCCACTGGATTTTGTATATCTATACCGAATTCATCCAAGCGGATTCACTTAGCATCAGCACCCGCCGGGATTGCAAGACCGCCATCGTGACCTTTTTGGCGTTGACCCGCGATAGGATGTTGAGTAGTTGGTCGAAGAAGGTGGTCTCTGATACCAAAATAATGCCCTTGATATTCGCCCTTTGGAACCTTGAAACCACGGATGCTCGATTCTCATCTCATACCGGGCAATTTAATGCGTATCGTGAATCTGTTGTCCTCAACTCCTGCTTCCTAATCTCGCACGAGACGAATTCGCCAATCGATTGGGATAAGGCTTTGCTCCCTTTCGACGGACGGCCAGAAATCGCGTCGAGAGTTGCGCTTACGCATTTATCGCAAGAAATGGCACGGCAGTACCTGGATCCAGAATGTATAGCATGGGACGTGCACATCGTCACAGCACTTTCATTCCGCGACGACATGCGCTGGGCGTTATTGAACCTCGGAGCAATATCAACCATCACGCACGTTATCCACCTTATCGTCGGACGATCTTTTGATCCAGCAAACCTCACCTATGCCGCAAGGTGTATCTCCAACGCGTCGCTGTTTCTGCGGCTTCGTATGCAAGAAAACGATGGCAATCCATGGATGTCAGAAGCCATTCGGGCAGATCTTATCAAGGGATTGCTCAAATCCGAACGGTACATACCGTTCATGGACAATGACAAGGCTCGTGATGCACTCTCCGACATACTTCACATGATCATCCCCGCATACACCGCCTACCGCTCATTGCTCTTGCCCATAGCAAAAGCAGTAGCTGAAATAAAAAACCTTGGACTGGACAAGCAGCTGGATAAACGTGGGAAATTACACGCGGGCTGGGTATGCCTGCAAGAAACGACCGATCAGCGAAGATCACTCGAATACGATGGTCCTGGCCAAGTTCATGTACAAACATGCCATAACGATAATGTGTGTCAGATTGTCCAAATTTTTGAAACTACTTTGACGCATGATCAGTGTCGAAAAACTGTGCCGACAGGTACGCTCAAGCGGTGTGGGGGATGTCTCCACACGTATTACTGCAGCAAATCATGTCAGCGGTATGATTGGAGGCGAGGAAAACACAAGGCATACTGTTCCAGAGTTCAAGATCGTTCTTCGTGGTCTCGTGAGCGTCCTGTTGTATTTATTCAATGCCCGCATTAGCTTAGCATCATCCTGCAGTCGGCGGAGAGATGAACGGCATATCAAATCGCGACCTCAAATTCCTCGACTGCGTCATAGAAGACGAGCTCAAGAAACACAGAGCTCGTATCGCTAATCATGGGCTGAAAATCAACGTTGTAGAGTTAGACCTCACTCACGGAGAACCAAACATCACATTCGACTCCAGAGGTGTTAACCCAACCCCATTCAAGCTCTTATGTCGATGCGAACACTACGCGCACGATACTTGGAAACGCCTGCGACAACACGTCGTCAGGACAGACGAACCGGTTGTCTTGGTTCGCGCGTTCATTCCAGGTGGAATTTCAAGAAAGGCCGTCTTGCGAGCCATCCCGCTTTTCCAAGTACTTGGACGTCCTCCCGTGCGACAATCACGCGTGTACGCCACATACGTCTATACATGCTGTGGCAGACCGGGACAGGAGGCCAACAACAGTCCTCTTAGAAGTTTTGCAAATTGACGAGTCGTGAAGGGAAGCAGATATGGTACGACGAGTGTGGCCAGCCCATTGGATAGTTAGTAAGTGGTGGTCACGAATGGACTTGGAGCACGTACTATGTAATGGCTCATATTTAATTGGGCCGGGACCCACGTATAGAATCAAATGTAACATTTACCCATTCACATTCATGAGTTCGGCATGGTACGAACCACACCTCAAAAGACAGGTCTGGTAACAGTACCGACTTAATACGAAGGCTCGATTGGTCCGACCGGCTAGGGGAGAAACTAGAGAAATAACCAGAACATGATCCGTAAACAAGATCGTGCAAATATTAGCGTGGCCCCGGGCAGACGTTGTCGAAAACCGATGATGGCAATAATTGGTAGTAGATGCACTAGTAGCGATTGAAGACTTGGTGCTAAATTTGCGAGACTTGAAAGGACTTGAATCAGTCACTAACGACTCGGTTACCTAATAGTAACTCAGCTAGACTTGAAGTCGCAGCTTCAAGTTTGGCAAGTCTAGTCACTTGCTGCTAGTCGTAGTATTTCATCACGACTAGATATAATACTAACTAACAAGTCAAGATGCGCCGCGGAAAGTCTAACAAGTCAAGTTTCTTCGCTGGCAATAATCCACCATGTGCGGCATTACCAGTCACGGTGGAGCCAGATAGTTTGCCTACGAATTATAGCACTATTGGTCGCCCCTTCACACCAGAAGTTGAAAAATGTCCAATGAGCGGTGAACAAATAGTGTATCAAACTATCTTTACAATGGATAAAGGTATCTCTGTGGATGTGAGTAGTTACTACTCTTCATATACTTAGCAAGTGTCGTGTCTCACATCGTACTTATTTTTCGTTTAGGAAGTTCGGGTCGAAGATTACCAGCTTGGTGGTCGACCTCCCTCGTATTCGTCAGACCCAAATTTCTGTGGCATTTCCCTAGCCACAGAGAAAAGTAGCCTTTTTGACATCAAAGACTCTCAATCCCAATCCCAATCCCCACCCCCGCATCCCAATAGCCTCTGGTACGATGATGGAAGTGTTGTCTTGAAAGCTGGAGACGATTTCTTCCGGGTGCATCGTTCTATTCTCAGCCAGAAATCCTCCGTTTTTGCAACCGTACTTCTTAAAAGTCAGGCAGAAAATACAGAAACTTATGAAGAGTGCCCTATGGTCACACTGGACGATGATGCTGAAGAACTTCGGCAGCTCCTCCTCACGATATCTACATAACTAAGGACCAGGCGTTTGATCCCGCGGAACCAATTCGCGTCGTCGCCATGTGCGCGCTCCACGTGTCCTCCTTTCATGTTCCACTTACGAATTATCGTACGCATTGAGTTTTCAGAGATTAGATTCTCCAACTGACCTGTCGAGCTAGGTACTTCGAGGACAATGCGCAATACTTCCTCTATCTATGTGCAATCCTTCGTCTCAGCACAAAATATCAGGTGGAACGATTGCGTGGCTTGGCACTTCAGCGACTGAAATGTGGCGTTCCGTCGACGCTTGCATCTTTCGATGATCCTAAACATCAGGATGACCGCGAGAACGCGCAACGAAATGTTCTTGCGGTCATCAACCTCGCGCGGGAGACCAATTGCTTGGAACTGCTTCCTTGCGCCTATTACTACTGCTCCCGCTTGCCAACCAGTACAATTTTGGAGGGTAATGGTGAAGTCGTCATAGCCTCACCAGACATAACCGCTTGCCTCCTCGGAAAAGACCAGCTTTTGAATATGCAACGTCAAAAGACTCACTCGTTTTTATTCACGCTTCCGGGAATTGGTTTTTTCAATCAGTCCTGCCAGAATTGTGGAGGAAATATCAAGCTTTTGTTGCAATATTTTCAGCGCCAGGACTTCATGACGCCTTGCACATTCGAACAATTCACGGATTGGGAGAACATAGGAGTATGTAAAAGCTGTGCTACCTCACACCAAAACGATCACAAGAGAGGTCGACAAGATGCATGGGCGGAACTTCCCAGGATTTTTGGATTGGAAAGTTGGGAGAAGATATTATCGTAGCATCATTTGGTTGAGTGCAGCGCGTTTCTGCAAACACACAGTTGGATGGACATGATATTTGTAGTTGGAAGCCAGTGAGCTACTGTATGATGTATGGAGTGTTTTAAAGTTGATCCCTTACGTATGTTGTACATTTGAAGATGCACTAGTAGCGATTGAAGACTTGACGCCAATTTTGCGAGACTTGAAAGGACTTGAATCAGGCCCTATCAGGCCGCGTCAATAACGACTCGGTTACCTAATGGTAACTAGACTCAAACTAGACTTGAAACTTGACGTCACAGCTTTGGCAAGTCTATAGTCACTTGCTGCTACTAGTCGTAGTACTTCATCACGACTTGATATAATACCAATCAAACTATCTTTATGAATAAATCTGTCGGATCCGTGGATGTGAGTAGTTACTACCCTTCATATACTTAGCAAGCGTTGTGTCTCACGTCGTACTTATGATTAGTTTCAGCTTGGTGGTCGACCTCCCTCGTACCCGTCAGACCCTTCCCTAGCCACAGAGAAACGTTGGTATATTGACACCAAACTTGAAGAAACCCGATCCCAATCCCAACCCCGATCCCAATCCCAATCTCAATCCCAATCCTCACACCCACATCCAAATGACCTCTGGTACCATGATGGGAGTGTTGTCTTGAAAGCTGGAGACCGTTTCTTCCGGGTGCATCAATCTGTTCTCAGCCAGAAATCTTCTGTTTTTGCCACCCTACTTCTTCAAAGTCAGGCAGAAAATACAGAAACTTATGAAGAGTGCCTTATGGTCACACTGGACGATGACGCTGAAGAGCTTCGGCAGCTCCTCCTCACGATATACGAGTTATCGTACGCATTGGGTTCTCAGAGGTTAGTTTCTCCAACTGACCTGTCGAGCTAGGTACTTCGAGGACAATGCGCAAAACTTCCTCTATCTAGGTCCAATCCTTCGTCTCAGCACAAAATATAAGGTGGAACGATTGCGTGCATTGGCACTTCAGCGACTGAAACGTGGTGTTCCATCGACGCTTGCAGCTTTCGATGATCCTAAACATCAGGATGACCGCAAGAACGCGCAACGAAATGCTCTTGCGGTCATCAACCTCGCGCGGGAGTCCAACTGCTTGGAACTGCTTCCTTGCGCCTATTACTACTGCTCCCGCTTGCCAACCAGTACAATTTTGGAGGGTAATGCACGTGGAGTCGTCATAGCCTTACCAGACATAACCGCTTGCATCCTCGGAAAAGACCAGCTTTTGGATATACAACGTCGCAAAACTCACTCGTTTTTATTCTCGTTTCCGAGAGCTGAAATTTTGGATGGGTCCTGCCGGAAGTGTGGAGAAAAAATCGAGCTCTTCTTGCAATATTTTCAGTGCCAGGACTTCAAGACGCCTTGTACATTCGAACAATTCACGGATTGGGAGAAAATAGGAGCATGCAAAGGCTGTGCTTCCTCATACCAAAACAAACACAAGAAAGGTCGACAAGATGCATGGGCGGAACTTCCCAAGATTTTTGGATTGGAAAGTTGGGAGAAGATATTGTCTTAGCATCATTTGGTTGAGTGCAGCGCGTTTCTGCAAACACACAGTTGGATGGATATGACATTTGTAGTTGGAAGCCAGTGAGCTACTGTATGATGTATGAAGTGTCTTGAAGTTGTTCCCTTACGTACGTTGTACATTTGAATCAGCCCCATGCACGGACAAAAAAATTTCTCTGCAAGGTGCCGAGAGTCTATGAAGGTTTGGTCGGAAGGAGACTACCTCAAAAGTTTGTTTTAGTAGCATAAGAATTTGCGTCAAACATTCATTCATTCATTCACACTCATGAGGACATGCTACACCTCAAAGTGTCATGGAAAAAAGACGGCGGCAGCGTTGCGAGACGTGGAAAAAAATGATAGCATAAAAAGCAATAACCAGGACATGATGAAGTGCGTGATGCGTAGACAAAATCGTGCAGATGGCGTGAGGGTAACGGATATGAAGCTGTGGGTAATGTGAAAGAGGACAAGTGTTAGGATGACAATAGCAATAGATAATAGCAATCGAAAGTTGATGATGAGCAGGGTATATATGCTCAAAAAGAGGGGAATGGGATGAGACCAATGATAGCAACAGAGAAATGACATGAGGAACGGCAACCATGTGCACCGAAATATTAGAACCAAGTAAGTGATGCGGGGGTAATTGATGAGTGAGAAATAGTAATGAGGAAGTGGAAAGAAAGAGACCAAATGACTAATAAATTGATTCGTTAGAATCAGGCAATAATAGTGCGGGACAATCTTCTGGAGACCGTCCTTCCAGGCACCATCGCCTTGATTGCGCGACGAACGAGCGTAGCAGTAGCAGTGCTCTTGCTTTCCTCCTTCGACGAGCGTGACGTGCTTGCACTGCAGGCCACGACACCAAGCTCATCCACAGACGGATTGCGCCACATGTCATCACTAGACACTGGCTGAGGCATCGCCCGTCGAGATGAGTTAAACACCTTGAAGTTACGCGAATTGTTGTTTGTTGACTTGTACTCCAAAGTGGAGGGCGCACTGGGAACAGGTTTGAGGTTGTCGGATTGGTATCCCTTGCCGACGCGTTTGACACCAGTGGTAGACATGAGGAAGCGGTCGTAAACGCCTTCCACACGACGGAGGTCTGGCGAATTGATGACCATCTGCTCCCCAGACTTGCGCGGCGGATAAGGCTCGACATGGAAAGGAGACGCAGTAAGATCGCTATCATCGAACAAAATCGACCGTCGTCTTATAGGGTGAGGCGTTTGCATCCCATTCCCATCCACATCACTCGACCGTGGCGGCGCAATGAACAGATTCCGGTCCAGTACTGCAGATAACCGGGGCGTAGGCGCTGCTACCGTTTCTGCTCAAGAACAATTAGCAACTGCACGCGGAACACACACAAAGAACACACCTCTCGTAAGATCAAACTCAAGCTTATCCACAGGTCTAATATGCCTGTCTAAATTACCCTGGGATCGTGACTTCTCCCTTCTCTTCGACGGCGAGCCCAACCCATCCATGTCGTTTTCGTCCACCTTCGGCGAGCGCGTCGAGATAGTAGCACGACGCTGGCGTCGGGGAGTCTGAGCGAGCACGTTGATGGTAGGCACACCAGCACGTTGCGAAAACCCAGAATCATCGGGAGATATATACCCAGAGAACGAGTTGCTCTGATCCGCAAGAGCCGACCGTCCAGGGGACAACGGGGCATTGGGATCATTACAGAAGATTTCATTCGCGGCAAGCGTGCGGCGTGGCAGGCGCGAAGATGAACGCGACGTATTAGCATTGAGCGCATGGACTTGCGAATTAGAACGTGAGATGGGTGGCGAAAGCGGAAGCGCAGGAGGTGAAGTGATGTTGTTGGATGCAAAAGCAAAGTTCTGGCGCGTTTCCTCGACGACCCCTGAAAATAAGTTGCATGAGCGGTCTAACCCATGAATGAGGGTAAAAACACTTACTCTCTACGTTCTGAATCCAAAGATTCATCCGGTCAATAGCTGTCTCTCGTTCCTTCTCGGCGGAATCCTCTGGACGAATTTCCTCATAGCTGAATCTCCCAACTTCACCCGATCGGCGTTGCTCAAACTCGATAGGCTCCGGGGAAGCACACCACACAGGTGTCGTACGACCAGTCGTGATTTGACCCAGCGTTGAGGACTTGTACATCCGAACGCCTTTGTCTTTATCGTCAAAATTTAGAATCAGACTAACTAGTGATGATTAGAGAACGAGGAACGTACCGATCGAAGCTTTTACGCTGTGCTTGAGTCCGATGAAACCAGACTCGCTCGTGCGGTGCATTTCACTTGGGAGATTACATTCCACTAGACGCACACCATCCATCAGCATATCCCAAGTAGACCCATGCAAAAAACCACCCACCAGGCGTCGTCGACGCTGAATAGCTCCTATCCACTCCAAGCACCGAAATACTCCCATTCTCCATTGACAACAATCGCGCACTCGCCCTCACTCCGATCTTCGCAATCTCAATGTGCTCCTCGCTCAAATCCGCACGATAGCTCGTAACATTCGGATCAATCTCCCCATCCGCCTCCTCTGTCTTCACCTCATGCTTGGCGTACACCTCCACAGGACTCCCCCGGATGCTCGCAACGGGTGACCGACGCGCCTCCTGAGCCTCCTCTCTTTGAATCGCACATTCCACTTCTTCATCGCTCAACTCCGTCTCGTCATCGTCATTAACGTCTCCATTCGCCGATGTCAAGATAGACTCAGCCTCACGCTGCATTTCCGTCAGCCTCTCCATCTCCCGCAACCGCTCGCGTTCGCGTTCCCACTCGCGCATACGGTCACGCACGCTGCCTTTGCCTACTGTTGAGGACGTCGTATTGGCCATACCACTGGCATTCGCGGCTGTTGATACGTTCGCGAGGTCTGCAACGGACGTATTGGAGGTGCGGTGCTCATCCAGACTTGCCATCGACGTGTTCTGCCCCAGATTGAGGTCCGTCCGCGATACGCTCCGAACGTCCGTCTTCGAAGTATTACGAAGGTCCGGTCTCGATGCGCTCCTAACATCCGTCCTCGAAACATTCCTCAAGTCTGAAACACTCCTCAAAGTCCCCTTCGTCCTCGCCTTTGGCAATCCATGCGCACCCAAGTCCACGTTCTTCGCAAAGCCTGTCAAATCCGCCAACACACCTGCACGTGAACGCGAGCGAGGTTTACGGCCGCTCATTTTGGGTGTGCCGTTCTCTTTGGTGTTGGGGTTGTTTTCTTTGCTATCCGCGATTGACGAGTTTCCTTTTGTACGCGGTGTGTTCTCCCTCCCTGTCCTCGTGCCCGTGGTCCTTGCGCCTGATATATTCCTATGTGCGAGATTCGAAGGTGTCCTCGGTCCAAGCGGTGTCCGTACCGGCGAGAGAGAGTTGAGCGAGAACAACCCGGAGCTGCTGCTTGTGTTACCACTCATGGTTGTAGCATCGACGGGACTGAGAGGAGCAGGTCCGAGTTTCTTTGCGCCCTTGACAACAGGTGATCCTTGTACAGTTGACAACTTTCGTCCTTGACGATATCCATCCGCGTGAGGGTAAGGTGAGCGGAGCTTGGGCTGTGATTTCGATCGTGCATGGTGCCTCTCGCCGGTGGTGTCTTCCCTTTCCTTTTCAGGGGTGCGGGAGGCTGAGCGGGATGCTGAGGCGCGTGATGGAGAGCGAGAATTAGTGGACCAGGGGAGCGAAATGTCCAGAAGGCGCGAGACGGATGCCTCTTTAGGGATGGAGTCTTTGGGAGTGGAGGTGTCTTTCGATGGGGGAGAGGTGAACGAGGATGAAAGTGTATGGATGTGCGTGTGGGATGTGGTCGGAACGGCAGCAGAAGCGGATTTCTCTATGATGGGGGTGAGTATGCGCTATGTGATGATGAGACGTGACTCACTATGTGTGTGCTTGTCTGAAACTGGCGTTGCAGCTGCAGCATGCCAATATAAATCAGCCATGGCCTGTTTCGCCGTACACCTCAAATCCGCATTAGGAACAATCATGCGCTTGAGGAGCTTCTCCGCAGGCCTGGGGATGGTGTATGCGCCTACCCATTTGCCACGCATCTATGTGGCGAATACAATCAATTATTTGCCCTTTGCAGTCGCAAAAGACGCTCACCGTTCTGCCCCAGTACTTCTCCAGGTCTGCTTTGCTCGCAAACTGCTCGCCCTCTTCATACTCGAAGGGCGTCCGACCAACCAATATCTCGAAAAAGGTCACACCGAGGGACCAGATGTCGGACTTGCGGGTGTCGTGGGGAAGGCCACGAGCGCGTTCAGGGGAGAGATACTGTATGCCGTACAAAGTTTAAATATTATTGTTAATGAGGAGCTAGAGCGGAGGAGGAAATGCAAACCTCAGGAGTGCCATATGTCAAATTGCTATGGAATGCTTTGGGTGACGCAAGGTCATACTTCTCCGCGAACCCGAAATCGACCAATACGGGTATATTCTTGTGGGAGAGCAGGATGTTGGCAGGTCTGTGGCGTAGATTGTGTCAGCATAGTCTACGACAAAAGACACGGACGGAAAGGGTTAGTAACGTACTTGATGTCGTTATGCACGACCCCACGCTCGTGCAGGAAGTGGACACCACTCAAGAGTGAGCGGAACCATTCCTTTGCGCGGGGTTCAGATACTTCGACGGGGACGAGCGTTGGTAGGTAAGCCCTGCAATAAGGTCATTTGTCAAATGCGAGACACAAAAAACGCGTCAAGTAGAACTTACATCGTGATGAGCGCGTATGATGGGGTGATAATAAACGAATGAAAGGGGATGATCGAGGGATGCGGGTCGGCCTTGAACGAGCGCACGATCTTCATCTCGTTCCATCTACACGTGAACGAAAATATAAAAGTATGTCAAAGACGTGTATTAGACGCGCCACGAGGCAAGCGGACTTACAGCGAACGCACGCGCGCAGCCGTTGTGCTGGTCTTGGAGCGGTGGACGAGTTTAACGGCTACTTGGACGTCCTTGTGCTTGTCGGATGAAGAACTGGATTTGGGACGGCACAGCCAAACGCTGCCCCAGTTTCCGAAGCCGATCTGTATGACAGGTTCATTAAACTTGTTCGGAAGACGGGATAACAAACGTACCTCTTTGACGAACTGAAGACGTTCTGCGAGAAGCTGGTCGGAGAGTGAGAAGACGTCGTTTGTCTCTGGCGCTGGGGCGTCCATGGTAATTCTTGCTGAATGCTAATGAATCCGTAGTTAGATGCTTGCGATATGTAATGAGACTTTGAACTGGTGTGGGTATACAAGTACACTGGCAGACGTGAGGAAGAATCAGAAGCGGCGAGAATGAAACACTGCTCGTTGTCGTCTGCTGTGATGAGCAGAGACCTGAGAGCTAACAATGTTAGTAACAAGAAAAACGTTGAAATGGCTTATTCACATCACAATCTCACATATCACACTCGAACACTACCAAAACATTAGTAAATAACGCGTCGTTGCCGACTAGTCACGTTACATGTCAATATAAATAACCTTTGCCTCACGTACTTTACGTTGGTCGCAGTTCTTCTCTAGCTCACGATGGCACGTAGTGCGCGTAGACCCAGGTGAGCCTCTAAGATACGGTACTATTTGAAAAGTTGTGAATATCTGTGCGGATATCTGGTGTTGTGGTCAAGCTGAGCATCTTCCCGTGGTGATTCGACTGCTACACACGTTTTCAGATTCGTAATCGGCTTGTATTCAAGTACAAGCGACCACTTTGTTAATTACACGTGTCGATTTGGACGCACTTGATTGAAACCTGGTTATCAACAGGTAAGTTAGGCTGATTTCCCAAATTGTGCAAACTACTCACCGTTTCCAAGCGAACATCTCCAGACTTTTCCGTGCTCACGAAATGTTTCATCTGTGATCTCATTGACCCCGCGACATCGCTCCATCTTGATCGAGACGACTTTATCTGGATCCAGAATTAATGGTCGAGTTCTCGATCTGTCTGGTGGCAACCATGTGAATGGTAAATTATCAGTTGACAGGAAGGCATACTTCCCATTTAGCTTCACGACAATCGAACAGTTCTTGGATGAAAAGTCCACCACGGACTTGACCAACAGGCAAGTAGCTCCTTCCTGAGAATTAAAGTCTGATATCACCAGTGCGTTGTGTTGCAGTCGTCGTGATTGACAGAAATTGCGCTGTCGTCAGGTCTCTTGCACACAATAAATACGTGGCCGCAGGTTGCAAAAGCGTTGTTGCATCGATCATGACTTCGGACAACACCACGAACTGCAGGAAATTCGGCATACTCAATACCCTACCCCCCCGATCTTACAAACCGAGGCGAACATCCCGTTATTGTATAGCTCCGTTGAGAAATACGGATTCAAATATATAACATCATGAAGCCAACATTGACACCTTGCGAAGTCGTCTCTGAGTTCGGCTGGTCCTGCAGCCTGGATAAAAGGAGTCATAGTACATTGTACTGTTGCATTTAGAATACAAACGATGTAATAAATTTTTGAAAGAGTATGACCACCAATGCGAAAGTTTGCAAGACAAGAAGAAAACAGATCAAATCCAAGTAGAAATCCAGCCAATATGGTCACACTGATAATCGTAGTAGTGTCCACGCAGGAAACATATCCTGGCAAGGAACTGTCCTTCGATGCTCGAGCGTGAATCTGAGTCGTGACTGCTGACAACATGCGGTGGCCCGGAGGTGTGCAATTATGAACCTCCAACGGTTTGCAGATGTCGAGTTCCGCGTGCAACAAGCTGGTGGCAAGCTTGGCTAGGTGGGAGTGGTTTAATATGAATTCTAGCATCACCCCTTCACTACGTCCTGTGTTCTCGCCTACGTATGGCTGAGAATACAGTAACTTCGAAATCGAAGTTAATTCCATGCGATAAATAACCTGAGTGTCGAGATTACAAATACAGCAGCTGAACATAAAAGAACATGAAATAGCATAATAACAGTAGTGTGTAACTGGCAACACGAAAAAATAACGCAAGAAAAGTCAAAGAAAGTCGGTCAGACCCACACAGAAACGTAGCCGGCTAAGAATCCTTGTGGTAGTGTCCACACGGGAAACATATCCTGTCTAGGAACCTATTGCAGGTGCCTTCGATGCTTGAGCGTGAATCTGAATCATGACTGATGTGGTAAGTGGTGACAAAGCGTGATGGGGAAGTGTGCGATGATGGGCCTCCAGCAACTTGTGTTTCATGTATACCAACCGATGATGGCTTTCCCTGTCCTGACGAGGCTTGAAACAATGTGACAGCCCGTGCAGGACCGGCTGGGGAGGATGGACCCGGCGGCTGCGACGAGCCGTACATTTGAGATGCGGCGAGAGGGGCGCTGCACACTGCTACCTGTGACTTTCTCTTACGTTTCGGTGTCATTGCAACATATCCCTGTATTTTCCATATCTAGTAAGAATACAATTATTTAAAAGATGGAACTGAAGCTTACCTGACACCCGCGCACGGCATACACCTCAACAACCTCAGGACGTTTTGTTGTTATATTCATATTGACGCATGCGGAATTCTTCCCTCCAACACGCCTCAGTCGTTCCCAAAAGTTCTGATTTTCTTCGCTCTTGAGTTTGGCAGGGCTCTGCGCGTCAACAAGAGACCCTTTTTGTTTCTTGTCCTTCCCATTTTTTGGTTTGATGGCGCCGAGCTGAGCATTTGCAGTCCCATCACGTCAAGGTGATAATCTGCAAGAGCAGAGAAAAGACTTACATCAACATCCTCGTCAATTTTCTCGGCTTCTTTCCCGGCTTGAACCTTCCCTTCTGGCGTTGGTTGGTCGGATGTAGTGGTTGGAGGTGAGTTTGAGCGAGCGTGGCGCGCCAAGAATCTGCGCTTGGGGCGTTCTTGCAATGGAGTGGACTCATTTGCTGACTCGCGACGTCGAGAAATCGTGTTCCAGAAACCTCGAGCTGAAAAAGGGTTGGAAGGCTCGGGGGGACCAGATGTCGTGGCAGGAAGAGAAGACTACAATCACTCATTGTCAGTACTAGTTCCCTTGCTTGACAAACATAATTTACCTCAAAGAAGTTGACATATGGATCATCACGCACCTCCTCGAGGATGCCACCACCCCCTGATGAGCCTGTAGCATCAGCCTACAATGGTCTTGTGAGAAAGGCGAGGCAGGTAGTCAAGTGGGAGTACTGACATTGAGGAAAGACAATGCAGACCCGGGTCGAGCTTCCTGCTGCGTTCCTTGACTGTGATCTTGTACCTCCTTAAAGCTGTCATCACCCTCTGATGGTCTTGCAGCGTGAACCTGTGATGGTCATGTGAGCAAGGCGACTCTGAGGCGAGTCAGTGTGAGCACTGACATCGAGGCGAGATAATGATGGGAACCCAGGTTGATTTTGCTGCTGCGGAAGTTCGGGAGCTATGTCATTGGTTATCCACAGAGTAAGTTTCCCGTCGTATCCGCCATGTGCTAGGTGTCTCCCATCTTGAGAGAATGCCACATGTCGAAGGGCAGCACGAAAGCGGCCAGATGATTGGCCAAGTGGGTGATGGGATTCTGTGTCCCATAGTTTTGTAGTGCCATCCCAGCCCACGCACGCCAGGACGTTATGTTTAGGTGAAAGCGCGACCGAGTACAGGTCATCGTTATGCGCAAAGCGATGAAGCAGTTCGCCTGTTTTGCTGTCGAAAACACGTGCCAAGTTGTCGGACGCGGAATAAAGTTTAGTGTTGTCCGACGACCATACCACCGATGTCACAACGTTCCCTAAACCTTTGATGGGCCCAACGACAAGCTTGCCAGTTGTGCTGTCCCATATGCAAATGGTATTGTTGTTCCCGCCTGATGCAATTCTGTCTTCCGAAGGTGAATATGCGAGACTCCAAATCTCGCAAAGATTCTCGTCCTGCCAGTGCTGCGTCTTGATCGGGCCTACCTCTACTTCTCCATTTTCTGCTTTTCGAATGAGGATCGTTCCATCACTGGACCCACTGGCAATATGGTTCATGTTGGGAGACCACGACAGCGATCGCACCGCCTTGCTATGACCTGTCCAGATGCCTTCGATCATCTCCCCGTCGGTATTCCACCGCTGAACGCTTCCGTCATTCCTCCCGCACACAACCATCTTCCCGTCCGGTGAAAGCGCCAGTGCATATATCCTTCCTCCCTCGCCTTTCCATGCTTTTCCGGCCATAAGTCCTGTGTCGCAGTTCCACTTTCGCATCGTGCCGTCCGCTGAACAACTCACAACATGGATGTTGTCGTGCAAGAAGACAAAACTCCATATAGCCTCCTTGTGTCCCTCAAAATTGTGCTTTGGAGTTGGTACTTTCGCTTGCGCTGGGGTTGAGTCTGCCCTGCGAGTCTGCCTTGCAAAGAGCTCGAGTATAGCAGCCATAACAGCTCGTTATAACACCGGGCAAGGTACCTGGAGTGTCAATCTGGCTCTGGCGTGGTTCATGATCAATCATTGGTGCAACGTTTCACTGGTTCTCACCAGGGTTTCTGCTGGGTGGGTGGGTGAGTGGTTTAATACGAATCCTACAAGGCAGTGCTACCTTGTTTGACGGATTCATGTGGCGATACTTACAGCATTCCGACTAATCCGATATTCGCAGCCATGGCCGGCGCTGGTGTCCACCATCAGGATGTGACCGACTTGATGTCTTGATCACTCTAGCATAATGAACGTGTCATCAATCCTCGTGTGAGAGGAACACTGGTTGTGCGTCCCGCAGTTTCTGGTTTCACGTTGATATTGATGAAGTCGCAATTTCGGTGAGCGTTGAGAAGCAGGATCATGATACAGCCAGAACCAGAGGTTACTCGGGGCTAAATGCAATGCCGCTCAACATAATACTTATTTGAACGATGGACGACTCTTTGATTGGACGACTACACAAGCTACCCAACAATTTGATAAGGCGGCAATTGGTGAGATCAGCGAGGCTTGCATCACAGCAGTACTTGGGTTTGGGGCAGAACCTTGCTGCAATGTTACATTTTCTCACCAGGCTTGTGTATAGTGTTTATTGACGGGGCAGTACACAGTGGGTAGTGAGCGCACCCAGCAGATTGGCCTTACTCATTGTTCAGCGTTAGTGAGTGATGTTGATATTGGTTGCTTCTTAACATATCCGAATTGTAACGCCAGCGGGATCAAATAGGGTCGTACAACAATTATACTCGTCCGCCCCATAGACAGCATTATCAGAACCTGTAGAAGCGGATATGCCAAATGAACGTCGGGTGGATAGATCAAGCTGAGGCCCGTGTAGCGTTGTTTGCAAAACCGTTAGATCCAAACAACCGCTTTACATATGCTACTCGCATCACAGAAAACTGCCATAATAGAAAACATGCAAAGGTCAAATACCCAGAGTAACAATAATAGCAGTACACACTGTGGGAAGTAAAAACCATTAGATTAAGTGACAGTGGCAATGAATGTGTTGAATTCACTCCCAGTGTCACTTAATCTCTGGTTACTTGCATTCATTGACAACTGGGGACATTGAATTTTACCCTCGAGAATGTAGGGGTATGAAATTCATTGTCAAAATTTTAAGGACACTGAATCACATTAGCAAATCACATAGTCCCATTTTTTCCATTTTTTTCCATAATTTACTTAGCAAACAAATTCAGTGACCGAGGCAGCTAAGGAGAATAAGAAGTGATTTTGTACTTATATTTATTCCTACAGACAGCTGCAATAAGCAATATTAGTTGTGCCTGAACTTTCTTGAACACTCCACCTTTCTAGTATTTTGCATATAACTTACTAAGATCTCAACCAAAAAATTTCATGAGACGATGAATAGACTACACGGCCAATCGAAAAAAGCATAGAATCTATGCCCAAAAATGGGGTTATAGCACTTATGTTGGTCCGGTCTCCACACAACAAATTTCGTAGCATATATTATATATAATTATATAATACATATTGGATAGACTCAAAGGCTGACATAATGACAATAATGGCAGATCGTAACAACAATGCCTGTGGGGTGTAAATCCATCGGCTGGTTTCGGGTGCGCATTATGTACTGAGACCTAGCGCCGGAACTATCCTGGTTGACAAGCATAGAGTGTATACTGACGTAGGCATTCGTAATATACTGGTTGACAAGCATAAATTGTATACTGAGACCTGGGCATTGGTAATATGCTGGTTGACAAGCATAGATTGTATACTGAGACCTAGGCATTGGTAATATACTGGTTAGCCAGCATACCAGCTATACATTTTCGGCACACACACGACACTGGAATATATATAGAGTGTATACTTATTGATATGCTGAATGGGTACTGAATTTTGATTGCGTTGATATTGCACCATTGGGGGATCGCAGAAAGCACAATAAATGGGATCATAGAAAGCACGGCAGATGTATTATCCATGTATCAAATGATTACAGGTAAACTCGAGTATTAAGATGAGGGATGGGGCTTGGGGGGGCGGCGAAAACGAATAAAAGTATAATGCAAAATCGCTTTGAAATCACCAAATGAGTCCAGACTGAATAGTGGTCTGCCAGCGTGGGTTGGTCTTTGAAATTAGCTTCGAGACCTTCTTGCCACCAGGAAACTCAGCGAGATCAGCTTGAAAGATTTCGATGAACAACCTAACCAATAATCAGTTTGTATAACGGCGCTGGCTAATGAATACATACTTCTGCAACTCCTTTTCCTTCTCGGTGACAATTGATGAGGAGTCGTCGGCCATCTTGCGCATGTTTGAGAGTGAGTAGTCAACGAAGTTCCAGAACTTAGTGGTACTGTTGTACCGCACTGGCGTGCCTTCAACCAGTCCAAATCCAGAGTCGAGTGGGTCGTCAAGTAAGACCGGACTAGCACCGCCGCTCACATTTGATTCCTCATCCCCTCCGTTCACATCCAAATCATCCTGCTGCTCTCCACCTTGGTCTACACGCTGTTCGTCACCCATGCCAGCATCATTCTCATCCCACCTGGCACCAGGCGTATGATTGCCGTTGGCTTCCATGGGAGCTTGACTTGGAGTGACACCAGTCTGAGGCACATAATCGAGGTCAGCATCAAATAACTCTCGCTCAAGCTGTCCGATGTCGATATGAAGCTCGCGCGCGACTTTGTCTCGTAAATCTTGCTTGAGCGATGGAATAAGGTAAGCGGAAAATAAATCCTCAATGGAGGCAGTCTTGTAATCGCTGACACCAATGAGAAAAATCCGCAGAAGGCGCCGCTGTCCCCGTACCAATTAATATTGACGTTGCACTACAGATAGTGGGACTTACAAGAAATGCCATCCTGTTCCAATGAGTGGAGTCGACCTCCATGCCAGACCCGCTGCGTGCAAGTGACCTGGTCACATCAGCGATGCTTGTGCGCTTGACGATTGATGTGGTGAGCTGCGCAGTAGTGATAATGGTGAAAAACGAGTCAAAAAATATAACGGGACTTACAGCGGTCTTCATGGCACTCCGAATATTTGTGAGCAGCTTTGTGACTGCCTTGCCCAACTGAGCTCTGAGCTCAACGTCATCGAGAAGTCCAGGGGGGATTTTGAAGATATCCCTATTCTTGGAAATAAAGTCCTGAAATATGTTAGCAGTGTCGTTCAGAATAGCGAATATTAGAGCCATACCATTATATGAGACTGAGTATCAGTGACATATGCCGTTATATTCGGCGACAGCATGCAAGCAAACAAGCGGTTGTAAAGTCCATTCTATCAGTCCGATTTAGCGTATAACCACGCAGAAAGTAAAGTGCGGCATCGTTACCTCAAAGTCCTTCGATTCCAATGCGTCCTTTAATTCCTGCAATCTCTTGACCGCGTTTCCCTCAGAGAATTTGATGAGGGTGATCTTCAGGTCCAGGAGCATATAGAAAATGTCGCCAGACTGCATCAAGTGAGCGCACAATAAACCAGCAGTTCAATGAGAACTTAGTACATCAATGAAAGTCATCACTTCTTCGTGTGGAACATCATTTTCTTCACAAGCCTTCTTTGCATATATTTTCAAGCGTTTCGTACGTTGAGGTGTGAGCTTGGTGGGATCCCCATGGTTGGAAGGTCCGCTGTCCCTGCGGCGACGAATTCCTGCACTGATTGGCTCATCAAGCGACGTTGTTGGGCTTGAGGGTGGCTGGATTCCAACTCGAGGTATCTCTAGGGCTTCGCCGCTGGTGGAGCAAGAACTTTGGGGATGTGCAATGTCTGCCAAATGCACTGTTTAAGTTAAACCAGAACTTGAGTCCGAATACTTACTTCCATGTCCCCCAACAGACAAATGGCTAGAAGATCTGCTGCTGCCTGGGTCAGGTGTAGTACTTCTATTCCTGCTGGATCCTGCCGGTGAAACTCCTGTGTTTGACCGTGGCCTCGGTGACTGACGTCCAGGTGAGCTTGGATTTTGGCCACCACCAGATGACGGGCGCAGACGATATCCACGTTGAAACATTGCCACAAGCACCAAGGTTGTTCACCGTGACGGCTGCTCTGAACCTTGAGGTTTGTGCTGTGACACTCCGAGCCTCGAGTCAGGTGACTGAACCGAACATCACGATGTTGTCGGCAATAGGAATTTGAACTTGTTTGATTGTAACAAGTTTCATAAACAATTCGGAGACTCCTGATGTGTTTCTGGGCAGAATAAAAAATGTGGGATCATGGTATTCGTGTATGGCTATATATAAGCTGTCTGTAATTCTGGTGAAGTATATAAAAATTTGGGGACAGTTGGCTTCAGACGCTGGAGAAAGAATTTCAAGGATAACCAACATAGACGCTGGAGGAAGAATTTCAAGGAAAACCAACATGGACGCTGGAAGAAGAATTTTCAGGATAACCGCGCGAACACTGGAGGAAGAATTTCAAGGATAACCGCGGGAGCGCTGGAGGAAAAATTTCAAGGATAACCGCGCGAACGCTGGAGGAAGAATTTGAAAGATAGCCGCGGGAGCGCTGGAGGAAGAATTTGAAAGATAGCCGCGGGAGCGCTGGAGGAAGAATTTGAAGGATAGCCGCGGGAGCGCTGGAGGAAGAATTTGAAGGATAGCCGCGGGAGCGCTGGAGGAAGAATTTGAAGGATAGCCGCGGGAGCGCTGGAGGAAGAATTTTAAGGATAACCGCGCGATTGCTGGAGGAAGAATTTCAAGGATAGCCGCGTGAACGCTGGAGAAAGAGTTTCAAGGATTCCCGCGTGAGCGCTGGAGGAAGATAAGCACATAAACCTTGGAGAAAAAACCTCAAAGACAAGCACACGAACTTGTTGAAGAAGACGTACTTCATGTTGGCAGTCTAATACTGTCTTCTATACTGGTCGTGATACCATGAATGTGGAGCTTGAGATGGTACCATTGTGGGCGGTATCCATGTGAGATGAGAAGGGATGAGTGCCGGTGCTGATGGTACATGGGAAGATCCACTGGCGACTGGTGCCGTGGGGGGTGTCAGGAGCTGGGAACTTGAAGACGCAACTGACTGGGATGGTACCATTGTGGGCGGCATCCATGTGAGATGAGAAGGGATGAGTGCCGGTGCTGATGGGACATGGGAAGATCCGCTAGCGACTGGTGCCATGGTGGGTGTCAGAAGCTGGGAACTTGAAGACGCAGCTGGCTGTACAATCGCGGGGCGTCGTGGATTTGCGCGTGGCCGAGGTGCCTTCTCTTTTGCTTTCTGCGTCGCCTTTGGTTTTTTTGCTGCTGGGCGGTCAAAAACGGCAGGAACTCTAGCCACATCAGTGGGCAGTGCACTTGCAGATGCGGCACCCGGTGTTTCGCCTGATTTCTTCGCTGCTTTCTTCTCCCGGATTTGATGAGCTGCTGCGAGACGAACATCTGCAACATTAGTGACCCTCAATGGTGTCTCACAGAGAGACTGAGGGATAACAGATTGAATCTGGGCGTAATTGTGAATCGAATATGTATTGAGAAGGTAAAACGGCGAGGGTTCATGCTGAACAACGGGCTTTGTACGCGCTGTCTCGGTTCGTTCTTGAAGAACACGGCACTGACGAACATTCATGCACTGTGCTTTAACGCAGTCGTGCTGAAGATTTACAATACAATTAATGTCCTCAAGTTCATCGCGTGAGCATGATAACGACTCTAAAGATATTCAAACTTACTTGCGGGCCGATGACAACTTCGTGGTCGGTGAGCTCCAAAGTCGGTAGGTGAAGCGAAGGATGTAGAGCAGGTCCGAAAGTAAACTTCTGAATAGCAACATGCCGCACGTCCTGGCAAGAGTTTGACATCAAAATCTCACGAACACGTCCAATGCCCAAGGAGGATGTCGAAGAATCATGAAAGATAACGTGTCCTCCTAACGATGCCTTCTCGCCGTTGCCGATGACCAAAGAGGTTCCATGACGGTATCGAACAATGGCGCGTTGTGGGAGATCGAGGGCCTTAGAGCAGCGCGTTGCTGTCCACGGTACAGGCTTTTCTGCGACACGCTGTCCATCTTCGGCGGCGACTTTCTTGAGTTTACCAGTTCCTTTCAAGCAGAAAAGGTTACAATTGAAATGGTATTGAAGGAGGACACTACTTACCTGTGACAGGAGGTGTTAACACATGAATCCCCAAAAGCCGAGCCTGCTCTGGGTGCTCGTCGATGTAGCCTAACACCTTGTCACCCGCCCGAACCCACTTTTTACTGGCGGTATCAAACCAGTAGCCACCCGTAGCGATGTGTTTGACAATATCCTGTCTCGCGAAAATTCGGCACGTATCCTGGCTGGGGCCCTGTCGATTGCTGTGGATGCATGCGAGGCGAAACACGTGGTTGAAAGACTCGTATCGTTCAGTGGAAAAGAGAATCGCTGGACCGAAACGTCGGATGTAAGCAGGAAGATGAACTAAAAAATGAAATTTTGGTTTCGAGATGAGAATACTAGGTGCGCATTGAGCCGTTACGTTGAGAAAATCTTCGATAGTGCGCGAAAGCTTAGCCTATGAGTTAATCAGCATTGGAGTAGCATTGTCAGTCATCCTCGTACCAAGTATGTCTCTGTGTCGTCTATTTCTGTGTGCCATATGTGCACAACGAGCTCACCAATAATCGTCCACGCATCAAGTACTGTTCTCGGCAACAGATCTTGAATGAGAAACGGCATAACTTGAGCTAGACTCTTGAAATGTTTCCCGATGAGGCTGCCCTTATAATGGCAGATGTATTCGGCGTTCAGACACGGAGAATTGAGTCCATCCTTCGCGATCGAGTCGAGTCGCATTTGAAAAAGGTCCAAAAGCTTCGCCTTCTCGAGAAGATACACCGACTGACCCCAAAAATACTTGACCACCCCCAATAGCACCGTGTGGAGTATCTCCGTTGGCGTGTCTTGATGAACATTGAATCCTAACAAAAATCAGTCAGTGCACGGCCAGCAACACTAATTCAACACTTACCCTCCACGCCCAGCAAAGGATTGATGGCATCATCGAGCGCACTCCCTCATAAAAGATCTTCGAGTTCCTTGTTTAAAAGTGCCTTGACTTCGCTCTCTTGTTTTTGCTGGACGCCAGGCACCCGTTTTCGCAGTCTCTTTCCCATTTCGACAACCGCCTCGAGGATGTAGCCCGTCGTCGTATCTTTAACACCTGTTAAAGAGACGGATTTCTTGATTTTTTCCGAAGCGCCTGAATTGAGCGCAGTGACAAATTGCGCGCGAATCTCGGCTGCTGTTCCTGCAGGTGTGCGAAGCTGTCCTGGCTATAAAGGAATCAATATTGTGAAGAGTAGCGCAGAAAAATCTAACATACTACAAAAATGCTGTTGTAGCCCTCGTTCGACTCCTTGTACTCCTTCGTTCCGCCAACTTCGCATGTCCTACAAAAGTAGTTACAATGTAACCCTGCGTGACTGCACTCTTCAGCGTGCATGGGATTGTCGCCACCGAGAAAGAGACCGTATGGGACCAGCATGACTTCTTCATTGTCTTTACAGTCCCAAGTAAAGATCCCGGATTCCTTAACCTTCCTATGATTGCGGGTCATATTGTACTGTAGCAAGTATTACTGTATCACATACCCAATTGAGTCTTGCATGGCGCTCATCATCTCCATCGGAGCTGCGTGAGGAGAAGATGTGACGAAACGAACGCAAAATTCTTTCTCCAGCATTTCGCGAGGCAAATTCGCGTTCGACATGTATATTGCGTGGTGCTTATTCCATTGCTTGGAGACATTCCCCGACACGTCATCCATAAAGACGATGAGAGGGACAGCGTACACCATTCGACCTCAAGATTTTGCGCGCAACGGATTCGGTTCGAGTTTGGCATACTTCTTGGAGGACTCCGTCAGCCCGCATGCGAGTTCGTCGTCATCGAGAGATATCTCTCTGAATGACCTCCGAAAGGTAGACGTCGGGATGATTTCTTGCTCGTCGCCAACAATAAACCCGTCCTATGTATATTATTAGCAAAATTAGTGAAGATATAGATATACAAATGATGGGCTTACCTCCGTTCGTTGCACGGTACGCCCCAGCGCATGTAACAGCTTGTCTGCTGTCTCGCCCGTTGATGCGTACGACGCGAGAAAAAAACGTTCGGGAATAAAATACTCTCCCGAACTATCCTGCAAGAGCTCGTTGACAAAGTAAACCTCCCCGTCGACTTTAGCTGCTGGGGGCGAGGGGAGCTCGAACAGCATCTTCTCCCCGTTAAATACCTGGGACATTCCCCTTCCTCCGTCTTCGGGGTAATCCTGCATCGCAAAACGAGTCAGAGGGTTGGAATAGTCCTTAAGGTTGAAGTCAGTACAAGAGATCTGTGTGAGAGCGCGCAAGATTCACATACCTTCACGATTGCCTTTCCAATATCATTGAAATAGAATATGTTCCCCGAACGAGCGGTGACCTTTTCTGTCGGATTTCCGACGAGCGTTTGGATAGTGGTCTGGAAGCGGTTCAAGGCATACAGTGATGGAACATCATGAGCACCGAGTTCCTTTGCCCATGATAAAATGGCCTTTTTCTGTGCCTCAGAAAACGGCAGCCTCGGAGAACTGAACAGTAGCGCCGTGATGAAATGCTTAAATGAGACGTCAGTGTGAGGGATACGTGAGAGCTGTCAACATACAGCTTTTGATGGCCATGGGAACATCGGATGGTCAGGCGATACCGGACTGTTGAGGTCTACATGACTCTTCGTGGTCAATGGATCATCTGATAATTTAAATTAGTATCGCCCAGAGTGATGAAGTAGTGCGTTACCTGCAAGTTCAATCCCAAAATCCGATTCTGTCTCGTCATCAAATCCAACCTCTTCAGTCATTGGTGCGAGCGGCATGGAAAACAGAGATTCCCCAGAAGCGAGAGCACACTGCAGTTCGTCGAATAAATCACGTGTTTCGTTGACTTCCAAGTTGTGAAAACGGCTGCTTGACATTGCGTCCCACAGTTCAGAGATGGGCACCACTGGTTCTGAGTCCGAATCAATCGGTACATCGTGGTCCAGTGCGGGAATGCCAGGATCGTCAATGTCCATGTCACCTGTGGTCACAAACTCCATGTTGTCGTTATCGTTTTTACTGCGGGCGCATGAAAGGTTATGCAGGGGGTACTGCTCTGGGGGAGGGCGATCTTTCAAAGGCGGGGTACGTTTGGCACGGCGTTGGTGCATCGCCGTCGTAGAATGTTTCAGGACATGTTTGAGATGCATTGTACGCAATAATCCATCACCGCGCACCGGACAGATATTGCACACAACTTGAAGCGGATGACGAAACTCAAAGACTACATCATGCATCAGTACATTATATGAATATCAAGCACAAAGCATACTTTTACCGTCCACGAGCGAATTCATCAATGCCGGATTCATTGTGGTTGATGCGGTTTTCGAGTTATCGCAGTGCCGCAATGAAAGACTTGGTGCTTTGGAGGCGGCGAAAATCACGTGATCCCGACCTTTGATGTCATCAGTGGCGAATTCTGCGAGGGAGGACAAGAAAAAGGTTATGTCCGCACCTCCCCAACTGCCAGGTGTGCATGTAGATAGGCTCAGAATGTGTCCTGTAAAGTAGCAGATGATATGTAGAAGGGAGAACCCGCTCCTGAATATATAGATCTTGGGGGCGGCAAAGATAAGGTAGGACATTAGATGGATAGGAAGTAGCAGATGATATGTAGAAAGGGAATATGTTAAAGGAAGTAGCAGATGATATGTAGAAAGGGAATGTGTTAGATAAACCGCTCCAGCGAAGATAGGATATGGATAGGAAGTATATGATATGTAGAAAGGGAATATGTTAGTAAATCCGCTCCTCAGTATTGAGTATTCGCGATGGAGCGGATGGATGAAGAGCAGGTGGGTTAGTGGTCCAAGGAGCGTTCACAATATGTAGAAGGAGAACCTGATCATAATATAAGCGCTGAGATGGGGGAATGAATTGAGATTTGAGTCTTGGGCGCAAGTAGACTTTCCAACACCAGACTCACCGCCAACGTCACCTACACCCCATATTTGTCATATCCCTCTTCTCCTCCTCCCACAGGCAGGACACAGTGTGCAGACCAGGTGTGAAGTTTTGAAAGCGAAGAGTCGTGAATCATGATTCGTGCCAGCGATCCGATAAGGGGTGTTGAAAACACGTGACTTGTGTTATTGTTCCAAATTTCTTCCAAGTTCGACGTTCAACATCAAGCACAATGCATGAGACACAACCAACGTCCAATGACGGAGCACTCAAGCTTCACCACTTTTCAAGTTCCATTTTCTATCCGGAAATTCGACAAGCCGAATCAGAAAATGCACTCCTGCAGCCTCTCTTGATCTCTGTGTGGTTTTCTGGTGCGGTTCCTCGACACCTCGCACATTCGAACATTGTATGTCCCCTGATATTCCTTGATAACCGCTACCTGTATACCAATGGGTATTTAGCCCATAGAAATCACTGTGTCTCTGAATGAAGAATACACATTATTCACAGTACCTGTGATTGAGATAGCATCTCAGCGGACCGGGGAGCCTTATCCTTCTAACAGTGTAAGTAATTCACCTTGATTTTTTGCACCATGGCTGACCTTGGTGCATGTGAAGTCTGTGTCTTCCGGTCAATATGAACATTACTCCATGTCTGACGATGCACCCATTTCTTTCCTCCCCTTGCCGCCGACATTCGATTATACGGATTCAGACCACTGGGCTGAACTCTCCGGCACTATACAGTCGTGGCTTGTGGCATTTGCGGATACCATGAAGCCTGAATGGACCTGGGGTCGGGACACATTCTGGTATGCATTTGTCGCTGCCAATCCTGACTTCCCCGGTGGCAAGTGGGCATTCTGGGGTCCCAGTATTCCGCTTGAGGGACAATTCATTGAGGAGTGGGTGGGTGGCGGTATCGATTTGGCTGCTGGAGATGCTGACGAAGAGCTCGCTACCCCTTCGATGCACAACGACACCCTGAGCTTCATATGGACAGAGTTCTCCAAACACGTTGCGCTTTTTTACCCTTATCCTTTGATCTCTACTACATAATTTTCCTCCGCGGAATGGGACACTTGTCGGGATGGATGGGATACATGTTATGTCATTGCATGTCTATGTGTTGTCGCTGTAGTTTGCTGTAAACCAGTAAACCATTATACAATATCATTTCGGCTTTCTGTTATATTCGTGATTTGAACGCGAAGTGTGCAATTCGACACATGCTGAGCAGTGAGCGCTGTGTTGATAATGTGCTATACTCATTGTGCTGTACAATACTCATACTTGTCATGTATTTATCCTATATCTTTCATTATAGGTTGTACCGAAGCAAGGATGTCATTATAGATCGTATGCTCGCCGCGTGCTTCTCATACACTTTTGCTATATAGATCCTATACCTGGTTTCGTGTGCCACCACTTTGTTGGTGTTGTTGCCGTGCCGATACTTCACTCCCAGCATGGAAACAGAGCTATTTCGCATGCTCATTCAGTGCGTGTCCGGGCTCTGGTCAATGTTCTGAACTAGACCTCTTATGGTGACTGGATCTTGGATAATTGTCAAATAACTGTATCATTTATAAGAAATATGCCATTTATGTACAAGGTCCTGGCTTTATCATACACATTTAAATTGTTTTTCGTCAAATATACAACGTGCGAATTTGACGATTGGCCGTGTACCCTTAACAAGGACTGCAACTTTAATTTTTATCGGAATAATTCCCACGGTGTACCATATTTATCATATGAGTAGATTATCATATTTTATTCTAAGTCTTTTATTCTAAGTCCCATGGGTATGGTACATATATCGATTGCTGCATAGATATATACAAGGTCATGTAGACTAGTGGTAAGTAATGCTCAAATGCGTGAGAATTGATTATGTGATCTCAGCTGAGCTTGCGTGGTCGGGACTCGTGAGTTCAAACCAGGCAAGTGGCAAAGATTAGGGGATTAATTTTTTTTCTTTGTGTGACAAAAAAAAAACTTGAATATGACAATGAATTTGGATCAGACAATGATTATCACCCCAACATTAAATTCATTGTTTGTCAATGAGCGATTCAGTGTCGCACGGTGACACTGATTTACATCAACTGTCAATTAATGTCCTAGCTTTCAGCACTGATCATAAAGGTCTTTGGTTTTGATATTCATTGTCTCCACTACCCTCAGTGTACAGAATGTAGTTACAAAGTTGAACATGCGACAATAATGAACTTACAGCAGTTTGCGAAACTAATGGCACTGGCGCGTTGTGGGAAAATCATAATTGAGGATTTGGGACTTTGAAAATTTTCACCGTTTTGAGACTTAGAGAAAAATTTAAACAATTGCACCACGTCGGACAACAATATTTATACCTACATACCACTAGTATGGTCAACCGAAAGATCTCATTTGACGTCAAACTTGCTGCCATTCGCCTGTACGAGCAAGATATCCTTAGTCTTCGTGAGGATCAATTATTGCCAAGGACGCGACGCGGCATAATGTTATGTAACACAGAATGGTAAAAAAAACTAAGTCCCAAATCCTCAATTATGATTTTCCCACAACGCGCCAGTGCCATTAGTTTCGCAAACTGCTGTAATGACGCAGGATGTTTGACGGTCAATGCAAAAAGGCTTCGAACCGAAGGAAAGATACGAAACAGACCTGCATGAAAACCTCAACACTATGAATCCTCGTGGTAGTGTTGACGGGGAAAACATATCTTGTTGAGGAACCTGTAGCTTTTGTACACAGGTAGCGTAAGGGGGGCAACGAAACAATCTGCATGTATCTGTATCACTGGATAAAACAGATGCCAGCTCACGCTCCGTGACATCATATTCTTGAACTTGGAAGGCCTCAATAATGTGCCGGACACACATCGCGACTTTGGTCTATGATGATGATAAATTCAAGCAATTCTCACATTTGTAGTCCGAGTCAGCAGACGCACTCATCAATAACCAAGTGAATTGTAGAAGCATGGTCAAGCGTCCCTGCGAGGAGTAGGACATGCTTGTGACGAGATATGACAGGCCTGGCTTGAGCGGTGTCCAGTGCCAGCATGACCTCGCCGCCAACTAGTAGCCAGGCCAGCGGTTGTGGTATGAATTGCGATGGGACCCATTACTAGGCGTATTCCCGATATTTGGACCCCAGGGTACGCAAATTGTGCAAATGTATACTTCAATGTGACTTCAATAAACCTATAGCCTGCGGTGGACAAAAAGCGTGGGCTCATTGTGTGTTGTGAAGGTTTGGCTTTGCTGTGGTAGAGACCAGTTATGAGTGATGAGGTTGATGAAAACTAAAGGAACTTGATCGACAATGAACTACCTCGAACCACTTGCATACTGTTGCCCCTCAATAAACGTCTGTACAAGTCGAATCGCAGACTTGCGGAACTGCTAGCACTATCGCTGCCAATCAGGGTTCCGCGACTGCGCTGACCGCGGCGGCGGCGGCTTGATCAGGTTGTGCTGTAACTGATATAAGTACGTACAGTGACAATGATATAGGTACGCCATACCAAATGGGTTCGCAGACAGTTGGACTTTGAGCAATATTCCAAATGGACAGTGATATTGCATGCTTTCGAAGGTTCAACTTCGAGCCGCTGTGACATGTTTGGTGAGTGGGTTCGTAGTGCACAATCAAATTGCGCTGCGTTCAACATCACTGAAAAAAGCTCTCATACCATACATGCGGTAGCATGTTGTAGTCTTGAAATTTTGCACCTTGAGCTGTGACATCGCCCTGGTCCTGGAGTAGTTGTCTTCCGAATCGAAGCGCCCCTGTGTCTGTGGGATCAACAACCTTGCTGGATATCATTCAAAAGAAAACAGCATTCCTGGCCCGCTCCTTCCCAGCAAATGTTTCAAGGGTGGGGGTCCAGACTTATTACAGGCTACGTACATATATCAATTGATATCAGACTTGACAGATTGACTCACGAGGAGGTACAAATCATCCGATCAATGCTTGAAGGTATGTATGTGTCCTCGAGCTGCTTCTTTTTTCACCCCTCTACACTTAGGTGGCCGCGTGATGTCTTAATGGTATCAAGTTGTCCATGGTGGTAGCGCAAAACTGTTGATCCGTTTGGCACCGTCTTCATGGGCAAATACAATGAGTTGTTATCAACAACGGCGGGGGAAGACTGGATTTAGCGTATTAATTTTTCACCTGGTAGGGTTGTTCAACTTGAAGCGAACGTTCTGCCAGCAGCTAAACGTTTGAACCCAGTGAGCATTGAGAGGCATTGAGCAAGACAGGAAAAGTCATGTAATTAAAGGGGTCACGTGCCCCCGTTTCTGCCAAATACATGCTAAAGTTCTTATTAGTGATACCACTACATCATGATAGTACGAGCCACCTACAAAAACTCAACCAAAACATTGCCCTTCGTCGCTCTCCTCGGCGGTCCCATACGGACAGTCATATCATAGAAAGAAGTTTGGTCAATTGATTGCTGGACAAATGAGTGCAAGATATTCGGCTGCTGATTCTTCCTGGCAGGACCCTTGACCCGAGGTATGGATCGTCCGACTGTCTGAATGACACCGACAAGTTGAATCAAAGCCCGTCGCAGCCACAACTCATTGTTCCCCCGCACCTCTCACCCATATCATTAATGTCCCTGAAAATGTACGGTGAATTGGGTGAATACATCATCATGATCATGATCATAGACCGAAGTTCACCAAACCGTACCAAGAAGACTCGTGAAGTGCGACCGGCACATTATTTGAGGCCTTCAAAGTTCGAGAAGCGTGAGCTGGTATCTGTTTATCCTGTAACACAGACATATGTGGATTGCTTGGCTGCCCCCTACACTACCTGTGTATAAAAGCCAGCGTAGTAGGCTTTGATTCAGACAATAACAACAAGTTTCAGTCATGAAATTCACTTCACTCATCCCTATGATCATTGCCACAGCAATGGCTGGCGTAGTCGTCGCCTCCGAGGACCTGGTGATAAACCCTGGGAACTTCCAATGCGACAAAAACAAACCTGGTGAGTACTTTTGCAGCATACGTGCAGACCTTAGACCACATGCTTATGGCCATCCGCCAATGAAGTGGCATGCTCAAGGGGCATCAAAGGTTACAACAATGAGTATGATTTCGGGTATAATTGCGGAAGTAACGGCCTTGTCGTTTCTTGGACGCCGTGCCACTGCCATAATTGCTGCCACTTGATCAACAATGGGAAAGCCTACTCCTGTACATGAGCTTTGATGCTTGCTCAATACTACGTGCACAATGCCTGAGTGAGTCTGTCTTTTCTTGTCGTCCTCCGCCAAGTCCGAGTGCTGAATCTGCTGATGTGCTTACTTTCACCAGCGCATGTAACATTTAGCGTGAAATGTGCAGGAGGGCGTCAAGGAGTGCTGTCAGTAATATAGTCATATCTCATTGTCGAAAGAATCAAGAAGATTCATTGTCATCAAATTTTTAAAAAAAGCAATTGATGAGGGCCACATCACAGTTCTCAATGTTGCTCTGTGTTGCTCAGACGTCCTGATGTGAAAGAAAATGGCAAATGCATCTCAGAGATAGCACAATCCCGTTCACCTTATACCAACTTCGTCATACCAAGGGTAATCCACCTGATGCTGTGGCCTTCGTGCATGATATAACTGTTACTATAGTACAGGCCTCATGCATGTTTTACTGCTATTCTAGTATGTAACTCATGCATGATTAGTACATATAGTCTCACTGTATTATACGAGCGCCTGCCATACATGACACCTTGACCATACATGACGCATTGAGTGATTCTTGCATGATCCCACCTCGCGCGCCTGTCATGCATGATATATGATACCCGCCTGCCATACATGACACCCTGAGTAATTCTTGCATGATCCCACCTCAAACGCTTGTCATGCATGATCCCACCTGTCATGCATGATCCCACCTCGCGCGCCTGTCATGCATGATGCATGATACCTTGAGTAAGTTTTGCATGGTCATACATGATCCATTTGCTATCATGCACGATGTGCACGTTAGTATGAGTATGTCATACATGATGAGCGCTTAGTGATGGACGGTGTATGTCGTCCAAAAAAAACATAGATTCAACTAGTATGAACATTACTACATTGCATGGACCGAAATGAAACGAGCTACTGTCATCCAAGCTACTGTCATCTACGTTGTCGTGCCCGCAGGTGGGGTCGGGAGGGTAGGAGGAGACCACAAGATCTGAAAATGAGTCGACAGCTGCCGACGCAGTGATGCCTGGCGTTCAGCATAAGCCACCAAACCTTCCCTCAATGTATCATCCAGGGACTCCGAGTCACGGCGCTCTCGCTGACTCTGCCACCAACCTCCCTGCCAGTCCAAGAATGCTATGACCCACCATTGTTCCTCCTTCAGTAAGTCAACCTCCTCTTCCCATCGCATCGCACGCACGCGAGCCTTACACCATTCTATATGAAGAGCTGGAGAGCATATGGATCAGAGCGTCTTCCAAAAAAGGCCGGTCTTACCATCATGCAGCCCAACACTGGCGTTCTCTGATACTTCTGGTGTTTTCCAAATCCAAGAAAGGTGCCATGTCCCCTCTGTCTCCTTCCCCCACATATCCTTCAGTGCTTTCAGGTCCTTGCTCCGATTGAGAGGCTTGAAAACCTCCATCCATGTCCGATCCTCATTGAGAATTCGTGCTAAATTTGCAAGCGCTGCCCTCGCGACTTCATAACGCTCAGCGGCCATGTTGACTTTGGCATCAGCCTTGCTGATTGTACTTCTTGCGCGTGTATTTGCCGCCTGGCCAACAATATGGCTATCCATGAATTTATATAGGTGAGAACGGAGACATAGCAGATTCCGGATGTCCTTTAGGGTGTCGTTTGCTTGAGCGTAGCGTAGTTTCCATTCTAAAGTATGAAGTTGTATCGCACACTGTGTGTCAGGGCCGACCGCAGATGGTAACCACAGCTGGAAAGCTTCGACGGGTGTAGAACTGGCGGGGGAACATGGTTCTTCACTGGCGCGCAGGAGTGATACAAACGGCATGTAAAGTAGCTGAATATCTTGCCAACTTTCGATTTTCCTTCGTAACGAGTTGGTATGCTGCTGGGCCTTTGCAAGTTGGTGATCAGTCGCATGCACACCGAGTGCCGCAATCTCAAGAGACAAACATCGCCTATGACCTATTAGTATATCGCAGAGCTACCAGTGAGGCTACATACTGTTGATCTTCCAAATCAATACCAGAGCTGATTAGGATGGAGGGAGAGACATCTGCGTGAAGAGAGATGTTTGTGCCGGATTCAAGTTCTGCAGCTTCAATACGTGCGAGCTCCAACCGCACAGCAGACTGTGTCTCGGCTAATGAAAAGTCAGTGCAAAGTACTTGAAACGATAAAAAAGAACGTACGTGCTACACGGACTTGGAATGGATTAGTCTGTGAGTGATCCTGCTCCCAAGCCTCGACCTCGATTCTCCATTGTGAAATATCCTGTGCTTTCAGGCAGCTCTCAAGTTCGATGAGCTCCCGTTGATGCTCGGCCTTTTGCTCGATCGCGTCCACTAGCTTGCGAGCAAGCAGTCGTCCTGAGTAATCCCATCAGATTATGAACAACTCGAAACATAATCAACACTTACCAAGCCGTATACAACACTTCCAATTCCAGTCACCGAAGTGATCATCGAGTGTGTCCCGCCGAGAGCCTGGGCCCATTTCCTTCGTACTTGATGCGATCGGGTTAATGTTGGCCCACCCACGTTCTGGAGCTTCGCCATCAGTACGGCCAACATACCGTGAGAGATTAAATGAAAAGTCGATTTGACATTGCTCGATATGGGCAGGTAAATGGAACTTTGGGACGAGAAAGGTGATTGCCTTGCTGCTAAAATCCAAATGAAATCTGGAAGGAAGTGTCATCATCCGCGACCGCAAGTGCTTGGACCATTGGCATGCAATGTCGTACGAAACGTTGAGGACAGTGACTTCGTTGTGGCTCATTGCAGAGAAAAAGAGATAGTCCATATTTATATATCTGAAAAGTGTTGTTAGACAGTAGCCGACAAGATGAATGATGAGGAATACATACTTCTCGCCTTTTTGTAAGTCACCAACTGCGTTACGAAGCTTCATATTATGTCGAGCACAATCTACTGTCCCAACGCCTGTTGCGGCAAGGCCTCTGGCATTCTTCGTATCAGCCATGTTGATGGCATTGTGACTAGCACATGTACTGCGCTATAGGTATCCAAGTTAGTGGTAGCACGAATTGATAAAACAATTTGAGAAACTTACCTCCTGGTTTCGGTCTTTGTGATCATCTAGATACCCCTTGTATGCCCGCTCATCTACGAAATATGACCATCCCTTACTGATTCCAGGATCGATGCTGTCACTCGATACGAACTTCCGCTTCAGACGGAAGTTTGCGTCAATACCGACAAACAAGGCATAAAGCCATCTACCTTCTGATAAGAAAAATCACTATAACCATGGAATCATATAAGACTCACCGCTTATCAGGCGGGGCATCTTTCCAATCCTCAGGAATATTTTTTCCGGGTTGGGGACATGCAGGACAGAGCACTGCGCACTGTCCTGGCTCAGTTGTCCCCACGCCATCTGGGCAGTGACCACGGGCAAAATGTTTGAGTAATTGATGATCCGCCACTCATGGACTACACGTAAGAAGGTTGGGTAGCGGTCCTAAGGCTTCTATTAGATCTTGTAATAAATGTGAATTTAGTAAATTAGATACCTTTGGCGGATCAATGCCAACGTTGTCCGATAAACACGCAAGGCTAAGATAGAATTCAAACGCTGATGCTTTTGATTCAAACAACAGCTTGTGGTATTGCTCGAGGACGTTGAATGTAGCCGCAGTTTTCAGATCGGTTATGGTTGCCGGAAAAAGTCGTGCTTGTAGGAGCTGTTTGACATGGGTCTGCATGGCCCCGCAAGCACAAAAATCTAATCCTACTTCGTGTATCCCGTTCGTATCGATGATTACGAAATCATCATTGAATGCTCGTTGAGGATTGCAGCAAGTGTCGTCCATACGATGGCCCAACTGGATGCATAGCCCTAACGTCTTTAAGGATATTCGTTCAAAGTAATGGCCATTCCAGCGCTACAAACGTAAGGGATGTCAGCTGATACAACCATGTGAGATGAGATCTCGGGCATCACCTGAAGACGGTGCAATGGCAAATGTCGGTGCCTTTCTACAGCGCATGGAGGGCAACAGAGCTCCGGTAAGAAGCAGTCTGTACATCGGATGGTCCGAGCACTTTTTTGGCAGTGTCCACATAGAGAATCCTCAATATATTCTCCGCGGCCTTCGAGGCGAATCATTTCGTCCAAAAATGTTGGACATTCTGGCAGCCATGCTGCAAGGGGGTGATCCTACATACTCAATGAGTAAGATGTTGTAAGTATCGAAAAAATGCTTACGCCGGCTGTCCTTTCCTCTTGGAAGTCTCAGTCTCAACATCATCATCGGGGATGGGCATATACTCCAGAAAATCGCCAGGATCATATATTTGGAATTGGTTGCGAGCTGATGGTGGATCCTCGTCATGGAGAGAAACTGGAGGTATGTTGACACCAGGTTAGGGACTCAGTGCTGCACTAATGGCTTGCCGGATTGAAACATGTAAATTGAAGCCGTGTGGATGTGGGTTGGAGGCGCGTCTGTGAGTTGCTCAGCTGTATGACGCACCAGTTTTTGCTTTTTCTTCCCCATAGTAGATAGAGGAGGGCAAGGGTACTCATCCTGACCTGTAAATCTGAGAAGAATCATATTACATAGACAATGCCAATGGTGGATCGAAGAAGCGAATGCGAATGCGTTTGTTTACATCTGTTGAATTCAGATGCTTCTGCCCATTTTGGACAAGTCACTTGCCATTACTCGTGCCCACCATCATTCATGCATGTACCATGCACAGCACACACTTCCCCCTGAGAATCTATCACGACCCGCCCAGCGTCTATAAAAATGAGCAAACAGTAGGTGTATTTTTCAACATCCAACATCTCCAAATTCAGTATCAATTGCTTTTCTAGATGACGTCTACCAACTCAATTTCAGCGTCTTCTAACAATGCAGTCGGTAAGCTTACTATGACTTGTTGTTTTGAATATGCGCTTACTCTCTGCAGATACTCTGGTGGCAGCACTCATGGGTCTCAACATGAGTCCTGTCACTGCAAACGCCGTTGTAACGGTCATACAAGCGATCACTTCCGGCGAGCCCTCCACTCAATTAGCGTCACCTCCTGTTCGTATCCCTGAACATGCTGATGAAGCGGCGGAGGCAGGAGTGCACGCTGACCATGCTACGAGCGACACTGACCATGCTACGAGCGACGTAATCCCTGCAGAGACTCCACCTCCCCCCGCCAATATCTCACCAACGCTACCTTCTGGAAACTCCCCCACCACCACCACCACCACCACCACTCTGGTGCCTACCGCTGTTACTCCCACCACTACCACTCCGGTGCCTACCGCTGTTACTCCCACCACCACCACCACTCCGGTGCCTACCACTGTTACTCCCACCTACGCAGACCCTGTTACGTTCCCGCCCAGTTTCGTTTCATACCGAGGCTTCCAATATGAGATTCCTCATGCGTCCGCTCAAGCACCGTTCTACTGTGTGACTAAGGGCAAACGTGTTGGTGTTTTGTCTACGTGGTAAGTACTATATTTTGCGCGTAAGTTATTGTATATACTGACAAGGAATCAACAGGGAAGATACTTCCCCCCAGGTCACGGGTGTCAGCGGTTCCATCCAAAGCCGTTGCCCGTCTATTGAAGTGGGTATAGCACGCATTCATGCAGCCATCAAGCGCGGAAACTGCCAGTACTTGGGGTGAACGGCGAAGGATCGCATATTGATACATGGCACGCGGGAATTGTACTTAGTGTAGCTGTCTTTTTGTATGAGTCGCAGCAATTTTATTTTCTTGATGGAACATATGCGTGATTCAACTATCTATGGTAGATGTCGTATATATAATGCACAAGGTAGGACAATGGTTCAGTTGGAATGCTGGGTAGCAGAACACAATATCGATAAATAGATCTCCCAAGAATCTGCGCTAAGGGAAAATACATGGACGACGCCTCATTAACATGATGTATCGCCCTTCTTCTGCATGGGACTTCGTATGATACATTGATACCTTCGCTAATCTACATACTTTGTACAGTGAATAGTTCGTTGAGTGTGAATTCTTGAACTTTGGATTGTGTGAACGGACTCGCAACTCAAACGAGTATTAGACGTCACAACACCATTACACTAATTCACAAGTGCACACATACATCTCTTCAAACATCTCTTCAGACTATTTGACCTTTCTTCCTTCAATATTAATATTCCTACATGGCACGACGCAAACTGCACCAGTCAGTAGAAGACCGCCGAGAGGCCGCCAAGATATATTGAAAGACATACTACGAGAAGTATGTTCGTTTTCATTTTTGTCGTGGAAAATTATCATTCAGTCCTCACACAGAAATAAAGCCGCCATCTTGCAGAAGATGCGATTAAAATACAACACGACCAAGTAAGTAAATTTATTTCAATTATTCTGTGCGCTAAAACAAGTCCAGGAGTTTATCTACTAGTAATACAGCTTCATGGCGTCATCGCAGGTGCAATGACGCCGTGAGCGATGACGCCGTGAGCTTGACTCGGAACTGTGCAGAAGAGGGTGAACATAGCTCGTATGTTTCATATCACAATCTGTGTCAATTTGAAGCTCACTTTTACAATTCAGAACTGACCCAGATACGATATTTCGCAAGCTAATCAACGGTTCCACTCGTAGGTTCCTAGATAACTTGACATTGCAGTACATCGGCGGGAATCATTCGGAAGAGTCCCGGCGGCCCATTCAGGACGCACTCAATATTTTGCAGGAAGCTGAGGACGCAATTAGAGCAAGCGGAGGTGATAGTACGGAATGCCGCCAAGTCATACTGTCCCTCGAGGACGTTCTCCTGCGTGTTTTTGAGGACGAGGACATTAAATCCGCACATAGTCGATGGCTTCTCAGGTATCAGCTGGCACCTGATGTCATTATTGCGTAGTGAACTCGTACTTGTATAGATCAGTCTTAATTTCATAATTTCACATTTTAATAAGTGCTGGTGCCTTAAGTGAGCTTGCTGGCGTGTAGATTCGGAAACTGCCTTGTGGCTTGATGGAGGTATGAAATGTAAATTTGGCGATTGCCGTGTGGCTTGATGGAGCTATGAAGTCAAATTTTATATTTTTGCACGTCGGCTAAACATATAGCATTTATAAATACTTGGTGTAAAAGGTGCGCGCGTAAACATTTTATTTTCATGGCATATGAATGACATATATTAGATGGTCACTACTGAATGGACTTCAAAGGAACAAAAGGAGTGGCTGACTAGTCACCTTCCTGGTTATTCAAAATGTTCTTCTAAAGCGAGCTACGCGAAGTTCTGGCCGCCAGTCTATGAACAATGGGAGGAGAAATGGCCCATACATAAGGAGCTCTGGCCAGACCTCCCTGAAGACGAGGCTCTGAATGCGGTGCAATCGGACATAATGGGGAAGGCAGTCAAGAAACGTCAGAAGGTGCGTGCCGTTACTTAATATTGAGATGACCTCGAGGTACTAACTAAATGAAGCAATTACGAACGTGGGTATCATGGCATTCAGCGCGTTCTGCCTCCCGCAAAGGTCGAGCTGCCCAATCATCTGTTAGGGCGACTCGTCTACTTAAAGACCTCCTCCAACCTCGGGGTGCGAGAGCCCTGAGTGAAGCCGAGATGTATTCCCGCCTATATTACAAAACCAGCATTTGCCCAAGTGTGGAAGCCGCTATCAGTGAACGTGGCTCAACGACACAAGGTGAAAGGCTTACCATCGTCCGAGACATGGCACGTCAATGCTGGTAGCGGGAGGCAGATGCAACCATAATTGCTGATGTCAAGGCCAGGATGAAGGCTAATAAGAAGTCCAAGAAGTCAAACGAGGATGGTGAAGATGACAACGAAACACTGGAAGATTACAATGAGGAGGAGGAATTGACCACGGAGGACTTGCTTGAGTACGTTTTCCCTAACTGCATCATTTTATAATTTAGTAACATGTTAAAAAGAACGCAGGAAAACTTACCTGCCATTTTCAACACCATTTTGACGTACCTCGCGGAATGCACTAAATTTTCGTTCTTGGTGTTGATGGGTGGGCCAGATCCCTCAAACAACAATACAATCACTGTCTCATCGTAAGTCTGGCTTTACATGGCCTAAAAATCAAGTACTCAATGTGTAACTAGCGTTGATGTAGGTACCACGAGGCTTGGACATTCAGCCCCACAGTGTTTGCCCGACTTCAAGGAAAATTTTCTTGGAACATATCTGCGGTTCCTTCAAGGCGTACAAGGCAAGTAAATAGTTTGCGATGGATGAGGATTGTACTTACATGATAATGATTTAGGATATAGCTCCCCCGAACCTGAGGGAGAGGACGCGGACAAGAGCGAGGGCGAGGATGAGGGCGAGGTCGAGGCAGAAGAGCATGAAGACCAAGACGAAGTGGACGCGGACCTGTTTGCAGACGAGCCGGAGAATGAAGTAGAGGTATCCAAGGGACAGAAGGGGGATGCTTTGGACAGGGAGATGGACGGGAAGCAGAATGCTCAAGAGCAGATCCCTGACATTTATTCCCCAAACTACGCCATGCATGGCTCCGTCCAGCCCGAGGATCGTTCAACATTCCAGAATATCAACATGCATGATCCTTCGAATCTCGCCATGCATGATGGCAACTCAAACTTCTTGGATACCACCAACTTCCACAGCAATGACGCTTATCCGGCGAATCTCAGCAGTCTGCTCTTCAACAATTACAATTACTGGACTCCTCCGACTGGACAGTACAATGCATTCGAGAATTATCAGACTTCCGGTCATGTCCCTAGCTACCCCCAGCCATATAATTATCCGCCGAGTCAGTCTTCCGTCCCTCATCCTTCAGAGCCGCCTGTGCCATCAGGCAGTTCTCCTGCCAGCTCTCACCCTTTAGACACCCTACCACCGCTAGGCAGTTCTCCTGCCAGCGCTCACCCCTCGGACACCTTACCCCCGCTAGGCAGTTCTCCTGCCAGCGCTCACCCCTCAGACACCTTACCCCCGCTAGGCAGTCCTCCTGCTATCTCTCACCCTTCGGATACCTTACCCCCGCTGCCACCAGTTCACGTGGCAAACTCTCCTGCACCAGAATGTCTGCCTCGAGGAAACTCTCAGGCGTCCGGTGCGAAGACGTCGGGTGAGAAGGTGTCCAGTGCGAAGGCTTCTGGTGTGAAGGCATCGGGTGCGAAGGCATCTAAGAAAGGTAAACCCAAAGCTCCTGCCCATCAGTCTGAAACCACCACCCGCAAGTCTGCGCATCCACCAAAACCATCCACCTGTAACGAGACAGCAAATACCATTGGTGCTCAAGCGCTCACCGAACTGCGGGAGAAGGAAAATGCTCCTGGAGTGGGGAAAAAGGGCCGTAAACGTGGGCCAGACGTGGGTGGGAGCCCATCGCTAAGTACTGTGTATTCCTTCTTATGAAGTGATCTGAACTGCTGACCATTCTTACAGGAAAAAAAAAGTACCTACTAGTGCCACCGTCTGAGATGTCTTGAGAGTTATTGGTCACCCGTATTATAATTCATATTTTCGTATATTAGTCTTGACAATATATCTTGTATCTGACTGCGCGCAATACATTGAGCTTTTTCTATTATTCAGTGTGACGAAAGGGTGCATGATATCCTAATACAAGAAAACTATGGCGCTGGATGCGTTCAACTATTCTACATGCACAAAACACAGAAACGAAAGACTTGGATACCTTTCAACGGGTACAATGTTGGACCTACTATTTTGACATCGCCGCATAACGTGTACAAACTGGTTATCTGGAATCAGATATCGACCGTGGATGAACCTTATTAATAACCATTGAAATGGCGACATATGTAAGTCCGGAAGGAAATTGCTTGTTTTGCAGATTTCGAGGGGGAGGATGGTTGGGGTGCAGTGGTTCGCGATTGAAGGTTTCACTTCAACATTGAGAATTAATAACTTTGGCAAGATTTTGCCGTCAGCCTCCCTCTTATGAGACGAACAAATGAAAACATACTTGTTGTTCTTCATGAGCCCACTTTGCCTGTTCATCATCAGGCTCACAATCCAGGTTTTGGTAAGGGAGACCAGGAACCACTGGGCAACGATAAATATGACTGAAGGGGAGTGAACAGTGATTTCCAAGAGGGAAAACACAGCCGTGCATGACGCTATGTACCATGCATAGTAACTAGGTCATGCACAACAGCGAAAAGCGGCAGTGCGCGCCTCACCATGCATGTTCTATTGGGTTGAGAGGGGAAATACAATCATGCATGACACCACATACCGTGTATGGTAGCTGTAGGACAATAAGTGGCAGGCTGCACAGAGTGCGCATCACACCATGCATGATACTAGGACGACAATGAAAACATACCATGTATGGTAGCAGGCCATGCATGACACTGGTAAGCGGCAGGATGCGCACGCCATGCATGATAGGACGACAATAAGCGGCAGGCTGCACAGCGTGCGCATCACGTCATGCATGATACTAGGACAACAATGAAAACATACCATGTATGGTAGCAGGCCGTGCATGACACTGGTAAGCGGCAGGATGCGCACGCCATGCATGATAGGACGACAATAAGCGGCAGGCTGCTCAGCGTGCGCATCATGTCATGCATGATACTAGGACAACAATGAATACAAACCATGTATGGTAGCAGGCCATGCACGACAGTGGTAAGCGGCAGGATGCGCACGCCATGCATGGTAGGACGACAGAGTAAGCGGCAGGATTCACACGCCATGCATGAAAGCATGACAATGAAAACATGCATGACTCCAAAACTACAATCCTAGTTATATCATGCACCAATAGGACAGTATAGCCTGGCTTACCTCCCCTTCTGTTCTGTCACAACCTGACGGCTTAGGCTACCAGGTATATTGACGTTCAAACGATACACGACACGATAGCTTAGGACCGTCGTCCTTCGCTTACCCATCCCAGTCCGACTACGACCGTTGTCATAACACTGAGGGAGCGTTCATAATACAGTTGGTCTTCGACACCCACAGGCCTGCAGCCCTCGATCGCAAACGTAGTCATTGGATGGCATATTGACCTTTTCGGTGGCCCACTTTATCCACTCCAACGCAACATAGGAAAAGCGATCAGTACAGTGGTATATTCACTTCTGCTCCACAGGCCTGGGCGTGCAAGCGATCGTGGTCAGGGGGAAGAATAATATGAGAGTCTTGAGGTCTGCGAACTTGTTTGATGGGAGGAAGTTAAAGCACTTTCCCACGATGACAGACACTTCCTTTGAAATGCTAAGTACCACTGTACCAGCTTCTCTGATTCGATATTTACAGGGGATTTGCCACACCTGGCCAGACACATGGCGTGTATTGCACTTTTCAAATCAATTGTAGCGCCGCGGCTGAAGGCAGTAGGATGACAGAGACAGGCAGAGACGGACCTGCAGAGTGACGGGCGCTTAGCCTTATGTTTTTCCAACATTATAGACTGCGTGGGAGTCTTGCAATTGGATCAGGGTGGGACGTTCTGAGAACGTCCGGGATATGGCCACTCTGGGGCTTATCCACGTAGACTCTACGTAGACCTCTGGGGTTAATGTCTAGGTCCAGTCTAGGGTTTCGGCGGTATGTCTAGGGCTTCGTCGGGCGGAGTTTAAATGTTGCCCGACGACGAAGTGTACACGTGATGGACATATACCTACTGTATGAACAGCGCACGAGCGGTACTATGGACATTGCGAGCGTGTTTTCAGCTCTTAATCACAACCCAGAACTGAAGGACCTATCGTACATCGACTTTCAACGTTTGCTACGCTGCGCAAGTGCACTCAAAGACGATATACTCCAGCCGCAGCCTCACATGGTCTCTGTGATTGCTCCACCTGACGTCCTACCCCCGATTATCACTGAATTCCTGAGCGACTCGTTTCACATCACACTCGAAGCTGTCGACATGCTGTGGGATGTGGTCAAGGACATCGTGTGGGTGCTTCCCACAGAACTGGAGGAACGGGAAGCAGTCGAGACAATGTTTCGTCTCCATGGTAAAGATCGAGGTCTTGGTAAGTGATAGTAAGCTTTATGTTGGTATGTCTGATATGATGCACAGCTGCCCTTGTCCTATACCCGCCAAACAAGACATGTATCAATGCGGAGTGCATTGCTCAGCAGTGCGGTTCGGTACTCAAAAAGGAAGAGCAGCGTCGGATCGTCGTTTTCACTCAAGCAGAGGGTGCGCAGTGCGCGTGGTCCATTCACCTCAAATGCAGATTGTGCAACTCGAACTACCACCATAACTACGCTGTCCGATCAGGGGTTAGACACTATTATGGAGGACTACCGAGGTACCTTCAGGTAGGGGAGCACCAATTCGTCGAGTACGAGCTCGCTATGCACTGGACGGACTTAATGCAGATAGCGTAAGTGATATGATTCCCTCACATAAGCTTGTTGGTCTAATTATGATCCAGTGTATCTGCAACAAACTGCGCACGTCTATACGATATTGCTCAAGTTCGTCGCAACTCACATGATCAAGACTGGCAATTTAAGACTTCCCCCACGACTGAAGAAGTGTGGGACACATTCGTCCTCCTTGCTCTACTCGATGATCACGAGCGCCGTGGCTCTCGTCTGTGCATCCCACATGATCAATATCAAAAGGACCGCTACACTATCGCCATGCGCACCCGCAATGAATACATCATTACACATGGCCAGTACGAGCTTCCGCATGCTTGTCGTGGATGTATGCGTGTTTTTCACATGCCTGATGGCACGACTCACTACACTGAAGTTGTTGTTACCGACGGTGTTACTGTCGGACGACCCTGTTGTGCGGTTCCACATTGCAAGAATTCCCTCGAGAGCACACGTCACCGATTCTGCTCTGCTGATCCCGATCACAAGCAGCGTGAGACCATGTGCGCAGTCGAAGGGTGCGACAAACCTGTTGCACATGACGACCACACTGGCAAGTATCGGAAAGCCTGCGTCGATCCGGTTCACCTCAAGATGGAGGATATGAAGACAGTGTCGATGCGGAGTGGGAAGAGTAAGACACAGAGGACGAAGACGGCAAAGCTCAATGATGCACTCACCAGTGCTGGTGCAGATGAAGATGCTTTGCCTGTTCAGGATATCGACGAGTGGTACAATCACAACCCTTCTACCGGCAATGTCAGCCTTGTACAGGCTTCGTCTTCCTCATCAACAGGAGTGACGGACTGTTTGCCTTCGACCAGCGGCATAGACTCGCAGATGCTGGATGTGTGTCCAGATAAGGATGAAGCAGTTAAGCTCAAGGCCACGTTCTTCCGGCAGCGGACCAACAACGAGCAATTGTTTATACGCCCTTGCGGTGTGATATCTGGTCGTGGAACCATGTACCACCACGAAGCTGTCTCAAATGTGCTGGTGTGTCATTTTGTCTACCCGCATCCCTTCCGTTAACGATTTCAATCAAAGGTCTTGTTCGAAAAAATATTCTCTCTCCCCCATGCACGTAAACCACAACACCTCATCTACGACTCTAACTGCAATGCACTCCGTGAGGTCGAGAGCCGCAAAATCAAATTCTTCGAGGGTATGGGCATGTGTGTAGATGCTTTCCACCACAAGACAAAGCACAAGGCCAGCGACACATTTTGTCAGCAACGTTGTGACATGAAGGCATACCCGGAGCTACTTGATGAGCGAGGCGGGTATTATTTTAATTCCTCGATCGCAGAACAAACAAATGTTTGGTTCGGTGGCTTCCACAACATGTGTCGGGAGATGACACCGGTAAAATATGATTTTTTTCTCGATGAAATGATACTCCGTCGAAATCGTGTTACTGTCTTTAACTTACAGCAGAATGGTAAACAACCTCATCACCCATCTCTCATGTACTCGTACTCATAGTGTTCAAATCAATGATATTCAACATGTATGATAAAGCTAGTGATGTTCACAATGTCAACACAACGAATAGGGAAAAGGTAATGACAGGAATGTAAGGTAAAACTACTTGAATTTGGGTCCACTCCTCTTCTTGGTTTTCTCGCCTAGGGCTGCACGACGTGACGACAAGTAGTGTGCCCACAAGCCATCGGGAGCGCGGTGAGCATGTTCATGCGCCTGAAGGATCGAGATGACCTTGGAGCTGTTGACCCACAGCGCGTGATTAGAGTGGTATGTGGCACGGACATATGGAACACCGAATATCAGACCAAAAAGTTCCTCCTGCGGATAGTGAACACGAAGCAGCGGGGAATCCATCTGACGAAACCCGACTACCATATCACAGGTGAACATGCCATGCGGCCAGACATGCTTCGAGTTGCCTTTATATGAAGGCACATGGACGGGTATGACTGAGGGTACAGCGGAGACCAATGATATAGAGGAAACTGATGTGGACGACTCTGCTGGTGAAGGAGACAGCGAAGGAGTAGGTGACATCGAGGATGCCCGCCGGCTGTCCCAGTCATCAAACCGTGGACGAGTACTAGTGTAGGCAGGTGAGGCAGTATCCCGTGCGCGTTTTCCGAGAGCGTTGGTTGGCCTTGGTGTTGCATGAACATCGTCGACAACCTCAATGAGATCATCTGCATCATCTATGAACTCAACGTTGTCAGATACAAAGTCTGATGCCACGGACGTGTCATCTATGATCTCGACATCATCAGAGAGCAAGTCTGGTGGCACCGACGACACATGTACAACATGTTTGGCCTTGATCTTCGTACGAATGCCATCGCGTTCCCGTTTCATGTTGTAGCGAAGGTGTGCTGGGCGCATGGAAGCCCTCGAGGCATCATACAGCTCATTGAAGTCATGACAGCTGGTAACACCGAAGCGGCGGATAAAGATGTGACATTCGGATTCAAGTGGAAAATCGTGTGTCAGCTTGGCGGGTATCCATTGCTGGAGGCGATCCTCGAACACCTCGATCTTTGTGATATTCTCTCCAAGCGAGGGCAGGATGTCGGGATCATCAGCAAGCTGGAAGAATGGGAAAAATGGACAGTTGGACACCCACTGCCTTGAAGCAGGGACATCATCCTTGAAACGAAGGTTAGCGTCAAACGGACACAGATAACTCAATATGATAATACTCACCGCATCAAACCAGTTGAGGATAAAGCGCTGCTTTGACTTGAGCTCCATCTCTTTGCGACGCTGTGCCACTCGGTTGTCTTCAATCTCCTGCTGCGCCCGCTGGTGTAAGTCTTGCTCCCATAGCGGGTCGAGCTGGCTAGTGATGCGTGGATGTTTGGATGTCTTCAATGTACTAGGAGCTGGCAAAAGCGATGGTGGCGGAGGGGGTGGTGCTGGTGCATGCAAGATATCGTGCAGAGAGGGTACGATAGCTGGTAGTGGTGGTGGCACCTCGAGGCCTTGAGCAGCGAGTGATGCCGACAGAGCATTATGGAGATCATGGTAACCAAAACCGGCACCATCGACGGTATTGTCCTGCTCGTTATCGTCGTATACAGGTATTTCGTGCACTACACAACCACCCTCCTCGATGCAGTGCGACAGGCACTTTCCACGAGGACACCGTAGCGCACGCGGCCTGCGACAAGGGTTGGTGGTGCATTCAGCACCCCGCTTACGTGTCTTCTTTGCTTGGGATAGCAAGGGTGCTTGGGATAGTGAGGGTGCACTTGAGGACAGAGTAGATGAACTCGCAAGGGTTGGTGAACTGCTCGATGAAGGGATTAACGCCATGATGCCCGGGCGTGACAAAAGAAGAGGGAAAAAATGATAGTACGAGCATAGCGGATGCTGGCGAGGAAGGTTATTACAATAATCAACCACACATGTATCAGAGGACAATGCCAGACATACCTTCGCCATTGGTTTCCCTGCGTTGCCATGCTTGTCACTAACACATATGGTGATTGGGACAGTGCCACCACAGGTCGGACAGTCGATGGCGAGGCCAAATGGTTCCACCCGCAGGGATAAGCTCGCAATAAAGGCGAGATCTGCTTGCTGTAATGAGGACATGTAGACAGTTATTGATACGGTCAGGAAACAGAACGGGCGGGCAGGTAGGGGGAAGAAAGTGAGCAAGAAAGGTGGGTGGGCAGGAATGGGCATCGAGGGCAACGATAATGGACATTTTGAGCGGAGCATAAATGCGACATTCCAACAGCAGGCAGCGGGCGGGCAGGCGGGAGGGTTGGCAGGCATTCACAGCGGTAGGCGCGATGGTGAGGAGTATGTCAAAGCTGCGTCATCGGGCAACATTCAAACTCCGCCCGAAGCCAGCCGTCGAAGCCATAGACAGGCCCTAGACATACCGCCGAAGCCCTAGACTGGTCCCAGACATTGGCCCCAGAGGTCTACGTAGAGTCTACGTGGATTTGCCCCAGAGTGGCCAGATCCCTGACTTTCTGGACGTTCTTGGGTATTTGCCGTTACCGAATTCTGATAGGGGACTAGTTTGACTCTCGTGCTCCTTCGTCCAGTGATTCAGCTATCATACTACATGATGTTCTCCCTTGTTCGCATTTATCTGCCCAGGGCCCATAACACGAAACGTGAAGTTCGTGTTCCTGCTAATAGGCTATGTACTTGGCACTGCACTCAAGGACTCGGATCCATTTGTGCACGCGCGATTGGCAACTGCGGACCGTTTCCTACCGTTTGGCCAATTAATGACTGAGTATGTCTATTTCCCTTTTACCCGTCATCCTGGTCACCACCTCGTCCTTGATGGTAGATCTGCAAGTGGACAACGTCAGCTACGCTCAGATAACTCAGCTTGTGAACGATCAGACCTCGAACAGCAGTCTTTCATTGACAGGCATCAAAATCATACAAGGGATAGTGTTTGGTTACGAGCCGGAAGGTAATTCCACCACTTACACTCCCACCCCATCCCAAGGTATCATCAAAAATGTCTCAAACGCGAATGTGACTGTCTTTACTTTCGTCCTTGACACCGCCCAAACCAAAATAAAGGGCACCATTCTGCTCAAAAATGCGGACGAATTGATCAATTTCACCCGCGGCGAGGAACAACAACTCGCAAAGGTATCTTCTGCTCCTCTACGTCTACTACCACTCAACAGATTTTCAAAGAAATCACCTATTCAGGTATAGAAGTCATCATCGCAGGCCCGTCCATCGGCGACCTCGCTCTACACTCCCTCAATAGCTTCGACACTGCCGTTCTCAAACAAAGTTCGACCCCCGCTGCGCAGTTCGTATCGTCAACGTCACACCCTTCGTCCGCATCAGTGCACCCACCCCAGAGCAAGCAGCGTTTTTGAGACAACAAAGATCGGCGGAGACTGTGTCACCGTTCTCTGCCACTAATCACTTTGTCACTCACGAATCGCGACATCGTGCTCATTGGCTACTGTAGGCCAAGGCAAGCACTGCCAAAAGCCAGTAGTTTTAGCACATAACCCTCTTCGAGTCCCAATATCTCATTTCTCTGCTTGCCGTGTCTGATGATTCATAGTCACGAAGGTGGTGGGCCTGGGACGATTAATTGGTCGGAGCCACCAATTAAGAGAAATTGGACATAAATGAGCTATTTACATTTGCTGGTGGGTGTTTCTTATTCGTTCACACTGTTGTAATTGATCTCATTACAGATTAAATTTGAGCATGTCGGCCAGAACCAATTCCACAGGTATGACACGGTGACAACGCAGTATACAAGGGTGGGGAGAGTTGTACGCTTATATTGAGTTTCTTTCCAACGGTTTCAATATTACGACCTCGAAACAGCCTACTGTGAGATGACAATCCTTCGAATTTTTCTGTCTGCAACGGCAGCCTCACCTCCAGTATTACGAATATGCAGTCTCTCCTGACTGGCTTATCGATCTTGTGGAGCAACAATGGCCAGAAGTGTTACCCGATCGAAGCGCGAGATGCTATGAGGACACTGCCATGATGCGATCATTCGAGCTCATTTCGGATTTGGCGGGTATCCACACCTTGGGCCGCAAAAATTGCTTCAATCCACAGGGTGGTTCAGTGCCTCCGGAGTAGATCGCTGTGTTTGATGGTGATTATGACGATGAACTTGACGATGATGAACTTGCGGCCATTCAAATTGACACTGTTCTTGTGCTCACTGCATGCTCTGATCAAGGAGACGAGTTTGAAGAGCGTCCTATTGATGAAAAGATGGACTACATGACCGAATTAGTCGGGTGTGTGCCCCCATGGTGGGTGAACTGCTGGTTGGGAGATTGAGTGGACATCTACAGTGCATCGGCATCCACACATAAATATTCTACTGGCTCGAGATGTAAAGGTATAATAAATGCTAGGATGTTTACAATCTCTACCACATCAATGGTCTCAAACCCAATGTTATATCCCGTTGTCATGGCCGTGGTCAACTCCCCGAACAGAGAGACTATCAGTCGAGCTTATAGACAGCTCTTCTTCGTCGGATGTCGTCCTCGCAAAACAAACATCTATCATGCCTGCACGACGCAAGTTGTCCTCCGTCGGATGCTCCACATCTTCCAAAGCTTCGTGGACGGATGGTGAATGATGACCCAACCACAGCAATTGCAATGCGCCTGTACTTTGGATGGCAGCCTGACTGTCGTGGGATGCGTCGAATGCTCTCGTCGTGTGTAAAGCCAATCCCAACATGATCACCGACGCAGAGGTCGCAAACAGCAACTAGAATCAACTTCGACAAACTGTCATTGCGTAGATAGCATCGCGAACTCACAGGAATAAGGGTGATCTGCAACGTGTGTGAATCAGTCAAATAGAGAGAGGTTCTGTGCAGTTTAAACTGACATTGAGGCGTAGGGCAATCACCTCCTCGTTGACAAGGGCCATCCCCTCGCCAGGTAGAACTCCTACGTTGGATCCCGTTCGGCTTGCTGAGGTAGTGACACAGTATGAGTAAGAATAGAGCCATGCATATGATCCCTTACCCATCCAAGTGAGTTGTGCGACTGTTTGCGCAATAGCAGTTTCTAGTGTATCCAGGTTCAGGACGAAAACAGCGGCAGGAGGTTCATCGGTGTTGAGCGATTGGTCATATTGAGCTGGGAGATCCAATCCTACCAAAGACATGATATACCTAGAAGAAAAAACTGTAGGTAAGGCATTGTAGGATGGCAGAGAAGGTAAGGTCTGAACTCATCCATAACCGAGGGTTCACTGCCATTTGAACCCCCAAATTGATACCCACTACCGCCTGAAGCAGACAAAACCTGACCGATCTTGTGTCGACAATGGATCATTGAACTTTGATAATCCCTCAAAACAAGTATTTTTGCTCAACGCACAAATATTGACCACGGGGTAGATGTCCACTGATCCATTTCCTCCCATTGCACGGATGACTGCGAGATGGGCATGTGAGTCTGTAGGGTGTTGGTTTGCATATCAATCACTAATGTGGTATTGTTGGTCGACAGCGAGCATTGCACAAAATAGACTTCAATGGATGTGTTCGAATCTGTAGAAGGTTTGTTATCATGGCTACATTCTGGGAAAGCCGTACGCACATTGAGATTCAAAGGTCATCGGTACCGCAACCTCCTGTTGTAGTGAAGGGTCGATCTCCAACAAGGTAGAGATCATTAGCACGACAGAAGGGAGTGTGTAAGTCTGATATCCATCAATTAGCTTCAGAGTTGCGCACTGAAACCTTAACACAGACGTCATTGATTGTAATGCCATCAATCTGAAGTTGTTGTATCTGGTTTGTCCCTGTAGGTATTTTCAAATATGAGAAAATAATATTTCACGCCATGTTGACGTACAGGGAGGGGTTACGGCCACTTGGAATACGCCTTGATTGCCCAATGGGGCAGTTGCTCTGCTGCTGTTCTGAGAGTATGTGGCATTTGGAGGCACTGCGCAACTCGAGGTTATCGTCGTCGCATTCACCTCTGCATATCCGACTATAGAGTTTGTTTTCGAGGTGTCGTAGACTGTATTAATGGATAACCCTGTAGAGACAAGTCCAGAAAATTGAATGATAGTCGGTAAGGATGTAGTGATGATGGTTTTCCAGTTGTTGAGCGAGCTGGAGGTTGACAGATCTACCCATCCTAGTGTTGTTGACACATTAGTCGTTATAGAAGAATTAAATGTTTGAAATTGTAGGAGAGTGGAAGAGGTGACGTGCAGCACAGAAATGCATACAAGGTAGGTTGCCACAGCAGTAGTCGCCCACAGTGATGCACGGACACCAGTTTGTTTCCAAACGGTATTGAGTGCGGAGCCAAGACCTGCCCATGCGCCGGAGATGTCGTGGATCGACGTCAATTTCAGACGGCGCACAAGTGCCCTTGAGATTGCAAGCTGTTGAGTAAGGAAGACCAAGACAGCTGTGTAGAGCTAGACGAAGTCCTGTGATTGGTGTATTGGTGAGATAACAGTGAGTGCATACCGTGTAAAATGCTTGTAGTGAAGCGCTCAGTACCACAGGCCAAAAATCGGTGTTCGTGGGCGTGAATGTGAGAGTCACATGGTGTTCCCAGCGAGAGATATAAGACACGGTGAGGAAGACATGTATCATAACCAACATGCCATGCAGCACGTAGCATGTGCGTGCAGAGAATGATCCCCCGCTTGCATTTTCTGAAGGATTTTTCGAGCGAGTCTTCCAGGACGCTGGGACAAGGAAATATAGTTGTTAGCATATCACAATAATTAACATGTCATTGACATACCGAACCAAGTACCTGGCGGCTGCATTATGCGGCGTTCTGAGTTGAGGCCTCAGGGTTTTCGAAGGGAAGAGGCAGCACTAATGTCTCTGCGATGTATTTGCGAGGAAGGTGAGCGAAGGTAGGGTAAAAGATGCTTTCAGCCTCTTAATCGCCTGGTTGCGATTCGAAGAAATGAACCTGAAAGAGTACAGCGTGGCTGATGCCGAATCACCATCATGATCACACTGCCGCTGATAATGATTCAGAATGCCGTCTGATATCAGTAGATATTTGCGGTGGATTTCGAGCCCAGCACTGTGCCGAAGATAGTGTAAGATGGACAATACTTTGCATGCGATAAATCAATTGTAGCGCCGCTGAGGGCAACCGTCCCCGCTCGGGCGTCGTAAAAGATGACTATCTTGCGAGCGTTAAGGTCATAGTTTGGCAATTCGTTTGGTATTGCAAAATGGTTCGCCTTCCGTCATGACGACTCCACCAGTACTGAAAACGCTCACTAGAGAGCTAGAAAAACTTGTTTTAGCCTTCGAGTCTTTCAAAGCCTGGACGAAAAGATGACAGAGACGGGAGAAGATTCAAGCTAGCTATGACTCAGTATTAAGTAATAAGGTCATACATGTTTTTCTAACATTAGAGGACTGCGTGGGAATTTTAGATCAGAGTTATATGCATAACTTGAGAGTTGGGCGGGTTTTATTGCACTTCGCAAAGTGATCACACTTCATATGTGTGTACCGTGTCTTGGACCGAGACCGTAATTCAGGTTGTCGCACGCAACAAACGAACTATAAAAAAAGGCAAACAGCCAAAGACATATCTTACTACTTGTACTCTAAACCTCCCCGACCCTCTTGATAACGTTCCCTCGAACCACAACGCGTTCATTGCGCTTCCAGAAATCTGCCAGAATTTCTGCTAGTTTCGTTGGATCATCCTAAGTTCACATCAATATACAAGGCGTTTATTGCAAAAAAACCGACGAACCTCGTGTACGAGATGTCCCACACCCGAACCAGCCATGACTTCAAGCCAGAATTTGCCCTGCATCTGGCCGACCATAAGTGTCGTGTCAAGGCGCTCTGCGCCTGCTAATACTAAGAGCCGTGCAGAGCGGAGGCCGAGGAATAAAGACGAAAGCGACGGGAACCAGCCTGAAAGAAAAATCAGAGTCATTGATGCAAGTCAAAAGAGCAACTGTAGACTTACTGTCCCAGTATGGTGCCGTTGACCGAAGCGGCGTACGCCACTTGTATTTGAACCCAATATTTGCGCGTGTGCTGGGCGTCAGAGGGGAGTCGGCGGGAACAACGATAGATGGAATTGAAACACGGGCAGAAGTGGGGTTATGGATGAGGCCCGTATTGACGCTGTATGAACGAGTTTGAATATAACATCTATCGAAGGTGAAACGAAACACGGACTGCCACTCGACTGCTTCCTCAACGCTATCGAAACCCTCGGGTCGAGAGTTGAGAATCGCGTGCATGTGAGGCAGCGCTTCTACTGCTGTGCCTATTGGTGATGGGTTAAACTCGTGCAATTCACAGAATTTTGTGTAGCACCAAGTACCTTCTACTACATCCAAAACGGCCACTCCCGCTATATCATATTTGCGTTGCTGAAGTATGGGACACGCGCGAACGCATACAGATCCTCCCATGCTGTGTCCAACAAGCTATTCAGAGAGTTATTGACTCGAGATGCGTTAAAGAGAGAATAGAGCTCACCATTAACGGTGGAGCTGCTGCCGCATCTGGGTAAATCGTTTGCAGCAGAGCACAGAAATCCTCCACGAGAACATTAATTGATAGGTCCTCATCAGACTCAGATGATATCGTCTTTCCTGAAACATGGTGAGTATTCCACGTTCCTCTGAAGCGAATGCGTACCATGTCTTCTCGCATCAAATGCCAGAACACCGACGGTATCCCTCATGACCTCACTAATCTCTTTCGCGAGACATGCGAAACTTGTACCTGCATATCCTGCGCCGTGGTGGAATACGATGACACCCCCTCCGTCGTACTTCGGGGGAGTGTAATATACCCGAACATCAAGGGCTCGGGTGGGGAGTGATACCTGCAATGCCTGAGAAAAATATGAAGCAGGACTTAATGGCTTGAATTCGGGATTTGGTGGCTTTGGTGTTCTGGTAGACGTGCTTGGCCGTGGTCTATACAGCAATGAGAGAGAAAAGGATTGAATGAATGGAAGGTAACATACACTGGGGGTGGCCCCATGCCAGTCGGGAGTTCGCCGATTTCATCAGCAACCTCAGATTGCTCATCATCATCCTCGTCGCTTGGTGGTAGCTGCGGTAACTTTGCTATTCGAGCACTGATTGCAGAACGATATAGCGAGCTCATCTTGACGAACACAATCGTGAATCAGGAGAACGCGTCCAAATTCGGATCGTTCAACCGCTGCTTTGTTGATTAGTAAGCGAACGTTGTCCAGCAAATTGACTTTGCCATTGACCATTTGCAAGGTCTCATGATGGCGTCGCTGTTCCGCATAACGTCGAACAACATATTCAAGCCATCCTCGTCACGGTCTTTCGCGACAGCGGTATCAAAGCAACCAGCTTCTAAATCAGAACCAAACACCCACTTCAAAATCACTCTCCGCCGCTCCGCCATTGCACTAGGCGAACGGAAGAAGGAAACCCTGGTAGCGCTTGGTCTGCATAGACGTATGCAGACTGTGTTTCATGTGCACAGCCCAGAGGCTGCAGGAAAAATTCTCAAAGTGAAGGAATTAGTCGAGGTTGAGAATGTACCAGCAAAGGCCGTACGCTCTCAGTCAGAGCAGAGGAAGGAGAGGAAGGCATCGAGAGGGTACCAGGTGCAGGGGTCAAAGCTTGGAGGACTTGCATGGGAAGCTTCACGATGAGGTATGTTTATTCCGTGCTCTTTCGTTTCTGCACTCACTCGCTTCCCAAATCAAAGACCACATCATCCCATTGGCTGGAAGTCTTTTTCTTCTCATCACCTTGTCTATTACCAGCTTTCCCTTAGTTGCATGCCTGCCAGCTAAACGATGGGGCCTTTGTCGTTATTTGAAGATTCAATAACCTTTCCAGGTGGTGCCTGTATTCGCTCCCTGCCCACCACGCTCGGCTTTGATTCACCCATCGGAATGATGAAACCCATGGTGCGGCTTTCATATTTCGAAGCAGATGCCTCGTGGCTCCATTGGGCTCCATCGAGGTCCCGATCATTTCTGTTGCTGGGTGTCGGTGCCTTATCCACACTGCTTTGACCGGAAAAACGTGTCAGTGACTACCTGATTAATCGTTGACATACATCTCAAGCATTGCAAGCTATAAATGCCGTTCCTGCTGTACCATGAGTTGCCCCTCAATCTAATACCGGAGTCCAACGGCACCCCGAATGCATCGCAGATTATCCGCCACTACGATCGCTCCTCACAGAAGTCAATTATTCATGCACCACGCAGATGCTCTTGGAGCGATACATGAGGCATGTCTCCTGGACCTCGTCATCACAGTCACATTAGAATGGTGGACGTCCTTGAGTAGCAAGCTGTGCAGTCCTTGCCGTACACGTTCATGTTCTTTATTTATTTCATTCTGCTCACATTATTCAGCGAATCGTTGGCGAAGTACATATCCGTGACATCCGCGGGCAGTTCGCCGAGGATTGGCCTTGAATCATTCGCCAAGTGCATCCCCCTAAAAGTCATGGGATATAATGTACGGACTGTCTAGAATTTGAACATAAACTCCCGCCTCTTCAAGGTCTTTACATATGTTCGATTTCACCTCTAAGCACAAGCAAAGTGGTTAGCAGCTTTTCTAATACAAAGGACATTGCGATGAAATAAAGTGCGTGTGGATGTGATAGTCTGATAGATGTATTAGTTTGGTACAAGCGGGTAGTAGTGCCGTAGTGCTATATAGCTAACCTAGTACATTCAAAGTTAGCATCAATCTGCAGCAAACTGACTCGGATGTGGCCATAGTACTATCGCCCATCTTTCTAACGACACCGATGAGTCTCACGATCGTGGCTGGCAAGTACTGCTGCCAGTGGCTGCGCTCGCAGCCGTCCAAACATTCTCACTGAGCTAAAATGCCACCGCCCCTGGGGTTGGTTGGGATTCTCATGGAGAATTGTGGAGGCACTTGTTATAACAGCACAACGGTACCGAGAGCGTCTGCACCGGTACAGGCAGAAGAGACCGGACGGTCATCCCTTACCGAGTCCAGAAACGTCGTAGCCAAGTTAACCTGCGCGACACCCATCAGATTCCTGTGCAGTCGGCCTCGTGCAATCCTGCGGGAACAACAATTGCAAAATATAACTTGCTCCAATCCAAACAGCTTGTGATTCTGCTTATCCCCACCCTCGTCCAACCCTACCGGCTCCGTGAGTCGTCCGAGTAAAGTTCTCGAAAGTGTCATCTTGCTCACAAGCGCTCAGCTTTTCCATGCAGGGACGATTGCTGACTGAAGATGACTTGGAGAAGTACTTCGCATGTGGAGAGTATCCATGGACAAGTCTCGTAGTACCGCCTTCTTCAGTCAGTCTCGATTGGCAGCAGCCCCACTCTACTACATTCGATGTGGGAGGGCCCCCTCTCACAAGCCGATGTTCCAGTGGATCTCCCTCGCATGACCAATGGGTCTACAGAATTCCCGAGGCATGTACTCGCGAAGCATGATTTAGCATTCGAGAAGCTAATAACGGCCGTGCCTGATCGTACCTCTAGATTCAGCAACTACCATCGGGATCCAGGACGAATCCTTCCTGTTGCACCCCAATTCTTGGCCCAGATCCGATGTCAGAAGCAAACATATGGACGCGGATGGTGACGCGCTCATCATTGAAGCGTTCTCGGCGGTTCATGAGCTACGACATGCAACAAGACGTTCTTAACGTCGTACGGATTGATGTGAGCGCTAGACTCGTATTCTGTTCTTGCTGGCAGGTTACCTCATACATTACACTGCAGGACTCATTGAGTGCAGAGAGCGTGACAGTGGTGGAGATGCCGAGTTCTCTGTTGAAGCCGGTATCATACATCGGCAATAAACCGCCAGAGAAAACAATGGACACCTTTGATGAAAAGTCATTAAAGTCCATCCAATCCGACGTGAGTACTATCCCAATTTGTCATCTCGATCTATCCATGAGTTTCATGATATCCCTGCATATTAGTCTACACATTCCATAGGTTGCGCTGCCGAAGCGAAATCCGAGGGGAAGGGTAAAGGGATCGAGAAGCGAATCCCCTCTGATACCTGCTTCCTATCAAAGCTACGTCTAAACAAAGCATGGAATCGGCTGCGCTGCTGGACGACTACGGCACTCAAAGACATGAAGAGTCGAACTGTGCGTTTATCATCAGCTACTCGGCCGATAAGGTAGGTGAACCAGCACGCTGTGCCGCAGTGGATTAAATTTTATGCTATCAGGCTGGCCGGCGGCTGCACGGATCAACGTGATATTTGGAGATACCCTCAAAGAAACGACGATAGAGGACAACCTAATTGAGCGATATAACTTACTAGATGACGACATAACGAACGCTCCTCATATCAGCGCCTGTGGACATTCTACATTTTGGGAGGAATGGACTCATATTCTCATGTTGATCACAAACAAATGTATGATATTGGATTTCGTAGCGATATAAGATTGTACATGTACCTCTATTCGTGGTCGTGCAGGACTAGAGCAACGGGTAGAATTTCCTTTGTAAATTCTTAAGAATTCTTTGTCGGGAGCACCACGGGCTTCCATTCTATTGTGGATATAAGCAAACGACCTTGCTGTGCCTGTACACATGTCTTTCAAGATCCTTTAAAAACACAAGTACAAGCAAGCAAGTTCTTTATATCAGTCACAAGTCAGAACTTTGCCGATTTCAAGTAAACAAAGAATAGAATTTATCCCAGGGATGACAACGTACTTACATCGTGTAGTCTTTGCGAGTCCTATGTGAACGGAAACGAGCAGGAGTGGATAGCCCGTACGTGCGAGATCTTCGCCAAACTTGAAAGCCTCCGGGCTTGGAGACCTAGGGAGGAAGTTGGGGCAGGGATCAGTGGCGGGTGCTTTGACATCGGGAAGCCCGCGGTGGGAGAATCAGGGTGGTCGGTGACGGCCATGGTTGGGACGATCAATGAGGTGCCGGAGCGCTTCTTGCCTCGTAGAGAGGATGAGGGTGATGATGAGGTCGACATGGAGGTGGGAGGAATGACGGGGGAGCGATGGGAATGCTGTAGGGGGGTATATAAACCCGAAAGAAAGCTTTGAATGGCGTTGAGCACACGCAAAGACGCAAAGAAGCTGTTGATGACGACACCGGCCCGCCTCGGCAGCCGATACCGAAGACCGCACGCGTCGTCGTGCGGTTCATACTCGTTCCTCGCACCTATGTAGAACTGGGGTCAAATAATGTATTTCAATATACAATGCCCAGAGCATCCAGCTACCAGAAGGCTACTCGCCTGTTTTATCCACAATCATGGTATATAGTTGTCAAGTAACCATGTTTCCATACTTGTACTAGGTCAACTGCTTGCAGAAGTCGCCAATGCCATGGTCCCGGTCCCAAATTTCAGAGCAGTGAATCAATGCAAGTCTAGAACATGCACATTGCATACCCCTACTATGGGCCATTTTGCCACCCTCCGTAACAGCAAGCATAACGATAGCAGAGACATTAATGATAAGCAGAGTGAGTCCTCCGATATTTCGAAGCCGCAGCAGATCGTAAGCTTTCCTTTGACGTGGCATGTCGCCGAGAAGGACAAGCGCAGCACAGGACCCTTGAACGTGCACGGACATCCAGTACAAAAACCTGCGTTATCATGATCCTGGCGAAACGGAGATGCTCTGATGCTCTGATGCTCTGATGTCGGAGAATCGAAGAGGTTTGTTAACTTGTATCAAACTTGATCCGTAAGAATGCAAAAGTATGCGCCCCTCGTATCAGATAGCCTATAGCGACCTTGATGATAAGCTCAATATTAATCAATGGGGTTCCCAGGCTTGCCGCATCTAAAGCGTTCGACTCACCTGCCATGACATACTCGGTGAAAAGGACGAAAACCGGAACACGAAGGTTCTTGGCTATCTGAAAATCTATATTTTCCCACTGTGCAAAGCACGGGGCTATTCGAAATGCCCAGTTGGATGATCCGCCGACTTCTGTGACTCGAAGTGCCTCACTGTTGGTGTGAGAGAGGATAATTGGTGTTGGGTAGGGTATATGTTGCAAGGAACAGCACTCGTAAGATATTGTTGCGCCAGGCCCGCAGATAAGCACGATGGAAGCACCAAAAAAAATAAAACGCCAGAAAAATCGTCGCATTGCGAATATTGCAAGTGCATTCAATACTTCTGCCAATTTCTGGGGTCTTCGTCGTATCATATCAAATCCTCTTGTTCCATGGTTAGCGTAGATGGCCGCTCCAGTTCCTACAGTGATGAACGGCTGCACAAGCGTACAATGACAAGGAGAACGATCAACTCACATTTCTCATTTCGGAGTACCGTCGCACCGAAACGATACCCCATCACTGACGTTTAGTACTCCGCAGCCATACTAGTAGCCGGCAAAATCACATTACCGTCCTCTAGTAGCTTCAATCTGATGCTGAACTCAGGCTATAAGACCCCGCCGTGTTCCGACATCGTCGGCCACAGAGCCGAGAACGTTGAAAGATGTCAATCCAACATTAACGGGAACTTCGTCGGACTCGTTGAAGTCACGGTATCCTTGCAAGTTGCACTCGGATCTATCATGCTGGGACCCGGCCGATGATGCGTGTACATCTGGCGAAGGTTTAATAGATAGTTCTAGTGTTACATGTCGCGGCATCGGCATCGGCATCGGCATCGACGTCGACGACGGGCCTAATAGAATTAATGTCGTAGTCACCAACCCAGTGGCACCGCATACCAAATTCAAAATCGTCCAAGTATCTGTGAGTCGATCGAACGATGAAAGAGCTGTTATCCTCAAGCTGTGATTGGCCCTCTCAGACCACCACGACCTGTTACTACGAGGGGTAAAGTTGTTGAAATCGAAATCGTCGCATTTTGCGTGCAGGTTCGAATACTTCCTTGTCCCACATTTGTGAGTCGATCGAACGACGAAAGGGTTAACTGACCTCAAACGATGCCATATCCTCAAGTTGTGATTGGCCCTCTCGAACCAACTTGATTGAACAACGGCATGGGACGGGCACTCTGGGAAGGACACACAGCAATTAACGTATCTTCCAGGCCCAGAATTCAACCGTGCATATCATGAGACCCCCACCCAAAAAAAAAGGTGTAGCAGAAAAACATCGGAGAACATGAGAAAACGCACATCCTGAGCAAAGACTCCTCCGAATCATGATCGTCCGGAAGTGCCAATGAACCTGTGAAAGTGACAGCGACACCCGACCCGCACAGACCCACACCAGTCACCAGCGATCCCATCCACCACGAAGTTAACGAAATATTTTTTATACAAAAAAGGTGACAGAACTAACACTGACAAGTATTTGGTTGAGTTTAGACCAGGAACGTTGAACTTGAAGCGCCAGAGCATCCGAGTCGTTTGACACAAGGTTTTAGCTGAAGCGCTCGTCGCTAACTCTTGTCATGACGAAAGTTTGAGTGACACCACCACAAACATGATTAATTTTATAGTGTTCTTGGTCATGTGGCGCATCCGCCACAATCCAGAAGGACGTCATGTATGTAACGAATATAAAAATGACAGACAGAACTGACAGTTGACCAGGAACGACGAGGTCGAAGCGCGCCGCCAGAGCATCGTTTGACACAAGGTTTTAGCTGAAGCGTAACGCGTAACGCGTTCCCATGGGTCCCCGGTCCCAGCCCGCGCCGTCCGCGTCATGACGCGCATATACCTTTCAATGACACCACCACATAATTAATTTTGATAGAGTTCATGACCACATGAAAAAGCACCTTGAAAAACTCTATCTTGCTTCAACCATTTAACCAGTACGCAGTCCTGACTCCTCGCGATTGTCTCCTAAGCCGCGGCCTCTCATTCTCATTTCTCGATTTTCAAATTCGGTAAAGGATCATCAGCGCGACGAAATAGAAATGTGGGGAGATAGATGTCCCCTCCTATGGAAATGTGAATGCAAATGCGCTGGCAACAACATTTCGAATTCTTCGGACTTTGCTTTGTTTTGTTTTGTTTTGTAACGTACTGTAGCTATGGCTGGTAGTGGCAGCGTACGTATGTATGTAATGATCAGTATACTACTACTTGTGTTCGTACACGGGTGCTGCACGCCGTATACATCAGAATAAGGTATCAAAAAATCGTCGACCAATGCCAAAGAAGCCAAAGAAAAAGGTAAGCGACACCGTGACAGCACCCAAGAGGAAGAAAGAAAAAGAAAAAATAACAATGTCCAACTGGAACAAATAGCCTTAGGTATTGGTGGAAGACGTACGGTATTTTCACAACAGAAAAAATGAAGATGACAAGAATGAAGATGAAGAAAGGAGAACGGTTTAGTGCCGTGGCGCGTTCAAACCAACCCTCGATGAATGTTTGTCGCTCGTGTGACGAGCACGCTCGGGAAGCGCTGCGACGTGACGCTGTGAGACAGCATTTGGAACGCCAAGTAGAGTGCGATCGCCATTCACAATGAAAGCTCCCTTCTCAGCAACTGCGTTCTTTTCTAATTGGGCACGTTTGGCGTTGGCCGGACCCAGCGTCTGCGAAGGAAGGCGCTTGAAAGCAGGTCGAAACATCTCGTTCTCCGAGCTTCCCGTGCAGTCAGACGCGACAGAAGACTCTCTTGACCCATCTCTCGACCCGCTTTGTGTGCTCGAACTCCCCATGCTGCTAACGCGAGGTACAGGCAACGAAATGGACATCCCATTCATAGGAGGCGCTGCTCCCTTCACAGGAGGCAGATGAGGCGACACGAACGCATGCGAAAGCGACGACGCCGACGAAGAACTGGATGGACGGCTGACATTCAAGTCAAAATTGGCATTCAACTGCGAATGTGTGGTATCTGTGCGACAATTAGTGCCACGTGCACCTGAAGAAACAGTGGCGGGTGGGCTTGGACGCGTACCTCGCCGTTTGGGGAGGTTGAGGTTGAGCGATGCATTGCGAGCATTGACAGCAGCTTCATAGCTCCGGAGGTCTTCAGGGTTGCCATGTAGCGTGCTGCGCATTCCCTCTGCGTGCCCGTTTGTCATGCCAGGCAGGGCTCGCTCTACGGTGGGTGTTTTGGAACTTGGGAGAGAGGATACTCGAACTCTTCGGCGTGGAGAGGGAGATTGCGGCATGGCGCCTGGCGCTTCTGAGTTAGGTCCACTCATGGGCGTGCGCATGAACGTCTTCCACAAAATATCGCTATCACGACCCAAGCCAGGCGTGGGCAACGCAGAGAGGGACATGCCACGGTCTCTGAGCTGCTGTTGTGACAGCGCCTTGGGCGGCATCGGAGTAGCATTCGGGGAATGAGGTCGCATATTCATCGCTGCGTTTGAAAAAAAAGGTACACCATCTGTTGAGAGCCCAGCAAGGACATTTGGGTCGTCAATTGACATGAGTCCAAATGCGGAGGAGAACCCGCCTTCACCGCCTCGAGAATGTTCTGGTTGCTGGTCGTGGGATTCAGGCGCAGAGGGAGAGGACATAGAGTCTCTTCGACGTTGAGGGTCAAGCAGCATACGCTGTTGAAAATCCTCTGATGCGCCCTGGTACATGTCCCCCGCAGAGAGGGGGAGATGGACATTGGACGAAGTAGCGCTGGAAGGGATGGATTGCGAAGCGCTACTACCGTCGCTATAATCAACAGAGCCTCTGCGAGGCCGATAGGCTGACCCAATGAAGGACCCGGTGAACATTTCTGAGCTGAAATCATCTAAACCGTCCGCACCATATTGATTTTGTGAGAAAGCTTCGTCCAAAGACGCGAACTGGGGTGGACTAGTTTGGGCAACGGACAATCCTGGGTTTGTGCTCTCTCCCCATCCAAGCCAGGACTGGTTATGGTCCGAGTAAAGTTCAGGGACAAGTACGGATGAACCTTGAGGATTTGCAAGCATGGGAGCGCCGGCATGACGCAAGAGCTCAGCTTGGACCCGATTTCTTCCAGCGATATCGGAGTCGGAAGATATGGACATGGGAAGATGTACGGCGTTTGCTGACGAAGCAAAGCCATGATTGAAGGAGAATGGGGTTGGGTAAAGCGGATCACCCGAAGAAGTATCCATACTGGGTACGCTCACAGGGGGAGGGCCAAGGATAAAGTCATCCATTGATAGACGTCCATTGCCGAGAGATGAGACTGAAGCGGGACGAGGGACATGATGACCTGGGCCACTTGGTGCGGTTTGGCGGTGAAACTTGACGTAAGTGCATCGACTCTTGCGTTGTACGCACTTGGCTATATAAGATAAATGTGAGAATAGAATCGTGGGTTCTGGGGGGTGAACGTACAACAAGGGTTGCAACCGTCGCACGGTAAGCTTGATTGGACACATTGGTCACATGCCTGCTTTGAAGTAGTTGCTCTCGAGGTTGACGCAGAGCCCTTGCGACGACCGTTTGTTGCAGATTGAGGTGGTTTTTCGTTCGCATGACACTTGTTGACGTGTCGTGATAAAAGATCGCTGATGGGGAATGAGATCGAGAAAAAAAGGGATTTTTATGGAATTTACCTCCGTGCAAATTGGTCTCCGCAGTACTGACACTTGTATGGACGATCACCTGTGTCTGTGTGGGATGAGTGAAATGATCATGGAGCAATGGACAGGGGGTGGATGAGGTGGAGTAGAATGAACGTACGTGATCGCATGTGACGAGCTACATGTTGTGGACGAGTAAAGGTTGCTTGACAGACTGGACATTGATGATCACCGCCCATTTGAAGAATTGTGAGTAGGAGGATGTCGATGGTAGTCGTGGACGAGTGGATACCTATCCGATGACACAATCCTCATTCACATATTTATCCTTACCAAAACACCTGGATCTATACTTTCGGAGAAGGCCGTTATGATGTCATACATACCTTATCGGCAAGCACTGCTTTTCTTGTTACATACAACTTGATCTCTCCTAACTGTCATTGTTTCATTCTCCTACTGTTCTCGTATACCCTCCCTCGACCTCCACTCTGCTCTTTGCTCTCTTTGCTCTCCTCCTCTTTAAACAAAAACTTTAACAATTACATTCCCCCGTCGTCAAGACAATCCTGCTGGCAATTTAGCGTGTGACGCAATTTGATGTCATCTATTTGCGCGAGATCGTAGCGGAGATCAACCCGCTGCAAACACGCACACTGACGTCAGTTTCATCAAAACACTCCTACGAAACGTGTCCTTCACCTTGGTGCGGAGACGGGCACGAACACTTCAGCATTCGCCCTATCACCGTAAATTTAATCAGTAATCTCCCTCGTCATCATAGGGCTATAAACATGAATAGCAGATCACCGCCGGGCGTCTGGTAATAGCTTCCGCGAGAAGTTAACCCAAGCGTCATTGCATTGCCATTCAATGAGGGATCACCACCCTCGTTGTCCTGGCCCTCAATGCACCCGGATCGCCGCGACAGGAACAGTGCGAACAACCTCACGCCGCATACCCAATCTCACGCCCGCTTCCTCGTCAGAGTATGCCGGCATTCTAGGGGCTGATGCCAAGCTACCCCTTAATTAGAAATTCCCGTGTCGCGTCATGAGTTATCGCGCGACAGCAACACCCCCCTTCGATCATCACGCTCAGAGGTAGCAGTAGCATAACCATCGCAGTTGCGATCCCCATCCTCAGCGAAAAACGACAAGAAACACAACAAAAAAAATCGAATGATACTCAACGGTGTAATGTTATCCACCCCGATATACTGCATATTAATCGGGATATAGTGCTTGTTTGGCAGCTTGTACGTGACGGAGTCAACGCCCGCATTTTCCGCGATGACGCGTTGCCCCATCTTAAACAACGTTGCCTGTCGTTAAATAGAATTCATCGATGATCCATCAGAAACGTGCACAACACGGGGATAGAAGCCTATGACGCACTTGCACACTAGCGCTCGCATCTAGGGCAAAGATATCAAGCGTTGCATCTCTCGCCCGTGCCGCAACATCAACTGCGTCCCATACGCTACCGTGTGCGAAGCCCTCTGGGACAGTGAAGTCCAGTTTCTTCGCATCAGTGGGAGAGCTGAGCGATAAGGGTGCAAAGGTATACGTCAGGTCCACAGAGGTCGACAAGATACGATCGTCCACTTCAGGGAGCGTAGTGTACTCGTCCTGGACGTATCCATAAAACGCAGAACCACCCGACTTGAGCACTATAATGTGTGAACACAGACTCGGGAGCACAAGGATAAGGCTCACCCAAGAGATCGGTAATTCCCGAAGTCACTTTAGCAGTGAGCTTGTCCTTTCCAGCAGAGGCATCGACCTGGGGAGAAGAAAAGAAAAGGAACGTAAGAAAAAGTTTGATAAGCTCTATATATACGTTTCAGAAACAGTGGGGTGATAGAAGCAGGAGAGGAGTGTCTCGACCCGAGGAGGTTGCCGCAGCCGGAAGCTGATGGCAACTTGGCAAGGAAACGCTCCACCTCAGCGAGTACAAAGTTTCGCTCCACCCCGCCAAGTCGGAATCCGAGAACCAGGAAGCCTGGACGGCGTTAAAATTAAAATTCGTACCTCGACCTCGACCGTTTGCCTGTCGTTCCCGTCCCTAACGAACGAATGAGGGTGCGGGTCGCCATTCGCACTCAACGCGATCCGCGACCACCGCAACTTCTCCAAAGTGACGATCGCACGGTGCAAGTGCGCATACTTGGAAAGAATGTGGGTCCCCACATGCAACGCAAACCGTTCCGGGCTGAGGATGTGGGGTGAAGTCTTGGCAAGATCTAATCGCCAAAGGGTGTCTCGGTTAGCCTGTTACCTGCCTTCTCCATCAACAAGTGCACGTACAATAGGTGATGTTCTTTACTGTGGCAAACGGCATGCGGTGAGCGTCTGCAGGACCATTGAGCAAATGCACATACTAGAGTCAGTGGCGACCACGACAGAGTTGTCTGCAACCGTGTAGCTGCATACTCAACTGTCAGAGACGGCAGGATTCACGACAGACTAATCACTGACCTAGTCTCGATATCGCCCTCCACGAGTACCGTCACGTTATATTCCACGACTTGATGAAACTCGCCATCCCGGACAACGCGAAAGACGCGAACGAGGTCTTTGCCGTATCTAGCGCTCGTAAGAACTGATTCAGACATGACCGACAATTGCAACGGTGCTAGGCTCGCAGATTCAGATAGTTCCAAGTTCCGACTAGTACGTTTGACCTTGGGATCCGACCCTCTAGGAGGTTTATAGATTGATACTACGGAGAACCGTCGACGTAGCGGAACACCACATGATGCTAAAATCGGAAAGATAAGCGAATAGCGGCCAAGGTCTGAGTCAGCCTTGCTAGTTAAGCGTTGATCAGGTCATAATCCTTCCCCTGATCATGCATCATGTCCAGTTGGATATCTCATTTTTAACCAGTTCCGCCGACTACGAAGCCCATGGCCAAAACCACTTTATTTCCACATTTTAACCCTCCAATTTGTTCTCTGAATCAGCAGTTTTCCTACTGTAGATGGTTTTCTGGCAAGATACTCTGTCGTCTCCTTCCGAAGTTAAAGGAGCGAATCCACAGCCTGGTACCTGTTCTCATGCGAACTGCTTATCTCGTGTCCAAGTCATCTGAACAACCCTGTAATACAGGAGTGCTATTCTTTGCGCGCCACCACCTTCGAAATCGGTTTCTTCCCGAGGATTCCCGCATTAGCAAAGCAATCAGATAAGAAAGATGTCGTCTAAGAAGATGCCATGGATTAGTGCACACACAGGGTTGCCCCAGACATGCTCGAAAGTGCACTTGCATGCCCACGAAGCCATCACGGAGGCCCTCAATTTGAGCGTGCTTCAGACCATGACGACTATGGAGTCCCTGTTCCCGAGGTGCGACAAATCGCTGTGAACGCTTCCGCAAACGGAGTACATCGACGGCGAGACACTGGCATCGTCCTACACTTATCTCAAGCTTTGCGTTGCTGGGACCCTCCCGTGGATATATCGGTCAGTTTCACCGCCTGCAGGGGTCTGCACAAGGAACTCTTTGGCTCAACCACAAGCTGGATGTGTCTCAGCGGATGAAACACACCCCTCGATGTTCCTCATTTCGATAACTTGTGGTGCCTTCGACCTCGCGTTGCAGTGACTGATTTCGGCCAGATAGCTGTGCGTTGAGGAGTATCGGAGAAACATTATATGGGCAGTAAAAAGTAGCCGTCGGTGTTATGATGATGTTCGGCTGTTTGTAGGTAACCTCTTGCACTACGTCACCAGAATGAGCGCCTTGGACTGCGGACCGAATCCGATGACCTGCAAGAGATAAGATTGACGGCCATTATACATCAGAAATCGAACTCGGAATAACGACTTCCATAGACGAAATCTGGTTCATCAGAACAGGTACACTAGTACTAGTACTAGGACCGCATGACCGCATACCCATGTGATTCGAAGCAGTTCCGGCGCTGGCTCGTATCAGTTACTAATACAAACAGAGAGTTTGATCATGAGTCATGAATACTCACAGATCTGAGTGAGTCAATATGAAAGTCGGATATCAAACGCACGTGCGGAATCGTTGCCTCAGGGTTTTCATATTCAAAGTGTATGGAAGGAGAAGCAGTCCGCGACTCCGTGCTGCCGTTCAGAGAGCGACGTGGCGCCGCTGGGGTCGGATCTGAGTATCTCGAAGCATGTTGGATGCTGTATGATATCTATATCCATTCTTCTAGACTAGAGGCTAGCGTGTAGTGGTTGTTGTTGCCGCATCGTTCGGAGGTCAAGAATGAATAGGGGAATTGGAGGATTTGCAAAAGAATTTCGTGAAGAGACAGTGGGAGGGCTTCGCAGACGAGACTCGTGGGTGGGCCAACTCGGTCCAGGGTGTCGGATATGTTCATGTTCAATTGCTTCGTAGAAGCCAAAATCTGAAAATGCACGCTTAAGCTTAAATTTGGCAGGACATCAGTGACACCCGACGGCGAAGCTGGAACAACAATACTTACAGATCTCAGACAGTCGTCACTGGTCACCTACTGAGCTTGAGCATCAGTTCATCGACAGACGGTAAACACCTGAACGTTGAACAGTCATACGCAAGCAAGCTATCATTTCAATATCACTTACTTGTCTACTTCACCAGCGCATATAGGCGGTTACAGAGACTGATGGTAATCATCCAGCGACTCGGACAGCAAAAAACGATAGGTCGGAATCCGTCGGATGACTGTTGAAAAGCAGACCTCTTCCGACGGTTGTCGAAGCGGTCTGACCTTCAATAAACGGCTTCCTTCCCTGATCCGTATGGAAAGCGGGAGTGATCAGCTTCTCGCTAAGCGTGTTTGTTTGGCTTTCACCTGTCAGACCCCCAATCACTCGCAGAACGTAGAGTATATATATATATATATTGGAAATCAATGGCAGGCGTAGTAAATTTACGGTTTAACAACGCTCGCTCCTCTTTGCGGTTACCAGTACGTTCCAATCGAGACTGTCGCAAATGCTGATTACCCTGTGATTTAGTGAAATGTGCGCAGCCATCTAACATTGATTGCTAATGTCATGCTGAACACCTTTTAGATTTCCGTTAACGTCTCGACTGGTCTCTATCATAACAAGACCTGCGCTCGCTGTCTTCCCCCACATTAGTTGAGTAGGATCGTGGAATCGCTGACTACCACGAAAATGGCGTCTTCACGGACAAGTAAATCGGTGGTATTGGTCACCGTGAGTCGATTTCGATTCAAGCACGCTCTTCACCGCTAATCCTATCATTGTTCAGTGGCTGGCTGCACGATCCTCCACGCGGTTTTGAGCCGTTTCCAGCGCATTGTATTCAACGGCGACCCTTTGCAATTCCTCCTCATTGAGACCGCCTACCGCTATTTCATCTCCCTATTCCATATGCTTGACATGACCAAGGAGAACCCCGATGTTGTCGGTATTCATGCGTATGATCTCATTTCAATGTGTTCAGTCGATTAACGCAAAGACTGCAGCCAACTACACTTCTTCTCTTGCCTACGAGCTCCGTCGTGGACCTGCACTGTGAAGACCCCGACTTCGTCAGGATCAAGTTCAAGATCGGCGCCAGCGGTGACTTTGAGACCCGCCACGCTTTCGGCCAGTTGAATGCCATAGCTCGTATACATAGCTCGTATATAAGCCTACGTGATTAGCATGTACATTAATATTGTAGTGCATTATATTAGCTGTCAGACTCGGAATCAGAATCTGTGAACTCTGCAACCTCTGGTTGATCTTCATCAACCTGATCCTCCCCTTGTGATCCCCAGTCCTGAACACCGTGAAGCGCTTGCGTCGGCGGGTTCACCATGCCTCCCATATACTGATAGCCCACAGGTCCTACTAAGCCCGCATTTTGAGGGAGGTCCTGCAAGCTCGGAAGCAAAAGCACGTCCTCGTCTTCAGGTTCCACAATTCCCTGTGAAAGCAAAACTGTTAGGTCATCTTCACCTTCGATTGCCAAGAACTGCGCCAGCAACATCTGGTATACATTCCAGAACGAATCCGACGACACTTGTGGTTTGCCGAGTGAGGTATAGAGATATTGTGCACGTTGCTCAAATAAAGGTGGCACGAGATCAAAAACAGGATGATTGGGGGGAGCATAAATTGCTTCGACCTCATCGAAGAGTGCGCTCGGCACTGCAACCTTGAGAAGAATAAGTAGTGTTGAGCCATAGTCATGAACAACGTCAACATACTTTGAAGTCAAGTGAATTGAATTCGTGGGGTTTTGAACGAATAATTGCCGGAATGCCGTGCGGAAGAATCTTGTTTTTGTCTCTGCGGGGAGCATTATGGTTTCTACGATGAGCCCATGCATCGAGCTCAGCCTGCAGCCATGGAATTGCAAGCCAGCGGAACACGTAACTAGATAGACAGATATTGTCAGTAAATACATATCAATGAGGTCTTGCGTACTTTTGCAGCGTGTTGTTAATGTCGTATAGTCCCCTAGTGACACCTTCATCTAGGATATTCTCGAAACCCGGAGCAAAGTCCCGGCGAAGCACAGACCACATGATTTCGGGCTTGATGTTCTGGTGCTTTCGCATCCAGCGGTGCTGAAGGGTTCCATTGAGTGCTGGATCTAGGCGATGTCGAATCATTGTTTGTGCGTTGGCAACAGCGAAGTTTTCGGAGCCTGGATCACTCTGAGTAATCAAAGGTACAGCTGGGATTGCAAAAAGAGACACAATCAATGTCTGATCAACGTGAGGGACTTGGTGACATACCTCCGAGTTTTCGGCAACAGTCAAGGTAATATCTAGCAATGAGGCGTGGATTCTTGTTGGTCCACCAAATTTTCAGCCAATTAATCCACCCGGTGAATGGATCAAGGCTGATATGCAGCCATAGCCCAAAACGCAGCCATTTGTCATGCTGGTCTTGTGGCCAGACGTCATTGACCCCCGCGCACCAAAAACGCCTCCGTTTGAGACGTCCACGACGCCTAGCTTTCACAGCAGTTGGCTCTGTGATCTTGAGAAGCTTGGCAATCAGTTCACTGATAAAACATCGATTTAGTAGTGAACAGTACTAGCAAGTAAACAGTGGCTCACCGGGGTACATGAAAGCTGAACTGCTGGCGCAGGTCTCGTCTGATGGCCTCGGCACCTCGGTGGGGAAATCGTTGTCGAATCTCCCGGACATGCTGTTCGATGGACTCAAGAGTATGTTGCTGTTGCCTGGTCCGTTTCCAGCCCCAGCTATTTCGCATCCGACGGAAGCTGACAACACTAGCACAATAGATTAGTTGGAGTATTTGCACTGGACATGTGTAAGATACAGACCTAAGTCCATATTCCTCTTGGTCATAATGGTCTTTGAGGTGGCGCACGATGTCGACATCACTCATGTTGAGTGTGAAATAAAACCGAGCCGGTTCTTGTATTTCCCTGGCAGGAGCTATGCTCACTCATCAATCAGTGAAACTGGGAGTGATGCAGGCTTAACACTCACGACATGGCTTATGCTGGTTGGTGCGCCGAGAATGATCAGTCATGATTGTCAGGAGCACGATCCTCAAGGCTCAGATCAACACCGCCCAGAGGAAAAAATGTCACAGCTGATAAGTATCATATCATAACAGTGCTGCGCCAGTGTGTCACATGACTGTTCAATTTCGTATGACCAGCCAAAGTTTAACTTCATTTGATTTACTGCATCTATGTACACATGTACGACTTGTTCAGCTCCGGACTGGAGGCAATACATATAGTGCGGCTTGGAAGCCGGCACGGATGCCAATGGTCCGGGTGTAGCAAGTTGTACTAGTACTGTGAGCACGGATCTGCTATTTCTTCGTCGTACTAGGTCTTCACCATCGACGAAGCACTATAACCCTTTTTCCCATTTTCCTCCCGCCCATGCAAAGCCCCACCTACCCTCTCCCTTTCAGTGACATGTGCCAGCTCCTCGCAGTCCCAGGCACTTCAACCAAGCTTTAGTAGCGACCGTCGTTCAGCTCTTCGATGTCCCAACGACCCACATTTAGCTCCACATCTAGCGCCCGTCCTTTGGCGGTGGTTCTGCGCGGCGCCCTACATTCAATGCCAGTTCGCTGCTGAACGAGCCGTTCTTTGAGCACATCGCGGGAGAATTCGGGCTCGAGTTCGAGCTCAGTATTTTCCTTGCCACCTACACTGACTCATCCTCAGTCAGACATAGGTTCTCGTCGCGGGACGCGTGAGTCTTCCAATTCCACATAGTTGATGACCTGCTGACCATGCTTTCCTTCTCATTCCTCCTCATTCCCTCCCTCTTACCATTCCTCATACTCAATCGGTCCTCGGTATCCATTCATATCCACGCAACACCACTTGACACCACCCTGATGCAGTCACCTTTTGTTACCCTCTTCAACCTCCATGACGACAGTGGACCGATAACGACATGTATTTCTACGGTCGTGTCATGTTTCATGTAAGTGCAAGTGTTTCAAATCCGTAAACCCTATATTTATATCATCTATCCCAGTTGTTGATTCTGGTCATTCCTTGGCGTGATATCGACGATTTCAAAGTCATTCCAAAAATTCTTAGCGGAGAGGAGATCCCGCAACCCAGAAGGACCTTTCGTATCTAGAGTAGGCCCCATGTTTTGGTTGCAGGATCGAGTGGAGGAGATCCTTACGTGGAGATGTGGGTAGAAATATACTGGCGTCTGGATTGCTTGTTACGCGTTCTTGTGTGCGTGCCACCTTCACCATTCTTGTTTCTGAATCTTACATGGGACTGTAGGCTACTTTCCTCGCACTCCACCACCTGTCCGTGCACCCATATCATGTGCACTATGGTGTCACAACGCCACACGGCCTGCCTCCCATCACTCCAATCGAGCGGTGTTGGTCAGTGGATGGGACAGGAGACTGCGTGCAATGGTAATGGACATAAGGCTGGTGCTAGAGTTTGAAAGAACAACTGACCGACGATAGTTTGCGCTTGACAGAGTGAGGCGAACATTGTGTGCCATTTTGCACATTGTTTGATGGTGACGCCACAGATAGTACAAATGCAGGACGTTGGATGTCAGATGAACTTGCCACTGCTACGTGAGGCATATCCTGGCCCATGCATTCTGTCAGCCATGCAAGGCACTGATAGTACACATTGGAAACGAACATCACAAGACTTGGACTCTGCTATTTCTTCACCATTTCGCCTCTGCTCAGCAGCAAGGAACTTGGTATGCGGAATGATGAGGTGAAGTTCGATCCCCTTGCCTGGGTTGAACTGCTGCTTCGTGTTCCTGGTCTTGAGGAAGTGGGACGCTATGGCATTGATATCTTCTCCAGACGGACGGGGAAGAATCTCCTCAAAACTACTAACAAGACGTAAACGTGCTTCCTCAAACGTAAAAGTAAGACCCATGGACCACTTGATGAACATGGGAAGGACGGTGAGGTAAACTGAAGCTTTGAGGTCATTGGCACCAATGCGGTAAGGAATGTTGCTGATCGACTCGACTATATCCTATAAAATGTTCAGCAAAGTTGGTCAAATTGAATTTAGAATTGCAGAGAGCGACACTTACAGATATTAGTGTTGGTTTTTTAGCGCGTGGAATCATCACTGCAAGATAAGCCTTGACACATACCACTTCGGGAACACTTGAAGCATAGGCCTGTCGAGCAAGCCGGTCTCGCATCTCTTCATAAATTTTATGTGCATCTTGATAACCAGGCTTGAGTGGCAAAGTTCGAAGAAGGTCTGAGTAGACGATGAACTGAGCGTCCCGACCATAAATAGATATGTTGGGCCCTGGTAGGTTTGCACGGCGGACGCCCGAGGGGCCAGGGGCTGCAGGCCAGTTGGGTAATGGGACAAATTGATTATTTCCCAAGGCACGCCTCTGGTGAACGGGACCTGACACTTCGGGGTGGGAGCCTGGAATGAAAGCAGGTGGAGGCATCCCACCACTACTTCCATTGTATTGTGACTGAATAGCGAGCCCCACTGCACGAACAGCAAGTTGGGATTCTGCAAAAATAAATGAAGGTTTGCATTCAATGTGAAAATGTAACCGTACGTGATGACTCACTCCCGCGCTGTGCCTCTGCAGTCTGCTTGTGAATTGCAGCGCTGTCATATTCGGACACCTGATGGTGGGGTATGGATGTATCCCTTTGGCCTATAGGCCTAAAATAGGGATACATCGCCTGACATAGTTGTCCGCTCAGTGATACATCCGTGTAGCTTAAGTATCCTTGTGTCTAATATAGCAAGCAGTCACCAAGCAGTCACATCGAATGAATCTAGCTGCCGTTCGGATCAAACAAGTTTTATTTCACATCAAGGTACAGGAGCAAAGTCGTGCTAATTAGTCTAAGTCATCGAGATCTCCATGCGGGGGTGCATCAATAGAAGGACCTTCTTCTGCCGGTGCATTAGCCTCTGTATCGTCCAGATTTTCGCTTACCAAAGCGGTCACATGGTGCCACGATGCCCTGAATTTTGCAGACAGGGATCGACGGATGGCAGCCTGGCGTTTTGCGTACGCCACCAAGCCCTCGTTGTCCTCAGACTGCTCAGCCACACGCAGTGTGACCCGTGCTTCCCACCACTTAGCCTGCCAATCGAGAAACTCCAAGACGCGCCGCATCTCCTCCAAGAGCAGTTGGATTTCTTCAAACCACCGGTTGCGTCTGGCCCTCGTTTTGCACCACTCAATGCGTAGCGCTAGACGTGCGGTAAGCGATAAAAATAGAAGTAATCACTGATGACCTACAATCCTGAAACCTGTCACCGTTGTCCGAAGGAATTCCGTGTACATGCCAAATCCATGACATGATCGCTGTGCCTTGAGTGCGACCTCCAAGGTCCCCCATTGGCCGAAGGTCAGACTTCCTCAATGGCTGCAATTTGTGCTCCCAGCCTACATGGCCTAGTTGCCTTGACAGATGAGTGAGAGCTCGCCGAGCACAAGAATACTTCTCATGACTAAGAATGAGCCGATCCTCAACCGCTTGAATGGTCTTTTGGGCACGAGTGTTAAGACTTTGTCCGCGAATTTGTTGTGCCTTGAAGCGTAGAAGCTGGTGGCGGAGACGGATGTGAGAGCGGCATTCTTCGAGCGCATCGTTAGCCTGCGCCAAGCGTAACGACCACTCAACCTCGAGCAATTTTGTGTCGCACGTTGTCAGATTACAGATGGAAGATGGAAGAAATAGTGGGATATCCTCGGCTTTGATAGAGTTGAGTTTGGCTTTTGGACAGCCGGTGGTTTCATCAACGGTGCCCTCGTCAGACAGAGAGAGACCAGTGGCATGGAAGTGAGCGACGGAGGGCATGTACAGGACCTGTATGTCAATCCATGAATCAATGCGGCGTTGGAGAGCATTTCTGCGCATCAGAATCTTCGTTTGCTGATTGTTGGTTGAATGTTGGGTGAGACCTGCATTATCTACCCATAAACGTCGTCTACAAAGGAATAAGTAGGAAGTATATAGCAGTCAATCTATCACTTACTGCGCATTCTCAAGGTCCAAGCCTGTGCTAATGAGGATACTAGGTGTCACCTCTGAATGGAGGGAAATTGACGATCCTTCTTCCAAATCTTTTGCGTCTTGTTGAATGAGCGCTAAACGAACAGCGGCTTGGGTCATTTCTGGTATTTCAGTCAGTCATCAATCACACTCTAAAATTTTGAACTTACCTTGACTTTGACTGTTGAAGGGGTTGGGTTTCGTATGATCGCTCTCCCAAGCGACGACTTCTTCAGTCCATGCCACGAGTGACACAGCGCCCAACTCTGACTCTTTGATGGATCCCTCCAAGTCCGCCAAGGCATGGCGATGGTCCCGTTCAGCATGTGTAGCATCTGTTATTTTACGTAGTAGTGTTCGACCTTGTAAAGTAATCAATTCGCTGGATAAACATTTAAAACTCAAGACTTACCAAGACCTGTCACTTTTTTCCAATTCCAGTCCCCAAAATGGTCGTCTAAGACATCTCGACGTGTACCAGGTGCCATCTCCTTTGTGCTTGCAGCAACACGGTTTATGTCAGCCCAACCGCGCTCCGGCGCTTCTCCATCAGTCCGTCCAACGTAAGGAGACCAATTGAATGAAAAAGTCGTCTGACAGGCGGCAATGTGTGCTGCGAGATGGAATTTTGGAATGAAAAACCTGTATTGTTGAGTGCTACTGGGATGAAGCCGTAAGGGAAGAGCAGTCGACACACGATGCCAAAGCTTTTTGTGCCACTGACATGCGATATTGTAGGAGAAATTGACAGATGGGATTGATGAAAAGCGTGAAAGTGCGGAGAAGACTATATAATCCATATTCAAGTATCTGCCAAAATCAAATCAAAACCCGATAATGTTCTGCCAGTGACATGAGTACTCACTTTTCCCCTTTCTGAAGATCCCCGACACCATTTGCTAACCGCATGTCATGCCTAGCGCAAACCACAGTGCCGACACCCGTTGCTGCGAGTCCCTTGGAAGATTTCGTGTCCGCCATATTGACCGCGTTATGGCTAACACAATTACTTTTCTAAGGCATTTAAATCAGCAATGGCTGTAAGCAATAATCATTCAACTCACCTCTTGTGCTAGACTTGCATTTTCTCGAAGGTACGCCTTGTAGTTACTTTCTTTGACGAAGTAACCCCACCCCTGGCTCAATCCAGGGTCCCTGTCATCGCTGGATACCAGTCTGCGTTTCAGACGAAAGTTGGCGTCTATAGCCAAAAAGAGTGAGTAGATCCATCTGTAGAATGTGTTCAGATCACAGCTGAAAATAGGGAGGAGAGACGGTAAAATCTTACCGGTTCCCAGGTGAGACGTCCTCTAATGTCTCAGGCACATTTTTACCAGGGTGAGGGCAAGCGGGGCACAGAACCACAATTTCTCCTTCTTTGGTAGCGCTAACTCCAGCTGGGTCATGCCCACGACCTGCCCGTTTTAGTGCCTTGAGGTTGCGCCACTCCGCCATCATTCGCAAAAAGACAGAATATCGATCCTATGAATTTCAATGATCAGAGGTAAATCAATCAGGATACAGTGTATAGAGTACAAGTCACCTTGATAGGCTTGACGCCTGTGTTGTCACTCCGACGTGCAACGCAGTGGTAAAACTCGAATGCAGATACCTTGGACTCAAACGAGAGCAAGTGGAAGTGTTCGAGAACAGTAAATGTCGCAGCTGTTCGTGGGTCTGTGGATGTTGCTGGGAACCAGCGAGCGCGCAGGATCTGTTTGTAGTGTGAGGATGCATACTCACAATTACAGAAGTCAAGAGCGACTTCATGGATTCCGTGAACATCAATGACGGTAAAATCATCGTCAAAGGCTGGTTTTGGTTTGCGGCAGCGCTGACCAGCGCTGTGACCCAGTTGTATGCGGAGCCCCAGTTGCTTCAAGGTCGTTGGATGGAAATACCCGTCATGCCATTTCTGAATCAATGGCGTTAGTGGAAAGCACTGATATCCATAAAAAAAACATACCTTCAGCCGATGCAGGGGCATGTTCTGGTGGAGGTTCATAACACATGACTGGCAGTATAATGCGACAGAAAAGCAGTCTTCGCAACGAAAATACTGCATTTGAATTGCCACAGCTATGGCACGAGTGACATGTGTCACCACGTCCTTCCAAGCGGATGAATTCATCAAGATAAGTTTGACGTTCAGAGATCCAAATACGAATGGGGTCATCCTTCTGAAAAAAATCAAGGTCAGCTCTCAGTCTAGATTTTCAACATCCAAGCTTACTCCAACTGTCCGCTGTTGTATTTCTTTTGAACCTGTGATGTTGTAAGGCTCTGTATCAAGGAATGAAGTGTCGTTCTGAGACTCGTTCCAAGGATCCTCAAAGAGGTCAGTGTTGACGCCAAGCTCGAGTTCTGGGGTAGCGCCAGCTGGTGTCCCATCAAGATATGTTGTCCGTAGATTGATCTGCCCAGTGGGATCAACAGCATATATTCTGTGGCGTTGGACGTTGCATGAAGATGCGCCAGTGGGATCTGAAAGCACATGTCGCACTAGGCGAGGTTTTTTGCTGGGACGACCAGCCATCAGTCATGGCACACTCCAACTATCAAGCCAAACGTTGTTGAGCCACCATGAACAGTGAGCTCATTCATGATGTATCCAAGCGGACAGAACCAAACTCAACGATGTATCAAAATGGACAATGAACGCACCTCTCAAATGATCCAACTGCACAACTTCTCGCCGGTCCCTTCGGCACAATCCTGTTATACTCCAACTCCGAGTCTCTGAAAAGGTATGGATCATGAGATATCATTTGAGCTAGAGCTCACGTTGGACTTAACCCAGATGTCAGATTGGCAACCGACGCAAGAGCAACACACGTGGTTGATGCCACGCTTAACCGAATACACACTGCGACTTTCACGCATCAAGGAACCTGTCTTCTGGGCACGGTTGAATGATGAATGGCTGCTGAAATGGCCTGAGCAGGCTTTGCTTTGGCCTGAACGTCCAGCTGAGGATGGCATTGACTGAAAGTGAAGAGAAGGAACTTTTTGCAGCTGAAAAGGCAAGGAAACAAGTCAGTCAATAGTTCATTCAATGATTGCGGTGGATGATTGACCATCAGATAGGACCTAGAAGCTGGATGTTGTGGGCGTCAATTCGTCCAAAACGTGCTCGTAAATGGTATGGTTGCTCAGGCTGTTGTGGGACCACTGATGGACGTTGCGTCGAATTTCAATTCCCTGACCTAAACCTATTATGATTGTAAATCGTTACATTACCTATATATCTTGGTCTATGTAGTTTGAAGCAAGGCAATCCACCATGCAAAGACCGTGCACGCTGTGATCCCACATTTAAATTCAAGCTTTGAGTTGAGAATTTTGGTGTTAGCAATATAGCCAGTAAAAGCCCTATAAAAGTCCAACAAGGTATGAACCAAATGTACTACGTGATTCTTAGCCACTTACAACCTTGAATCATGGGTCGGCCCAAACTCTATAACACTCCCAGAAGAACGTCAAGAGGCCAAACGGATGCACCGACGGACACACTATGGCAAGGTCAATCCACGACACTCGTCTTTTTATTAATATATGTTACTCACTTTCAGCCAGGAACAAAGCTGCAATCAGTGCGAGACTCAAAGTGAAATATCGGGAAAACCAAGAAGCACGAGCTGCCCCAGTCTTCCCCTCAAAAAAAAGTTAACGGGTATGTGTATGTTGATATCTATTCACCCACATATCTCAGAGGTCATTCATAGTGATATCAACCATCATATGATCTTACGACAATCAGGGCTCACAGCATGTTCACTGCCACCAGAAAACAAAGTCCGCGTGAGTTTTGATCTAATTTCATTCCCTTGCCACGATCGAATATTCAATTATACAGCAACAAAAGGGATCGCTTATCAAGGTACTTAGATGGACCACCTGCACAGGTGATAGATGCTCTAGTACGCAACCACCTCGAGACTGGTGACTTAGATGGGCTTCGAGGGACACTATCTGCGTTAGAGGTGATTGTCGAGGAGTTGCAGATACAGAACAGCATATATTAGGACGCGAGGGCATGAGCCCAAAATTTCTTAAGGCATCTGATGCATCCAAGGAGGCAAAGGAAGTGATTCGTGCTGTGGAAGATGTTTTTTGTTGCGCATTGGTGTCGGGGATGGATCTTCACCAGCGATATGCAGACAAAAAATTTATATTCCAGACGCTCTGGGACACTAAGTAGGTAGTTAATGTAATTGAACAGTAAAAGATTGTACTCGCTATGTGGGTCTGTGCGTGAGATACTGCCACAATAGCAGGCTAAACTTCTTCGAGAGTTTGCTAATTAATTTCCCCCCTCACACGCATATAAGCGCCATAACGGTACGTACGTGAATTGTTTTTCCAGAAGGCGGTACTTGTTGATAACGAATAATGATATAGATTATGGCTCCCCGGAAATGGACTTCTCCTGAACAGGATGAATGGTTAGCTCCTTGGTACGACAAGTACCGCGCAAAGCAAACTGAAAAAAATAAAAACTGGCCGAACTTTTTCGCCGACTTGAACGAGACGTGGTTCATTGCATACCCAGAGCAAAGGCCGGCTAGTTTACCCCCTGTTGGACCATTGACCCAAGATGAGATGCTTGTGATGCATAAGGCTTGTGATGAGCGAAAAGAGGTATGTGTTAATTGTGAACGCTCACTTTGAATTCACAAATGGGACTTAGAAATTAAGAAACCGCTTCAAAAATAGTCTTGGTACAACGAAAGCAGGACGGCAAGCAAAGGCCGATGCTACAGATGTCTTCAAAGTCGTATTGCGGAGTGTCGCCGAATCCGAGAAGCCAACACGTTCCCTTCAGGAAGTGGAGGCATATTCCAAGCTCTATTACCATACGCGTATCAAGGCAACAGCTGACGAAGTACTGAAAGCTGAAGCAGAATTACTGCAAGCAGAAAACAAGACACTTACGAATGGAAAGCGTATCGCCATCGTGAAGCAGCACACAGCAAGCCTCTATAGCGGAGAGACTGATGAGGTTAAGGCGGAGGTACAGAGATACATCGAGAATCAGAAGACTCGGACGCAGAAGGACAATGAGGCGGGAACGTGGAGCGAAGATGATTATGCAAGGTAATAGAATTTACAGCCTATCGACTATGATGTGTATCAGCTTATGAGACCGCATAGAAATATAGAAAAACTTGCCGCTATTGCTAACAAGTTCCTCAAGGGGCTAGCGGAAGCCACTGGGTTCACATTCTCCCTCCTGGCGGGTGGCCCTTCTCCAGAGTCCAGCGGCTCAATTGACGTCTATAGGCATGTGCATTAGTACTTATGAAATAGAGTTAAACACTGACCTCAATCAAAGTTTCCACGTGGGTCACACCAAGTTCGGAAATGACTTCAGCAAGGCATACCCTGAGTTTGAAACAGGTATCATGTCTCCATTCAGAGACCATCTGTATCGAGTATATCGTGAGTTGCATGGCGCTGAAAAAACTATTGACTTACTCATTCATAACAGCCGATCTGGTGGATTCAAGGGCACACCTAGGGAGTCCCGCGTCATTGAACGAGGGTCCCACATCGTTGAACGAGCTTGAGGGTCCCGCATCGTTGAACGAGAGTCCTGTGTTGTTGTGGAATGAGATTGAGATAGGAAGGGGTCTGGAGGATGTGTCCCAACGACGATCGGATATATCATCTGATGGCAATCACTCGGCATTAAGCGGAATGAAGGATGCTGACAAATCAGGTCAGACTTTTTCCAATACGTCCGGCAGTACTACTAGTGGTCCAGACACCAACCTGCCGTTTGATTCAGCTCAACAGAGCTCACTTGATTTTTCTGAAAACTTGACTGGCGATTGGAATCTCGACGACACTTTTTGGACCGATCTTGCTGCCAAGGTCGCAGCATTTGAGGTGTCAGGTGGTGACAATCCGGCCTTGCCGCACTTGCCTCCTTACCCACATGCAGAGTCTACATCTTCCCCAACCCCACAATCACCCGATGTTCCAGCGCCGCTGCCGCATATCCCGCACACCATATGTCACACATCCCCTGCTACCTCATCCCATATGGTCCCTGCATCTCCAGAGGTTCCAGTACAGGCTGCGCAGTTCCCACTCCCTGCATCTCCAGAGGTTCCAGTACAGGCTGCGCAGTTCCCGCACCATGATTCTCAGCCAGCGAGTCCTATGGAGCCACGATTACAGCCCTCACCCCCTCCCATTTCCACTTTACCTGGACTCCCTTCCAACACACCAGTCATCGCCAAGACAACAACGCAACCCTTACCGCACCAGTCAAATGCGCTGTCTACCAGTGGTGTTGAACCCTCCCCTGATGGCAACGAACATTGTCATCGCCGTAGGACTGGTCGGGTGTCCATTCCCTCCAAGCGCAATGCTGCCGCTAATAGCATTGGCGAAAATGCACTGACTGTTTCCGGGAAGCATGCCACGGCACGGGAACCTAGTACGTCCAGTCGCAAACAGAAGTAAGGTCCTACTACTTCCATCTGTGTCGCCTGGTTACTTACATTTTCAAACAGGAAACAAAAGGTATGATGTCGCATTACATTTTGCAACTCTTCAGTGGACCAATGGACTCCGCATTTTTTGTTGCCTCATTTTTTGTTGCCTCATTTTTTGTTACCTCTTATCTTTGTATATTCAGCGTAATTAGCTATTGAATAATACAATCATATATATTCCGTCAATTACCAATGCACTGAGTTACTTCACCACTTCAAAAATGCACTGAGTCACTTCGCCACTTCAAACTTCAATGCGAGCGTGCCACGAACACACTGTCACGTGACAATAAGACTTGGGAAGGTTGAATGAACACCGCAGTGGTCCATCTATTATATACTCATTTAATAGTCAAACTCAAGGAGTTACAAAGTAGACGCTAGCTAGTTGT